TGTGAAATTCTTTTCCTGGCCTTATCCTGGCTCAAAAGCTCCCCACTGAGCACCTTGTGACTTCCTTCCTGCGCACCAGAGAACAACTCCCTTGACGGTACCTTCTTTACCTACCCAAATCCTATAAAACGGCCCTACCCTCATCTCCTTCGCTGAGGTAATTTCTTTTCTTACCTACCCAAATCCTATAAAACGGCCCCACCCTCATCTCCCTTCGCTGATTCTCTTTTCGGACTCAGCCCGCCTGCACCCAGGTGAATAAACAGCCATGTGGCTCGCACAAAGCCTGTTTGGTGGTCACTTCACACGGACGTGCATGACATATACTGTAGAGACTCTAGATTCAGTTTTTTTCCACAAAAACTGTTTTGGTTTAGTAGAGTTCTGTTAAGCTTCATTTTAGGCTTTATGAAGGTAGGTCTATTTTAGTTTTGCTCTCAGTCCTAGACCCTAGATTTGAGTTCTGTGATGTGGTCCTAATCCTAAGGCCTACAACCTGGGTTTTCAATGGAAAGTCTGAAATAGTTACCAAATTCCTCTAATTTGATGAAACATGAACTCTAAACTTCTTCTCCCCAGCACATCTTCTGAAATCTCTGCTCAGCTTCTCCAGCCTTCCAAGTGTTGCTTTCCGTTTGGAATTCTACCCTGTTTATGTACAATACAGGAACCTGCCAAGAACTTGACGAGATTATACAAGGCAAAGTTGGGGGCTTCTATGGTTTCCTCCTTTCTGGGATGTGCCCCCACACCAGTGTGCAGCTGCCACCTTCTGTTTCATTCCCTGCGAGCCACATGAGGAACAGCGCCTCAGATGTGGCTCTGACCCAATGTGCTTCCCTTCTTCTGATGGCTGGTCCCTTCCCTCTTGCCTGTATCTCGGCAGGCTCCAGTGCATTTCAATAGTGTAATGATCAGGCGTAGGCTGGTCTGATACAAGCTGCTGTGCCCTTCCTGGAAGTCAAACTGTAATCAGATGTTTAAATGTTAAAATAAACTCCAACTTCCTTTTCTTTATCTGGATGACAGATATGCTAGTGTGAAAATCTATCAAGGTGTATGTTTATGTACTTTTCAACATGTGCTACAGACCTCAATACAAAGTGTACTACAAGAAGAAACCCATTTCGTACCAGCACCCAGTTTAAACCCCTCAGCGGCCTTCCTGTGCCCCCAGGATCAAACCCATTCCCCCTCTCCTGGCCACCAGCAGGCTTCCACGCAACTCCCTCGATGACACTAGCTCCAGCTCCTCCTCCCTGCCCACCCCTCGCCCACAGGGATCGCCCTACTAGTCCTCAGGCTGCAACCTGAGCACCACCTCCTTGTAGCAGGTTTTCCTGAGCAGCAAGTCCCGGCTCTTGCACCTCAGGCCCTCTCTTGTGCCCTCACAGGCCCCGGGCGCCCTCCCCGCCTCCCTATCATCACACAGAGCCTACATCCTCCATGCATATCCACCCCGGAGTAGGAGCTCAGAGAACTGGCAAAATGCAAAGTCCATGCCACCCGCCTAAGGAAGTCCACGGGCCCAGGGGTCTCATGACACCTTCTTGCCTTGAGGTTCCCCCTCCCAACCCACCTGTTACGCCAGCCTGCCGAGTTCTGCCTGGGGCAGCTCCCAGAGGCTGAGGACCTGGAGGAGACCTCGGTGCTATCCGCAGAATCCAAAGACCTGGCTGCCACCCGAAGCCAGCCCCAGCAGCAGACGAGACTCAGGTAAAGCCCTCGTTCCTCCATCGGGTCTGCAGCTTCCGCTAGATGAACGGGTTGGACTCTGCAGTCTATCAACCTGCCCTCCCTAAACACAAACGCCAGATGACTGCACAGGTGTAGAGAAGAGAGGAAAAGTTTATTGTTGAGCAGACCTTATTTTCGTTACAGTACCACGAAGTTCCTTCTCAGTTCCCTTCGAGTGCAGAGATTCTGCAGACATTTAAAAGCCCAATGCTGTTCCCAAGCAAGGGCAGCACCTGACAACAGTGTTGCATTTAATGGAGCAGGATTACAGTAAATTTGGATATTCATAAAGAAGAAAGTACATAGTTTCCTTAAAAATTCTAACAGTTTCCCACCTTTCTTTTATTACCATGAATAACTGGTTGGCTGGAAAACGTGGTACTTGGTAATCTTTTGTTGCCAACCTTAGGTGAATGTGTTTTGCTTTTTGTTGTTGTTGTTAAGAGTTGTTATGCCCGTTTCTCTGGAAATCTCCAAGGTGACAAGTAAGGCAAGGCGCACAGTACACTCCCGTCCCACTGCAACCTTCCCCGGCCGGCCCCTGCACTGCTGAGTATCTGCGAAAGACTCAGGAGGGGACCATTTGCAAATCCTCGAACCCCTGGCCTCGGGGGATCCGCCCGCCTAGGCCTCCCAAGGTGCTAGGATTACAGGCGTGAGCCACCATGCCTGGCGCTTGCGAATACTGACCATGGAGTTTAACCTTCATGGGCTCCTTCTAGGAAGCAGGTGGCTGCTTGCCGCATGCAGACTTTGTAGTTTGTTTTTATAAATTGTCACTGATCAATGGCAGCCTGAGGGAAGAGACCCTCTACTCAATTCACAGACTTCCTGCTACTACTGCCTCCCAGAAGTGTCATTTCTGTACACAGAGAAATGAAAGACCGAAGAATGAATGAGAAATCTGTATCCTCCAGGCATTTCAGGTATATACCCTGAAATATCAATAACCACTGAACTTTATGATGTCTCATTTGCCTGAATTCAATCAGGTAATTACCAAAATCCTGATTAAGATCTTTCCCTCACTACCTCAAGGCAGAGAAAACATGAATTTAAGTTATCTTACCAAACTACACACATGACAAGCTATATTTGATTAACTCCAATCATCCCACAAAAATGTGCCCATAAAATCAAGTACTTAAAAAACTAATTATTAAAATTACACAACAATGGGCCAGGCACAGTGGCTCACGCCTGTAATCCCAGCACTTTGGGAGGTCAATGTGGGCGGATCACTTGAGGTCAGGAGTTTGAGACCACCCTGGTCAACATGACAAAACCTTGTCTCTACTAAAAATACAAAAATTAGCCAGGCGGGTGGCGGGCACCTGTAATCCCAGCTACTCAGGAGGCTGAGTCAGGAGAATCGCTTGATCCCAGGAGGCAGAGGCTGCAGTGAGCTGAGATCGTGCCACTGCACTCCAGCCTGGGCAACAGAGCGAGACTCCATCTCAAAAAAAAAAAGCAAAAATTAGCCGGGTGTGGTGGCACACACCTGTAATCCCAGCTACACTTGGGAGGTTGAGGCAGGAGGATCACTTGAACCCAGGAGGCAGAGGTTGCAGTGAGTCGAGATCGCACCACTGTACTCCAGCCTGGGCAACAGGAGCAAATCTCTGTATCGGGGGAAAAAAAAAACACATTCAACAACGGAATACAAATATTTAAATAACCGCACATAATACACCCTCCATTTTTGTTACCAAGAGAAAGCTTCTATCAGGTGGCTTTACCAATACATTTCCCCTCCCATGAAATGCAATACCACAGCACTAATATTCTATTCAGAAAAAGAGACTAGAATGCCCTTGTAACTCTTGAGTTATTTCTTTTAATCATTCAGGCCAAATTAGGTATGGCAATTTTAGAAAAGGATTGCTTTCAAGTATCTAACTATACTTCCGGAGGGTGGGGGAGGAAGGGGGTCATTTTACACTTGTCACTATCAGGGTGGCGTCTGACTGTCCAGGTCACGGGGTCAGTGGAGTAGGTTTCCTGGCTAAAGGAAACTCTGGGAATTTTTCCCTCTCTACCACCTGGGCCAGGATCCTCCCCCTGTCCCTAGCTCTTGGCCCTCTACTCATGGACTCGGTCCCCACAATCAGATGAAAACTCATTCAGGCAGAGCCTTGACAAGGTTCAGAACATGAGGGCTTGGCCGGACATAGTGGCTCACGCCTGTAATCCCAGCACTTTGGGAGGCCAAGGTGGGCAGATCACCCGAGGTCAGGAGTTCAAGACCAGCCTGGCCAACCAACATGGTAAAACCTGTCTCTACTAAAAACACAAAAATTAACCGGGCATGGTGGCAGGCACCTGTAATCCCAGCTACTCAGGAGGCTGAGGCGGGAGAATTGTTTGAACTTGGGAGGCAGAGGTTGCAGTGAGCCAAGATCGCACCACTGCACCCCAGCCTGGGTGACAGAATGAGACTCTTTCAAACAAACAAACAAACAAACAAACAAAACCCAAGAGGGCTTAAGGACAGCAGAGCAAATCAAGCTCCATTTATGGAAACCGTTTTTTTTTTTTTTTTTGAGACGGAGTCTTGCTCTGTAGCCCGGGCTGGAGTGCAGTGGCCGGATCTCAGCTCACTGCAAGCTCCGCCTCCCGGGTTTACGCCATTCTCCTGCCTCAGCCTCCGGAGTAGCTGGGACTACAGGCGCCCGCCACCTCGCCCGGCTAGTTTTTTGTATTTTTAGTAGAGACGGGGTTTCACCGTGTTAGCCAGGATGGTCTCGATCTCCTGACCTTGTGATCCACCCGTCTCGGCCTCCCTAAGTGCTGGGATTACAGGCTTGAGCCACCGCGCCCGGCCTTTTTTTTTAATTTAATTTTTTTTTAGACGGAGTCTCGCTCTATCACCAGGCTGGAGTGCAGTGGTGCGATCTTGGCTCACTGCAACCTCTGCCTCCTGGGTTCAAGCGATTCTCCTGCCTCAGCCTCCCGAATAGCTAGGACTACAGGCGTGTGCCACCACGCCCAGCTAATTTTTGTATTTTTAGTAGAGACGGGGTTTCACCATGTTAGCCAGGATGGTCTCAATCTCTTGACCTTGTAATCTGCCCACCTCAGCTTCCCAAAGTGCTGGGATTACAGGTTTAAGCCACCGTGCCTGGCCGGAATCTGTTTCTTAACATCCATCATGGGTGTAATCTGTGCTCTCCCAAGAGGCATTCACCCAAGTAGACAGGCAAGCATCTATGTGTTCAATTTGAAATGCAACAGTGACAGATGTACAACTTTATCACTCTTACAGAAACTCACATGCCATCCATTACTCTCCATGTGGGAAACATTCAGTAAAGTTCTAAAACCAAACACAGGACTCTGGCATATCCCCACACCCCCAGCAGCAGCTGTGACAGGCTTTGATCTCAGTCAAACGCCACTTGCTCACAGAACACAAAAACAGGCTCATGGTGCTGCATGTCACTCTGACGTATCACAGTACTTCATATTACTCTGTCACTTATTCAGAAACAAAAGTCTCCACTATGGCATGATTGAGAGAGAAAATAATTCATTATATATAAATAATAGCTAAGAACAACATACTGTGAACAGTTTCCAGACTTTGAACATTCAACACAATCAATTCTTACTTCTCGGGAAAAAAATCTCTTACCTATCTTTTCCGTTACAGTGTGCCTTCCTGGAGACAATATTTTAGTGGTAACATCATTTTCTGGGGCATTCAGTTAATTTTGAAAGATGATTATGCCATATGAACCAAAAAAGAAACTGGCAGGAGGAGGAGGGTCCTGGACCATTCTGGAAGCAAGCTGGGGCCTGCATTATTCAGAGTCAACTATTCAGCTGACTTTCGTCCGGGTGGTGACAGAGAAGAGGCAATGAGTGACACCAGCACACACAGCACACAGAGAACATGGTCTACTCTTTGTCTTCCTTGCATAGAACAAACATAAGAGGCTTGGTAGAAAGACATGGGGAAAGGTGCCATGGGGGCCAGCATCTGGAAAACATACACCTCAGCGATTTGAGGATTTCCCGTTCAACCTCCTGGACGAGAAACCGGGAAAAGGCACCCTTCTGCCCACACTTGTGGACAGCAGCAGCAGCCACCTCTCTGAATGCTTCATTCAATGTGAAGACGCAGCTTGAACAAAAGGTTTTGTTTGTTTGTTTTCTGAGACGGAGTTTTGCTCTGTCACCCAGACTGGAATGCAGTGGTGCGATCTCAGCTCACTGCAACCTCTGCCTCCCGGGTTCAAGCGATTCTCCTGTCTCTGCCTCCTGAGTAGCTAGGAATACAGGCGTGAGCCACCACACCCAGCTAATTTTTGTATTTTTAGTAGAGACGGGGTTTCACCATATTGGCCAGGCTGGTCTTGAACTCCTGACCTCGTGATCCACCGGCCTCGGCCTCCCAAAGAGCTGGGATTACAGGCGTGAGCCACCGCGCCCGGCCAAACAAAAGTTTTTTAATCTCACTGATTCCATCTCTCAGCTGCTCTGACCAGAGGGGCAGGGCGGGAAAAGTCATGCCACAGACTCTGCCCACAGCAGCCATTCTGAGGCGCCTTTTCAGTCTCTTATCCTCTTTTGAGCTCTCCTCTCCTTAATTTTTTTTTTGTTTTGTTTTCATTGTACCCATTAATCCCCTCCTCAATTTTTTATTGAATTATAAAAGCAAAGTCAAAAGGTCCTTCGGGATGACTGGGAGGCTTCCTAGGCTAACTTTTGTATTTGAAAATGGAAAAAATAAATTACTTGATATTTGTGATAAAACTTAAGATTTCTTAAAAAGTCTGCACATCAATGTATTACCTGGCTTAGAAGGGTGAGGGCACAGCTATCCATCTGCACCCTCTCCTATTTTTTAAAAACAGGCAAAATATGTAAGAAAAGGCTGGTGCACATTGGAAGACAGAGCGTGCCTCTCTATGCCAGTGCTGCTGTGCCCTGCAGCCTGGCAGATGGAGTCAGATGCCGGGGCCTCACGCCCACTCAGGCCAATAACATACCCAAGACTCGACAGCCCGTTCACCAGCACAGGCTGCCCCGAGGGGCAACACCGGCCGTGGAAGTGAAGACACACAAAGCAGGGACTAAAGGCAAACGGGGCTTCATGACGCAGAGACATGAAGACAGAACTGCTGTGGGCGCCAAAGATAACCTGCAGTGCTCAAATAAAAGGAAAATAGGACAGAAAGCCACACGTTCCACAAGCAGAATCATTCCTGGTCTTAGATCTGAGGGCATTTGTAGAGGAAAGTCCAAGGCAATGTCCCCTGGGTCTGAGAGAAAATCCTGTGCAGGAGAGGGGAGACAATGCGATGCTCGTCTTGAGGGAGCCTGACCCTGATCCTGATGGGCTGGATACGAGGGAGGTTGAGTATGGCTGTATCCAGTAAGGAAACTGGTAACAGACTTTTCTAGAAAGTGGAAAGAAAAAGCAAAGACTTTCACAGATACAAAATTTGTTTTCAAAACAATTTCCTAGAAAGTTCACTGTGGTTGGGTGGGGAATAAGTGTAACATTTTCATTTCAAATGAGCCATGGTGCTACTAATGGATTAAAAAACAGGATGGCCAGTTCTGGTCTTCCTTCCCTTCCCATAACCCCCAGAACGTTCCTACTCCTGATATTTTCCCTACCCTCACTGCAACCCACCGCCATCCCGGCCCAAAATTAATTTGCCGAGCCACTGCACCGAACCAGCCTTAACACACTGCTGTCAGTTGGATTTCAGTTAAACAATGCACCTAATTCGTGGGAAGAGAAAGTGGGGAGGGCACAAGGAGCATGTTGGCATCAACCTGGAGATGTGTGGACCTTGGACAGAGCTTCTGCCGGCCAGACCCTGGGGAGCATGGGCATCTGCAGTGCAGCGCAGGCTGCAGGTAAACTGAGGTAAGGAAGAACATGGCGGCTTTAGCTGGCCCTGCTTTCTGAGACACTGCAGCATGTGTGCGCTCTTGGGTGTGGGCACCAAAAAACCCATTTTCTTCCAGTTGCTGCTGCCATTCCACCCTCTGGCTAGAAGAATGCTCTTTACAGAGTCCAGAAGATCAGCCACTTGGTCTTCCTCTGAGGTACAATTCCAATGGAGCTTTAATCCCAAAGATCCAGCGGCCACCAGAGTGCAGAAGTCAGAATCAAATGCTCAGAATCAAAGGTGTGGCATTCTTGCCCAGCCAGTTTATCAGCAGTTGTATAGACAGATCAGAAAAAACTAATATTTAGTATAAAAACTGTTTTTCAAATGGGGTAATTTCCTGTCCTTCTCCAGAGATCATAATTCTTCACGTTTCTGAGGACCTAAGGAAAAGGAGAACCACAGAAAAGAAAATAGATGATCTTCAAATTACAAACACCGAGTGGGTATTTTTCATCACCGGAACTTATTCTTTGTACCTCCACCTCCATCTTATCTCACTTACTACATCTTTGGGATTTGTGTTTTTGTACTGTATTTTGAAAGCAAAAACTAAATTAAGGATTTTTTAAAAATGGAAACTATCTGTAAACCCCACTCCAACTGAATTGGGTTTTTTGTTTGTTTGTTTGTTTGTTTTTGAGACGGAGTCTTGCTCTGTCGCCCAGGCTGGAGTGCAGTGGCCGGATCTCAGCTCACTGCAAGCTCCGCCTCCCAGGTTCACGCCATTTATCCTGCCTCAGCCTCCCGAGTACCTGGGACTACAGGCACCCGCCACCTCGCCAGGCTAGTTTTTTTTTTTTTTGTATTTTTTAGTAGAGACGGGGTTTCACCGTGTTAGCCAGGATGATCTCGATCTCCTGACCTCGTGATCCGCCCGTCTCGGCCTCCCAAAGTGCTGGGATTACAGGCGTGAGCCACCACGCCCGGCCAACTGAATTGTTTTTACAAATACAATATTTACTTTCAGTAAACATGCATGCATTTTTTTAGTCGGGATTTTTCTTTTATCATTTAATAGCATCTAAACATTTTCTGTGTATCAGTGTAGCTCATTCTTGGATGTTTAAACTGTTTTTAATGCTTTTGGCTTATAAGTAATAGTAAAATAAATTGTTTTCATGTATATAACTTGATTATTTCTTTAAGATATATTCTCAAGAGAGTAATTACTGAGGGTATAGCGCCTTGCAGGCTTCTAATGGCAGGTGTACTGCTTTTCAACAAGGGCGATTCGAATGCACAAAGCTGCATCAAGGTAGATCCACAACAGTTTCATCACCATCTCCCAAACAAATGGCATTCTCACTATGTCTGTTTTCTTCCATGTCGCAGAGCGCTTTAATTTGATTAGTTTCCTCAAATTCATTTATTATTTGTGTTTCCTCTTACTTGAACAGTGTGTCCACATTCTTTGCCCATTTATCTACGGAAATTCTCAGGGTTTTACTGATGAATCTGAATTACTTATTGTTATGGTTACTATATAACCTTCCAGCTATGATATTTAATATCATAGTACAGTCTGAGGGATACACAGGCAAATCACTCAAGATCCATGTTTTGGATTTTTTTATTTTGAGACAGGGTCTTGCTCGGTCACAGGTTCTCTCTCTGTTACCTAGGCTGGAGTGCAGTCGCTCACTGCAACCCTGACCTCCCAGGCTCAAGCAATCCTCCCACCTCAGCCTCCTGAGAGACTAGGATTATAGGCATGAGCCACTGCGCCCAGCAGTTTTTTAGAATTCGTCTAAAGCAGAATAAATCTTAAAAATCCAGAGCCCATCTACATATCAAAACATCACTATGGACTCCACAGATATGTACAATTATTATGTGACCATTTAGAAGTAAATAGGTTAAAAATTTTTCTTAAATCTAGAGCCCAGGCCGGGCGCGGTGGCTCAAGCCTGTAATCCCAGCACTTTGGGAGGCCCAGGCGGGCGGATCACGAGGTCAGGAGATCGAGACCATCCTGGCTAACACGGTGAAACCCCGTCTCAATTCCAGAGCCCAGGCCGGGCGCGGTGGCTCGGCCTGTAATCCCAGCACTTTGGGAGGCCGAGGTGGGCGGATCACAAGGTCAGGAGATCGAGACCATCCTGGCTAACACGGTGAAACCCCATCTCTACTAAAAATACAAAACTAGCCGCCATGTAGCGGGCGCCTGTAGTCCCAGCTACACGGGAGGCTGAGGCAGGAGAATGGCATAAACCCGGGAGGCAGAGCTTGCAGTGAGTTGAGATCCGGCCACTGCACTCCAGCTTGGGCGACAGTGAGACTCTCGTCTCCCAGGTGAGGGGAGAGGAGATTTCCGTATGATGACATGCCTATGCGCTCAACTCAACTCAACCTGGGTCAAAAGGGGATCAAAAAAAAAAAAAAAAAAAAAAAAAAAAAAAATTTAGAGCCCAGCTTATTAATATTTTAAAAGTCACTTTTGTATTCTAATGATTTTTTCAAGTAGCTATTATTCAAGACACACACAACAGGGAAAACGTTAAAGACTTAACGCTAAATTAAATACAAGCATTCCATCTCCATCCCAACATGCTTGTTTTAAAGAACACTTTTTTCGGCCAGGCGCAGTAGCTCACGTCTGTAATCCTAGCACTTTGGGAGGCTGAGGAGGGTGGATCACTTGAGTCAGGAGTTCAAGACCAGCCTGGGCAACATGGTGAAACCCTCTCTCTACTAAAAATACAAAAAATAAAAAATAAAAAAAAAGTTAGCTGGGCATGGTGGTGCACGCCTATAATTCCAGCTACTTGGGAGGCTGAGGCATGAGAAGTGCGTGAACCTGGGAGGTGGAGGTTGCAGTGAGCCAAGATCATGCCACTGCACTCCAGCCTGGGCAACAGAGTGAGACTCTGTCTTAAAAAAAAGAATAGTTTTTTCAAATACATATTTGTCTGGATCTAAATTTATTCATTGACTAGTACACTGACAGATTTAATGAAAAAAACAAGGAATCTGACAAGAACTCCGTAAAAGGTTTGGTTTATGTATCACAAAACTCATGAACTTAAATAACTATAATCATAATTAAAATCCCTTTCTCCTCACCAGAAAAATGGGAAAAAAAAAAAAAAAAAGCAATTGCATTAATAAATACTGTTTAGAAGACCAACATAAAAGGAAAATGAAAAATATACACTGGTCGATGTCAGAATGGAAGAATAGGAGATTTCTCTCTTCCTTTTATCCATTATTCTATTGTCTTTACAACAAACATATCATAAACGGAAAGAAGTACTGTCCTAAAGCCAGCGGTTTGTGTTTACCTTCTCGGCTGGGCTCTTCTGTCTTCTCTTTGTACAGCGTTCCCGTTTCTTTCTCCTTCTGAAAGCGGAGCTGGAGCTGTTTGATCTCTTGGTCGTAGTCCTGCCACTCTGGGACAATTCGCACGGCTGCTTCCAGTTTGGGCTCTTTGGTCATTGGATTATTACACTGTGAAAACCAAAAGAACACACTTCAGCTGAGTTGAAGAAAGGCCACATCATAGAGAATTCAGAGGTTATTGGGTTACAAGTCCTAACTAGACAAAAAAACTTGGTAAGGAACCAAATGATATACTACCAGAAGCAATATGGTAGTGCGCTATGTAAAGCTGTATTTTCATCTGCAAAGAATGTGTGAGTGGCTACTGGAAGGCAGAAAAAGTCCATTTGGAAAAACTACAAGGCGCAGAGATCAACTGGAAGCCAAGGAGCGGCTCAGCAGATTGTGAGTCGTGGAAACAGCCCCATTAAGTGCTCAGGGCTTTGGTTTCCTAACGTAAGTGGGAAGATAAAACCACTGAAGTATTCTATAAGGTAAGAATATTCTGTAAGAATAGCCCTGAAAAACCAAATACTTATACTTACTATACAACAAACTATACTTATTCTATAAGGTAAGAATATTTATAAGAATATTCTCTAAGATAATTATAGCCCTGACAAAAACTAAACAATTACAGAGAAAGTCTAAATAAGAATCTAGGAAATTCTGAAATGTAAGAATCTAAATAAAAGTCATCAATCATGATTCGCTCATACATCCACTGGATGAACATGCAGAAGCACCGCACACAGCTTACCAAATCAATGGTTTTTGCCCTTTTCTTAGAGGCGTCATCACACCACGTTTCACACCAAAGCCATTCTTGAGGGAGGGATTTAATTGGCACCTGATGAATCATGTTATTGGGCAGATCCTGTTTGGTTAAAAATAAAAATAAAACACATGTATCTAAAGTTCTGGTGGTACTTATTTATTTATTTATTTATTTATTGAGAGATGGGGTCTCACTCTGTTACCCAGGTTGGAATGCAGTAGTATGATCTCAGCTCACTGCAACCTCCACCTCCCAGATTCAAGAGATTCTTGTTCCTTAGCCTCCTGAGTAGCTGGCCACCACGCCTGGCCAATTTTTGTATTTTTACTAGAGACGGGGTTTTGCCATGCGGCCCAGGTTGCTCTGAAACTGCTGAGCTTAGGCGATCCACCCACCTTAGCCTCACAAAGTTCTGAGATTATAGGCGTGAGCCACTGCACCCAGCTAGTTCATGGGGAGCTTAAATGCACAGAACATCAGTGATGTGTACACCTGCTCATTATGGATCACATGCCAATCACAAATGTTTAAAATGGAAAACGTCCTCACCAATGCCTTAGAGAAATTATTCAAAACTATAAATTTTAGAGGATTCATAAAACATCTGCCCATAATAAGCAACTGAAAAGCTCTGGCTTAAAACTTACAAATAGCCTGCACCTAACCCTCCCTTCATTAGAGCAATCCTAAGAAAAATACTCCTACTGACTTCTGAACATCAACTAAATGGAGTAGTGGTTCATAAATTTTACAGGCTTCTGGCCGGGCGCGGTGGCTCAAGCCTGTAATCCCAGCACTTTGGGAGGCGGAGACGGGTGGATCACGAGGTCAGGAGATCGAGACCATCCTGGCTAACACGGTGAAACCCCGTCTCTACTACATATTACAAAAAACTAGCCGGGCGAGGTGGCGGGTGCCTGTAGTCCCAGCTACTCGGGAGGCTGAGGCAGGAGAATGGCGTGAACCCGGGAGGCGGAGCTTGCAGTGAGCCGAGATCTGGCCACTGCACTCCAGCCTGGGCGACAGAGCAAGACTCCGTCTCAAAAAAAAAAAAAAAAAAAAAAAAAAATTTTACAGGCTTCTGTCTAGGAAGTTCTGAATCCACCTTGTCTATTGAGACTTGCTCCCAAATAGATGACATATTTTCTGGCCAATTCTACTCTATGCTGTAAACCTTTTTTCTGAGGAGACCTTCTGACTTTGCCACAATAAAATGTTCCATTGTCCTAAGACTTACATGGAACAAGGAAATGTACAGAAATGACTGACTGCCATACTTGTAAAGAATGTTCCATGATGGTACAAAAACAATAGATACTTCTCTACAAAACCCTGTCAACAAACTAAAATTTAAAAATACCTGCTGAAGTGGGTAGATCGCTTGAGCCCAGGAGTTCCAAGACTGGCCAGGGCAACACGGCAAAACCCCATCTCTACAAAAAATTAGCCAGGCCTGGTGGTGCAAGCCTGTCGTCCCAGCTACTCAGGAGGCTGAGGTGGGAGGATCGCCTTTGCCTGGGAGTTCGAGGCTGCAGTGAGCCATGATCGCATCACTGCACTCTAGCCTGGGTGACAGAGTGAGACCTTGTCTAAAAAAAAAGAAAGCTGGATTAAGGTATCAAATACTCATCTTGATTTATCTTAATTTCACTTAAAGTCTTACACACTGTTGACCTTGTGGCACTGCTATAGAAAGCTGAATCAAGAACACAGTATGAGTTCCAACTCTGTACTCTGCTTGAAAAAGAGCAGAACTCCACTTTCAGCATTGGTGGACTTAGGTAAATGAGACGAGCTCACCTCCTGAGGAAAACTAGAATAGCTGAATGAATTACAAAAAGCACACACCTTTTGAAGTCACCAGAGAACTACAAGACAGTAATTACTGGTCCGGGGGAGAACAACGGCCAGAAAAGAGAACTCTGGAATCAGGTTTTCCCCTCAGGATCTACGCTGCTTGGTGAGGCTTTCCGAGGCTTTCGATAGCTACTCAGGCCCGAGGTAACAAAGATTTGTATGTAAGATGTGTGGTGGTTGAGGGGAGTTCTAGCGAAACCCTTTGCTTTGGGTTGGCATACCAAAAGAACATACACTCCGATTTAGAGTGAGCCAGAAAAGGCCCGAGAAGAATGCAGCTCAAATTCCAATCATCAGAATCTTTAAAACGGATTAAAACACTCCTGGATAGCCAGTGCCAAGTTTCTCACAAAAAATGTGACAAAAAGAAACAAACAGGCCGGGTGCGGTGGCTCACGTCTGTAATCCCAGCACTTTGGGAGGCCAAGACGGGTGGATCACCTGAGGTCAAGAGTTCAAGACCAGCCTGGCCAACATGGTGAAACCCTGTCTCAACTAAAAATATAAAAAAATTAGCGGGGCGTGGTGGCGGGCACCTGTAATCCCAGCTACTTTGGGAGGCTGAGGTTGCAGTGAGCCGAGACTGTGCCACGGCACTCCAGCCTGGGCAACGAGAACAAAGCTCCATCTCAAAAAAAAAAAAAAAAAAGAGAGAGAGAGAAACAAAAACTGTTAGGTGATACCATTTTTGAACTCAAATTATTCCCCAAAATAATTCTGCAAAAACAACGCCTGACACACTACAGAAGATAAACAGATATGTGATAGATAATATGAACAAAAGAATAACAGAAATAATACAACAGAATCAGATCCACAGTAGCTCCATAAATTAGAAGATACCAGGTATCACACAAATTTTAAAGTAAGTAGAGCTGGGCACTGTGGCTCATGCCTGTAATCCCAGCACTTTGGGAGGCCGAAGCGGGTGGATCACAAGGTCAGGAGATTGAGACCAGCCTGGCCAACATGGTGAAACCCCGTCTCTACTAAAAATACAAAAATTAGCCAGGCGTGGTGGCACGCGCCTGTAATCCTAGTTACTCAGGAGGCTGAGGCAGGAGAATCGCTTGAGCTCGGGAGGTGGAGGCTGCAGTGAGTGCCACCCAGAGCATGCCACCGCACTCCAGCCTGGGACAGAGTGAGATTCTGTCTCAAAAAAAAAAAAAAAAAGTTTATCTTTTACTATTCCATGGTGATAGAAGAGAAGAAAATGAACAAATTAAACTCGTGTTTACAGATACAGGCTTCAACAGTAAATCTATAAAGAAAAGCAAATGATTACCATAAAAGTCGTGATGCTAGACACTTTCGTTAGGGAGGAAGGGTGGCTTCTGGGATGCTGATAATGCTCTAGTTCTTGAACTAGGTTGTGGTATCTGGGCATTTGCTTCACAATAATTCCTGGATGTATGTGAATATGTGTGCATGTTTTTTGTATACTTTTCTTTATGGATGTTACATATCACAATAAAGGTTTAAAAAAATTTAAGTAGACTTAAGCAAAACAAAATGCTTAAAATATGTGAAATACATATCGAAAACCCTTAAACTACAATCTCATCTCTGAAAAATGCTTCACATTAACAAACAGTAATTTAGCTAGCCTTGAAACACATCATGGTTTCTGACATAGAAAAAGGGGAAGTTGTGATACTATACTGTGATTCTCTACTACGAATCCTGAGCTATTTAGTTCCTACAGCAGAAAAACAAACTGACCCGAGCTGGTAGAAAAGCAAATCTATGAGGTTAGTTTGAGTACAAAATACAAAGATATGCGAATGGTTCAGAGAGGCAGCATTCTCCTTCCATCTCTCTCCCCAGCCAGCATCAGATCTATGACATTTTTCATGCTGATACGTCTTCTCTTGAGGGCAGATAAAAATCTCTCTCACACACACACGCACACACACACCATGAAAAAACCAGACACTGTCTTGAGAGGAGAGGATTGAGGACACAAATAATACTTCATTTTCTGATGCAACTCTGTACACCCGCCACTCACAGTTAACCATAAAAAATGGACACTTACTTGATCAAGATTTGAAAGGCTGTTAGGGTCCTGACTCAGACCTTGGTACTGTCCCCTGAGTCTGTCACCAGCAGCTATTTTCCTAAACTTCTTCAGATCCACAACATATAGTGCACTGAACAAAGAAGACCCGCTTGTTACAACCAACCATGGATTACGACAGGACAACTAAACCCAATGAATAATGGAACGAACAGGCCACTAGCCAAATATTCCGGCTTTTCTCTGAAAAGGTATGCTGCAGCCCTACCGTGGAGTTAAACTGTGCTGCTTTAAGATCTCTAAGAAAGTCACTGCAAAATCTATCCTGTGCCATGCTTTTGTTACTGTTCCGTATTTGCCATCCAAAAGAAATAATCTCAGACAAAAGATTTCTAGCAAATGCGGCAGTAATAAAAGCCATAGTAACTGGTAACTATTATTCAATGATATCCTGATGATGTCTTCAATGTTACAGGGGGGAAAAAATCCCAGAGTGTTACAGTCCTTACAGTTCTTTTGGACCAGGACTGTAAAGAATGAAGCCGCCATCGCTACACCCCAGCAGTGATGCATGAGCCGCTTTCTACAGGCTCCTCTTCCCTGCACATCTTCAAATCACACTTCTCACAGAGAAGAGAATGGAGTGCTAATTAGAAATGTAACAACGTACACACTGTTTGACCTAAAAGGTCTACTTCGAGGAATTTATCCCACAAACGTATCTGAGATATGAAAAATAATTTATTTAGATTATTCACTGCAACATGGTAGGTCATAGGAAAAAACTGTAACACTCACACTGGAATAATATGCAGCTATGAAGAGGAATCAGGTCTCTTTCTATTCATTGAGAAGATGTATATGACATTAAGTTAAAAAAAAAAAAAAAGCCAAGTTACAAAATGTATAAATAGGTAGCATATTTTGTGTGAAAAAAGAATACACATTCACAGCTGTTTCTGTAAGAATTAAGAAAATCTGGAAAGATAGACAGTCAAAAGTTGGGAGGTTATCTGTTGTGAGAACAGGAACCGAGTAGGAAAGAGAGAGACAGGATTAGGAAGTTTTTTTACACTGTGTATTTTATTTTATTTTATTTTTATTTTTTTGAGATGGAGTCTCTCTCCGTCACCCAGGCTGGAGTACAGTGGCGTGATCTCAGCTCACTGCAACCTCCGCCTCCCGGGTTCAAGCAATTCTCCTGCCTTAGCCTCCCGAGTAGCTGAAATTACAGGCACCCATCACCACGCCCAGCTAATTTTTGTATTTTTAGTAGAGGCGGGGTTTTGCCCTGTTGGCCAGGCTGGTCTTGAACTCCTGACCTCAGGTGATCTGCCTGCCTAGGCATCGCAAACTGCTGGGATTACAGGCATGAGCCACTGTGCCCAGCCACTGTGTATTTTTTATAATTTTTATTTTTCTTTTTTTTTTTTTTTTGAGGCGGAGTGTAGCTCTGTCGCCCAGGCTGGAGTGCAGTGGCTGGATCTCAGCTCACTGCAAGCTCCGCCTCCCGGGTTCACGCCATTCTCGGGCCTCAGCCTCCCGAGTAGCTGGGACTACAGGCGCCCGCCACCTCGCCTGGCTAGTTTTTTGTATTTTTTAGTAGAGACGGGGTTTCACCGTGTTAACCAGGATGGTCTCGATCTCTTGACCTCGTGATCCGCCCGTCTCGGCCTCCCAAAGTGCTGGGATTACAGGCTTGAGCCACCGCGCCCGGCCTATAATTTTTATTTTTCAACCATACCAATGTATTACCTATTCACAATTTTAACCACACAAAATCAATTTTAGGAAAACCCCATCACGGTGTTAGGAGTGCTTCTTTTCAGTACCTGATATGATACTTTCGCCCAGCTAAATGACTGGCCCAGTACCCTGACTTCCAGAACCTGTAGCCGTCCATTTCTCTTCGGCTGTCACAGAAGGGAGTGTAACCGTAAGGAGCACCATCCAAACTGAAATCTCTCAACTCTTTCAGATCCGTTCGGACAATCTGGAGGATATCGAGAGTCATTCGTTAAGCAACCATGCAGACAGCTCTAACGCCGTTTCCTGAAGATACAGAGTGGCTCGCTGAAGGCAGCATGGAAGGCTGCTCAGTGGTGAGTGGCACAGGCACTACCGGCAGATGTACTTTGCTTCCTCCACTTGTTAGTAGGTTGACTCACTAACATGTAAGACACTTAGCAAGGTGTGTGGGAGTAGGAATAAAACAAATTTCAATTGCTTAGGCTTTCTGTGCCTCAGTTTCTTCATCTATAAAATGGAGATAATGACAGTACCTATGTCACAGGGTTGTTGGGAGGATTATGTAAGTTAACACATGGATGGACAGATGTAGAATAATGCCTTGCCCATCTTAAGTACTCAACAAGGATTAAATGTGGCTATGTTAGAATCAGGAAGGCACACTTCAGGCTGAGCCAGTGGAAGAGAATTCCAAAGAGGTGAGTGAAGTCTCCGTCCCAGTGACTTTCACACACATGACATCCTTCCACTCAGGTGGCTACTCAGGTTTCCGCCCGCTCGGGCTGAAGTGGAAGGCTGTGGGCAGAAATACATTTATGCTGTTTGAGTCTGTGTGTTCTAAAATCACATGTTCCCTTTCATTAAGTCAAACCCTGACAGCTGGAAGAATATCCGGAGGTTCCCTGTTGCCAAAGCCATGCATCCACTTAAGCTTCGTCTATTACCTGTGACAATAACTCCTACCTTTTGGGCAGATAATTAGAGATGATGGCAAGCACTGCTAAACGTTAATTTTCTAATTTTTAGTTTTCAAGTTAAATGAATTGAGTCAGATACAAAATTGCACACATCATGTTATCACAATGATGTTAAAAAGACAGAGAAAAAGATGTAAAGGAGATAAGCTAAATGTTTAAAGAGTGATCACATCTGTGTGATACATATTTCCATATTTTCTAAATGTAAAATAAGCATGTCCTTTTCCATAACTGGAAAAAAATAGCATTTAAAAAGAAGCAATTTGTTGCTTTTAATACAAACTGTCAAAACTTGGCCTTTAAGGGCCTACCTGATCAGCATCCACAAACAGGAACTTGTCAACAACTAGTGGGAAAAGTACATCCAGGAAGAGGATCTTGTAACCCCAGATGATACGCTGTTTTTCAGTCTGTTGATGAAGCCACCGGGGCCATTTGTACTGAACAAGCTCATACTGAAAATTGTATTCATTTGCCATGTAAGGTATAAACTCCTGTTTTGAGACATGGGAACAACAAATAATCATTTCTTCTGATTAAGAAAACTGCTTTCATAATGTAAGCCAACCACCATGATACGGGACAAATAAAACACATTTACTAAAACAGTGGTCTTACAAAGACTGGCCCTGACCCACTCATGACTATAGAGAAGAACAGATATAAACCTGTGTGAAATCCCCATTTCTTTATGACTTCTGGTCACCACATGAAATCAGAGAATGTTCAAGAGAAGGATTTTAGATGTACATCCCTCTGTGTGTGTTTTTACCGCAGATGAACTTTAAGTCCATTTGTCTGAACTTGATTTCAGTAAGGCATTTACTGAGCTTGATGACAAGCCTTCCTCAAGGCCAGATCTAATCCGGGGAATAACACTGCAAAGCCAGAACTCTGGACAAATATGTTGCCCTTTATGAATAAGTCTTTCAGATTCTAAGTACAAGCACCTTTAGGGGGCCAGTAGGAAAGTGCTTATCAAGGAGAATGGTTATTGAATATATTAAAAGTCATTTAGTAAATTCTACAGGAAAAAAAAGGATGCAAATAAATCAACTTAGATGACAAATACTGGCTGATATAAATAATGCAGAAAGCATTCCGAGGACGTGTTTTGTTTTGCACAGAGGAAGCATGACTTCCATACATCATCTGGGAGTGGTTCATGCTAACACCAGTCATGCTCCTCAATGTAAACCACTGCTGTGCTTTCTAACTGAAAGCAAGCACACAGGCTTCCGAGGAAGGAAACGTTATCTCATAAGACACTGCTCCTAATAACAACAACAAAACACTCTCCTACTATATTATCCAAGTTTTTAAACACAATTTAACTGTTTCCCTCAAACAGACCAATCTGGAAGAATAACCAAAATAGAAATATGCAACCAAATAGTATTCTATGCAACCATTCTTAGTAAATGGAAAATTTGCTAAAGTACACAGATAAAACAAAAGTCATGAAAAATATACAGTAAATATCTCCTTAATAAGAATGTTTTCCCTTCCTCTGTGAAACAAACCTTAAATGTGGGGGACAAGTAATTCTTCAAGAACCAGAATTTCACAGGAGTCTTGGTATTCTTCAGCACGGATAGCATCATTATGCTGCCAAACAAAAGCAGAAAATTAATAATAGTTTTCCAATGGGATTTAACCTCCACATGATGTAGAGTCAATCACGAGACACCTAAATGCTCTTTACGGCAGAGCTAACTAATGGCTCAATTAGGCAGAGGGAGACACTCAGTGATGGAAAATGAAAAATTGTACTTCAGCTTATGAAGTTATCACTGAAAAGAAGGGGCATTCCTCACCTACAAAACTACACTTAACTGACAGAGGCAAATGTTTTAATTCTGTTACACCTCTAAATAAACTGCTTCATGAACTGATATGTTGGTTATGGTGCAGATGAACCCTGGAGATGGGGGTAACTGACATCACTCTCCAAAACCCCTGTCACACAACAGCAGCATCTGGTGCTGAGGGAAGAATGTGTAACCACAGCGCCTCCTGCAGCCTACACAGAGGTCCTGCTTCAGAGAGGAAGGCTACCAGCTCCCGTCTCCTTACTCAGAAAACAAAACCACATTTATGAACCGAGGAATTTAATCAAATTCAGTTGTTATTAGTGTCACTATTTTAGGTAGGCTATTATTTCTTGGAAATAAGAGGGCTAAAAATATGAAAAATGACATTTTGATTTTCTATACTAGATCTGTAGTGAAAAATTAAGAGTGAACAGAGCCCTGGCAATGAGAAAAGTGGCTCTCAGGCCTTCCTGACACTGTAACAAGGCACTCCCGAGTGCCTCCGGTCACCACTACATCAGTCAGCCCTGGCCTGTGGCCTCTTCTGGCTCTAGCTGTGTGACCTTAGACAAGTCCCTTCACACTTGAGGCCTCAACCTGTTTATAAAATAGAAGTGTTCATATGTAAGAACTAAGGTCTCTCCTGGCTCTAAAATCCTGTGAATCTTTAGAAGGCAGCAAAGTACCATGGTTCTGTTCTCATTCTATTCTCTATGTCAACCTCCTAATCTCTGGGTGAAGCAATGTTTGGCAGGCAGTAAACAGCACAGTCTATGAAGGTATACAGTGATGTTAAAAGGCTGCAGCCTTGTAATATCCAGAGGCACTCACTACATAGCTCAACTTCACAGAGATGACGGGATCGAAACAAATCCAATTATAAATGGCAAGCCAGTCACAATGCTCAGAGTGCTTCAAAGACACAGAAGTATGAGCAGAATCCCATAAAACCTTTCCTCTCTAAATAAGAACACTGACAAATTCATTCATGTATAATGAAATCATCAACAAGACTGACCGAAGAAATCTTTCGTAGAGATGACCAGATGCAACGGAGAAAATATTAATTATGTCATCTTTATCTTGCTTCATTTCCTCAGTCTTCTGTCCTCCTGTAAAGCCCCTATAACAATAAGAGTAAAAACAAGACCACTTGAAATACTGGTACAGACATACAGCCTTTTAAAGTAAGAGGAAAGAGATGGCGCTTCCCATCCTTCCCTAGCAGGTGAGCTGCAGCAGGAGTGGTTATGAAGCTTCCCTCACATCCTGGAGACAGCACAAGACCGACAAAACCAACCTATGGGAAAACAAAAAGAATGTTCACTCCCGGACAGTGTTGCTTTAGGAAGAGACTGAACACAGGCTGCACCAGAATGCAACTTACACAACGGGAAGTAAACTGAGCAGGGAGCAGTCAAATTTCCAAAGAGCAGGCACAGGTAATGAGAGTCACAAAGTATGGAGCAGAATTAACTTCCCCATTAGGAGACACGAACCTCTTTTGGATTAATCAAGTGAAAATACTCATCTATGCCAAATGTAAGTGTGAGATGTAGGTGCACAAAGTAGAATGTGAAAGGCCCAGACGGGATCCCAAGATGCAAAAAGGAGGGATGGACGGTGCTTATATCTCAGTTTTTCCTTAAAAACATAACTCTTTATAATGTCAATTTACCATTTGAAGGAATCCCAAAATCCAGATTCATTCTCACTCGTTCCATCACTCAGCAAGTCTTCGTTCACCATATCTGCCTTCTTCTGAACCTGCAATCAAACGTGATAAATCTTACTCCCAGTATGTCTCATAGGCATAAAACTGCCTCTCACTGGATGTACACTGTGAGCCTGTCATCAACAGGGAATTATCCATCAATTCTCTCACAAACAGGCACGACCCCACCCAGAGTCTAGAAGGATTCAACAGAAGTATCTCCACCAGGACATTCACATCATAACCTTATGTGAGGAGACAGCAACCACCTTTAATTAGACAAACCCTATTTTCAGCTTGCAACATAGGCAAAGAGCCGCAAACTCAACTGTGCAGTGAAATCAGAAGCACGAGTCAATGAGCCAACAGCTAGTTCCAGGGAACAGTGCGGCTGTTGGGGCTCTAGCCGTCGGGAGGGACGGATTTCATGCTATGACCAGTTTTCAGGATTCACTAGCACAAACAGGGGTTTCTTCTTGGCAGCACAGTGACCATTTTCCTGCTCAACTATGCATGGCCTATTCTAGGTTTCACTGTGTGTAATGATCATTTATTCCAGAATACACTGTACTTGAATTTAAGGTACTAAACGCTTCAACATTCAGAGAACGGAAACTAGAAGTCAAAAGAAATTAAATAGGACTATCATTTTATTATTGAAAATTTTCATGGCCATTTCTCCCAATATTCTGAGAAGAGAATCATCAACAATACTATGAATTGTGGCTATATAAACAACATAGCATCTGTGAGAATATTTTATAGAAAATGGGACATGTTCTGTACACTGAGATTACCCAAAAAGGTACAATCTTCCAGTTGAGCAAAGCCACAAACTCACACTTACCAAGACATTCTGCCTTAAAGCAGTATCCCTGTAATCGCCACAGCAAATTCCAAAGAGACTCTTGGGCTGGTTCCAAGATATGTATTTTTACATGACAGCTGTCCAATAACAGAATGCCACCACTTTTACCAAACTCACCTTCACTTTAATAATTTTGCTTTTGAAGTTGTTGAGGACGATCACCACATCATCAGCCTCAGGGGGAGAATCGGTGCCATCATGGCTTGGCGAGAAAAGAAAGGTCAATATTACAAGGTACAATTCTCAAAAGGCAGCAAATGCTCTCAGAGCATCTGAGTCCATCATCCTTCTCATAAAGGAGTTTTCCAGATCCAACTATCTTCTTGCTCCTTAAGCTCCTTCAAGCTGCACAGAAGCACGTGTTGAAATCTCTCTTTATATAAGGTGCATGCCCAAACCTCCTTCGTGAGTCCTCTTTCAAATTACCCATCACGCAGTGAGAGGAACCAATGTGTGGAAACCACATGGTGAGTACTAAACAAACGCCTGTGTTCAGAAGCTCTGAGCCAAGCAGTGTCTTTGGTAAAGGAGTGCAGGAGGAACAGGACCCCTGAACCCTGAACAGGACCCCTGAACAGGACCCCTGGAACCACACTGCTTCTTTTTTTTTTTTTTTTGAGACAGAGTCTTGTTCTGTCACCCTGGAGTGCAAGTGGAGCAACCTCAGCTCAATGCAACCTCCACCTCCCAGGTTCAAGTGATTCTCCCGCTTCAGCCTTCAGCTAGCTGAGTTTACAGGCGCCCACCACCACATCTGGCTAATTTTTGTATTCTAGTAGAGACAGGGTTTCACCATATTGGCTAGGCTGGTCTCAAACTCCTGACCTCAAGTGATCCACCCTCCTTGGCCTCCCAAAGTGTTGGGATTACAGGCGTGAGCCATCACGCCCGGCCACTACTCTGTAACTGGAACAGTGTTGTAAAGAAAATCTGCTTGCTCTTTCTGCCTGGAGGCAACAATCAGTCAACAACAGGCCCTGTACTCAACTCAGTGTCTATACGCTATGAGAAGAACTACAACAAACTCTATTTGCAGGCAGACAGGAGCAGAGGAAGAAAAATTAAATTTATGTTTCCCTATTAATCAACAGCAATGCCTAAAATTTCCAGTCACCAAATTTCAAGGTGCAGAAAGTGATAATTACAACATGAACTCACTGCACTTGCTGTCAGCTAGCAGAGAGTAGGGTTCTGAGACAAAGGAAGATTCTGCTGGGGGAAGCCCTGAACAGCTAGGAAGAGGGGGCACCACGCCCCTGGGAAGGGGAGGGCTGGCAAGGGCCACGGCATCCAAAAGGGAAGGAGTTTGGAAGTGCATCCAAAATTTTGTAAAACCTTATCTGAAGAAAATGTTATTTGGGAAAAAAACCTTCTACTGTTTACAATGGTGTTATTATAATACAGAATTCTTCTCTTTCCTAGGTAAGAAGCAGGCACTAATCCACTGCTTCATGTGTGTCACTATGGAGCTAATTAAGGCAAGGATATACTATAGGGTGCTTCCAATGAGCCCTAATGGAAATCATCACCTAAACAAACCGGCAGGAAGTCTTTTCACACAGCTTAAAACTAATTTAAATTGTGTTAAGCAGAATTTATATCAAACTTTTTAAAAGGCAACATAATTATTTTTAAACTAATAAATATGTGCAGTACACCTTAAGGTAAAAGCTGGCCACAGAGGGAATGTTCTTACTATACCACCACAGACCAAGGAAGACCACACGAACAGCACAAAGTTTCCATGTACGGTGCATTTGCAAATCACTCAGGGTCAACACATACACTCCCTGGGCAGAAAAGTTTGGCTGTTCTTTCTTTCTTTTCTCCTTTCTTCAAGTTTCTCATCTGCCTATCTATGAGCTGCATCACAGAGATTCTGGGATATTGTTAGCACAAAGGAATAATTAAAGAATAAAGCCTGACTATACTTATTAGCATCTATACCTCTTATTATCTAATTCTACTCTAACAATTCTTCTCTATTTAACTTCCTGGGAAAACCACTGTTTCATCACACATACAACTGCAAATTGAATTCAGGCTGCCTGACTGCCAGGGTAGTATTCAATTAGAGCTACTGCTCATTTCTAAATGTTCTGGGAAAATGTATGTGCATCACTTACTCCTACCTGTAAATTCTATAAATATCTTCAGAGCGTCCCTTTCTAAGTCTGAGGATCCAAGCTCCTGGGTTGGCTTTCAGCTGAAAGTAGCCCTAGGACAAGAAGAAAAGTCCAATGTTAGCTCTCTTCAAAACACCAAAATGCTATTTCTGAGGAACAGTTACTTCTATCTCTGAAATATCAATCAACTATAATGTGAATAACACAATAAACAAATCAATGCAACTCTTAAAAAACCAAAACTACACATTAAAAACTCTAGCACAGGCCAGGTGTGGTGGCTCATGCCTGTAATCCCAGCACTTCGGAAGGCCACGGCAGGTGGATCACTTGAGGTCAGCAGTTCGAGACCAGCCTGGCTAACATGGTGAAATCCCATCTCTACTAAAAAAGTACAAAAATTAGCCGGGCGTGGTGGTGGGTGCCTATAATCCCAGCTACTCAGGAGGCTGGGGCAGGAGAATCGCTTGAACCTGGGAGGCAGGGGTTGCAGTGAGCCGAGATCACACCACGGAACTCCAGCCTGGGCAGGAGTCTCAAAAACAACCACAAAAATCTGGTACAATAAAGGCCAGTCGCACCAAGAAATCGCCTGCTCTTTAGCTGTGCTTCAGGGAAGAATCAATGTGTGATGCATGAATTTAAGTGTCGCGCTTCCAAAGAAAAGAAAAAGGCTGTCAGCTCGAGAGCAATCTATTTTCAGGGGCCAATTCAGTTACAGCATTCCAGCATGGTTTTTCTTTCGACATGTAATTTCAACCTAAATTTAGCTGAACTAATGATTTCTATATTGACCAAATTCACCCCATAATGAATTTTAATCTCACTCTGTGGTTAAGAATGCTAACTGTTCCATCGTAAATTACAGGGCCCAAATTAACGTAACTACAACATCACTATCTGATGAATAGATTATTTACCAGATTGGCCATAACAATGGTGTCCACGATGACCGGGTTGGCTGAAGTTCCTAAGGTAAACTGCAGTCCCCGTGGAGGCTGGCCTGTGGTGATGTCGTAGCAATGACCTTCCAGTAACAGGTACTCCAGCTCATACTCAGCAGCCACTATACTGTCCACCTGTAAGCCAAAAATCCAATCACTTGAAGGCACTCAGAGACAACATGAATAAATCTGAAATGCATTATGCGACGTAAAGGAAGCAGACAAAAATGACTTACATAATATATGATCATATTTTAAGAAATTCAAGAAAAGACAAAACTATAATGACAGAAAGCAGATCAGTTGTTGCCTGAAACCAGGCAAGAGGAGGCTAATGTCTGCAAAGGGGTATAAAAGAACTTTTGGGGTAATGGAAATGTTCTGCATCTTGGCTATGGTGGTAGTTAATGACTGTATACAATTATAAAAACTGGGTTGGAAAGAGAAAAGAGAAAAAAAAATAAGGAAGTTACTCTAAAAATATGAATGAGGATAAGACACTAAACGTTGAAAAAAATTAAAGACCTACGTGCAAAGACATCCTGTAGTCACATATCAGTAGAAAAACTTGCACACAACATTCATAGCAGCATTATTTACAACAGCCAAAAAGTAAAAACAACCCAAACGTCCATTCGTGAAAGGATAAATAAAATGTGATATGTCCATAAATGAAATATTATCTAGCAAGTTAAAAAGAATGAAGCATCGATACATACTACAACATGGATGAATCTTGAAAACAATCTGTTACGTGAGAGCAGCCAGCTACAGAAGACCACATTTGATTCTGTTCAGACAAAATGTCAGAAGAGGCAAATCCATAGAGATAGAAAGTAGACTAGCAGTTGCCAGGGGCTGGGGAAATGGAGAGTGACTGCTAATGAGTACAGGGCCTTTGCTGGGGATGCTGAAAACATTGAAAATTACATAGTGGTGATGGCTGCACAACTCTGTGAGGACACTAACACCTCTCAACTGTACATGTTAATGAGGAAAATCTTATGGTACATGAGTTCCATGTGAACAAAGCTGTTGTTTTTAAAAATATCATCCCTGAACACTGATGTCTCAGAGGCCCACCTAGACTGGGATTCAATCTGCTCTATTACACATGATTAGGTATTTGGAAACAATGATAGTCTTACCTCTTCTAAATAAATATTGTCAAGATCATATGGTGTTCTGACAGATTCTACCATCCAGCTCTCAGGTGTGTTCAGGTTCAGAGTGAACAGTGGAGACTGAGGCATATCCAAAAATTTTGCTATTGGACCCTTAGCAAAACTATTGTCTGAAGTGAAAGAAATCTCTGGTTCTAACACATAACGGTAAAAGCTGAAATTGAAAAGGAAAGTGTTAGATATTTTTCTACGTGACAACGGTACTTGAGTGTACAAGCCCTTACACAGGTAAACAACTGGTTAAAACAAATTAGATTTGGAAGAGTACCCTTCCAGATTGGGAAACGTGTTTCCAAAACCATCTTTGACCTAATGATGCCTCCTGCGGTTGCTACAGATGCAAGAAAAGGCAAACAAGGACAGCACTGAGGAGGAGGCCACTCTTTCACATGGATGGCTGTCAGGGTCACAATTAGGTCCTGGGCATTTTCCTCCCTTCAGGGAGGATTCATTTTTCTCTTTAAAACCAATTCCTAAAAGCTGATTGGACTCTCAGGCTAGCCCTGAAAACACTAAGAATTTAAACGTTTCCCCTATACAAGAATAATGGTGAAAGGTGGGAACCCTTTGGTTACTTGCAAATGCTGTTTCAATCCACCTAGAAGCTAACCTATAAAACACAGCACACTGGCAAGTTAGAAATTTTCCACAGCCACAACACTAACTGCTTTTTGTATCACTGTTTTCATAAATGACCATTCCAAAACTCATGACAATATACAGCTAAGCAAGCTTCCTCTAATACGTATATTCCAACTTGAAATGAATATTCTTCTTCTTTTTTTTTTTTTTGAGAGGGAGTCTCGCTCTGTCCCCAGGCTGGAGTGCAGTGGCCGGATCTCAGCTCACTGCAAGCTCCGCCTCCCGGGTTCCCGCCATTCTCCTGCCTCAGCCTCCCGAGTAGCTGGGACTACAGGCGCCGCCACCTTGCCCGGCTAGTTTTTTGTATTTTTTAGTAGAGACGGGGTTTCACTGTGTTTGCCAGGATGGTCTCCATCTCCTGACCTCGTGATCCGCCCGTCTCGGCCTCCCAAAGTGCTGGGATTACAGGCGTGAGCCACCGCGCCTGGCCAATATTCTTCTTTTAAAAAGAAAAGCACAAATGGGGCCAGGCGTGGTGGCTCATACCTGTAAACCCAGCACTTTGGGAAGTGAGGCAGATGGATCACCTGAGGTCAAGAGTTCGAGACCAGCCTGGTCAACATGGTGAAACCTGTCTCTACTAACAATACAAAAATCAGCTGGGCGTTGTAGTGTGCACCTGTAATCCCAGCTAGTAAGGAGGCTGAAGCAGGAGAATCGCTTGAACCCGGGAGGCAGAGACTGCAGTGAGCCAAGATCATGCCACTGCACTCCAGTCTGGGCAACAGAGCAAGACTCCATCTCGGAAAAAAAAAAGAAAAGGCACAAATGCAAGCAGCCTGGATTAATGCCACCTAAATGCTACAAACACACTATGTTCCTAGAACTTCTGATTACAGTGAAATCTGGCAAAACTGAACATTTAGTAAACGACCACTTCCAACATGATGTCCATCTATAAACCCATCTGAACCGCCAACATGCAGTATCAGACCTTGGATTCAGTACCCTTCTTCAACTGTTTTCTCACATAGCATGTTTTACCTTTTTAAAGGCATGTCGGAAAGTTTGGATTGGCAGTTCATAAATACTCTCAGATTCATGTTTATCAGCTGAGCCAAAACCTAGAAGGAAAACCAATGACAAAATACTTAGGATTTGTTTCTTCAGAAATTTATTATTTGACACTGAGATAGTAATATCTCAAGAAAAGATATAAAGAAAACAGCCATAGAGTCTGCACTGGAGAAACTTCTGGAAAACACAACTCTACTGCACAATCTACATCACACATACATAGGACATAGCCAAAAATAATGGGAAGTAGGCCGCTGCAGCTCACTGCTCCTCACACAAAGGCAGTTCCTGCGGGGAACCAGCAGGCAGATCGTGGAAAAACCACAGGCCTCAGAGTCACCACTGACATGCCAAACGATGAAAAAACAGAGATACCAATACACACAAAAAAGGTTAGGGATTTATTCGGCAATCAATGTTGGACTGACTGTGTCTTTGTCAAAGCTCTTCTAAATGTCCTAACATTGTAACACACTATACATGTCTAAAACACATGCCAAAACAAAGAACCCATGGTAGTTATAAAAAAGGAAAAATGAAAAAGCATACTTATTTTACTTCTTTGCCATTATAAATTAAAATACAGCACAACTTAATTCCAGGATGTTTTACTCTAAATGAGGATGTTAATCGCTTTTTAAAATTACATGAGGCAGCCACCCACACTCGCACCAACGTTCCAGGGCTGTGAAGCTGTTTCAGAGCGACTGTCAATCTTTGTGAAGATTGCTCTGCCCTAGAACCCCACATAGCATTGTCCAGTGCCGCTGAAGATAACTCAAGGAAAATGAAGCTCTCAGTGAATTTCAGAGCACGTGACAACTTCAAACAAAGGTGATGTGCACTGCCTGCACAGCGTTCCTACCAAGAGCAAGGGAGCAAGTCTCTGTGCTTCTCTGGTGACAGGGTCAACGACAGCCACGACATCAAAGTACGTCTCCCCTTCCTTCGGCCTCAGTTTAATTGCACTGAAAGATCAAAAGGATAAAACATTAACCTGGAGGACACAGGAAACAAAAGCTTTTTTTGTACAATATAACCTTCAACCTTCTTAGCATTTCAAAGAACTTTAGATCTAGAAAGACTAGACTATGATAATGGCCAACTATATGATTCTGTCTATCCCAAAGATTGCAAAACCTTAATAATGGATCTGAAATGGATTGAAAGGTCCATGGAAAGAGAGGAAAACCAGCTTGAAATTTTATTTAACCAAAAACTGAGAAAAGCTACTGAAGTTAGCTTGTGATAGTCATTAAACATTATGCCAATTTTTACTTCTTGGCAAGAAGAGTACGAAGAGAAAAGGAATAAATCAATTTTTAAAAAATAATAAAAGAGCATTCCAGAAAACCTGCAAAGCAAAGAAAAAGGAAAAATATAATCACAAAATATTCACTATCTCAGCCCACTTAGCTGCATCTCTATGTAATCCTTTCTAGATCCCTGTATAAACATTAGTTGTAGATACAGATTAGCAATTTCAAAACAGTTTCCTTCCATCTCCCACTACTGTAGCATAAAGATTTCCACATGCTGTTACACAACAAGCACCCTGAATAAGAAATAATATGCTATTTACCAAATGAAGCTGTCAGAGTTTACTCCAGCTTTTCTGTACTGCTGGACATACAGATGGCTTCCAACCTGTAAACAATTTGTACGACCAACTTTCTCCACATTTGGAAATTTCTTTAGAGTCAAGGAAGTGCTAGACATGAGATTATGGAGTCAAAGGATACAAATACTTTTGTGGCTAGTAAGTATTGTCAAGCACATTTCCTGAAGAACTAAACAAATTTACAAGGCCAAAAAATAAATTTCACCATATCCTTTGTCAACATTAAGTTACAGATATTTTGCCTATTCTTTTCCTTATTTACTTTTTCAGAGACAAGGTCTCACTCTGTGGCCCAGGCTGGAGTGCAGTGGTGTGATCGTGGTTCACTGAAGCCTCTAATGTCTGGGTTCAAATGATCCTCTCAACTTAGCCTCCTAAGTAGCTAGGACTACAGGCACATGCCACCATGCTGGGCTAATTTATATTTTTTTGTAGAGATGGGAGTCTCACTATATTGACCAGACTAGTCTCAAACTCCTGGCCTCAGGTGATCCTCCTGCCTTGGCTTCTCAAAGCGCTGGCATAAGCCACCACACCTGGTCCTTGTCTCTTTTTTGTTTTGTTTTTAAAGACAGAGTCTCGCTCATTCACACAGGCTGGGAGTACAGTGGCATGACCTCAGTTCACTGCAACCTCCACCTCCCAGGCTCAAGCAATCCTCGTGCCCCAGCACCAAAGTAGCTGGGATTACAGGCACATGGCACCATGCCCAGCTAATCTGCGTATTGTTAGTAGAGACGGTGTTTTGCCATGTTTGCCAGGCTGGTCTTGAACTCCTGGCCTCAAGTGATCTGCCTGCCTTGGCCTCCCAAAGCACTGGGATTACAGGCGTGAGTCATCCTGCCCAGCCCCCTTGTCTGTTCTTAACTGAACGGTAACTTCCTGTTGCATGGACTCCCTGTGAAGGCACACTGACTTTGGTGACTTAAAAGGAGCAGGGACCTCTAATGAACATTTAAAAGGACTCAACTTGAAAGGATTTAAACTTATACCCAATTTTTGAAAACCGTTAACTGTATAAACCATTATAGTTTGTTTGCTCTGAACAATACTATAATGTGGTTATGATACTAACCACTACTTTTATTTTTTTACCAAACAACATTTACCTAAGTGGAATGAATACAAAAGAAGACCACAAAACAGCATAACCAAGAAAACTGGAAACAATTTACATGCTCAAGAAGGCTCTTTCACATCTTAACTGCTTTGGAAATAACCGTCAGAATAGCTTTGTGGCCGTGTTGAGGTAGGTGCTTTCAATCTCTGGTATTATTAACAATTTCAGATTAAATCCACTGCCGGTGATTATTCTTCCAATACAACGAAACTTCTGTTACTCTAACACAACTGTTCTCACCGTGTGGCTCCAGAGCAGTGGCATCAGCTTCCCCTGGGCATCGGTGAGCAGCAAGACAGGATCCAACCCAGACTTCCTGAATCAGAAACTCTGGGGACGGGTCCAGCAATCTGCATTTTAACAAGCTCTCTAAGTAAAACCCACATTTTGAGAGCCACTGCCCTAATATAATTTGCACCTCTCTGTTATTCTAGAATTCTAGAAGGAAAAGCTCATTAGAAAATAGCATTCTACAAAGGCTCACAAGGGAACCAGAGAGTCTCAAACAGGACTCTACACAAGAGGGTAACCTCAAGTCACGCCTGCCCACACCAGGTTTGGGGTAGAGTTTCACACACGTTCACATTCCGAGCCAGCAGTGTTCTAGGGGATCAGCAACAGGCACACCAGAAATTGACCCTGTGAGCTCCTTTACTCACCCCACATCTCTAGAACAAGAAAAAGGGACTAGAAAAAAAGCAAGGAACGAGGAGTATTTGTGTGGAAATGGAAACAATATGAACAACACTATGTTTAAGTGTATTCACTATATTGGTCAAAGACCAGAATAAAACTAAAAGTGACAAAGACAGGAACGAGATTTGGAGATTACACACATTTGCCTAGGGTGCGTAGAGTAAATGTCGAAGAACACTGTGCTCACTAGCATTAATGCACACGAGAATCCCCCAGGAGCAACCTGTGAAAACGCAGACGCTCATTCCTCAGGACTGGTGTGGGTCCAAGCCCGCATTTCCAGCAGGCTCCCAGACAATGTCTTGCTGCTGCTCCGTGGACCACACTTTGAGGGCAAGAATATACATAACTGATGGTTCAGATCTTTCTATTTCTAGCATAAATGAGAAACTCCTGAGTTAAATGTAATAAACACTATTTTAACTGACACAACTCCCAGTAAGAGGAATTTCTCTAATAGTAATTATAATTTGTCTCATAATAGAATTTATAATTAAGGTATTTTAATTATACAAAACATGGAGACCCATGGAAAAGAAGATTTCTATAAAGGGAAGAGGTCTTTGCTCAGGACTCGCTACCTCTGACAAGAAGGGTAAACAAGACGGCAGGTTGATTCCGAAAGGTTTCCTCCCGCTGGTGACTAATGAGTCACTACCTGAGAGTTCACAAAACCTTGAGAAAATGGGTGCAATCTGGGTGCTAATGACCAAATTCCACAAGGATTATCCAGGAGCCATAAGAATCTTCACCCACTGCTGACATAAAAAACTAGGACACACAACTAACGCAAACAGAGGGCCTCCATTCCAGCCTACAATCATCAAATGATCTGACCACACAAACCTCATCCCCACAAGGATTAGTCATGAGAAAACACAGGTCCACTAAACCAAAGTCCAATCCATGCCAGACTAACCAGGTCAGAATCACAGACGAGTAGGACACAGGCCTCTATATCTAAAGCCTCCCTGGGGATTCCAAGGCACAATCAGCGTACATGTATATACTTGCCAGCTACGGCAAAGGCTACACACATTACGGTGCAGGGCTCTCTCCTAGAACCAATTAAATCTAATCATGAAGAAGCAACTCAGACTGTGAGACATTCCATAAGACAAGTGTCCTGGACTCTTAAAAAATGTCATCGTAAAAGACAAAAGACTAGAAAAAAAAATGGCAGAGAACTCTTCCAGATGAAAGGAGACCAAAGAGACACAACTCTGTAATATGTAATCTGGACCAAAACAAATACAAAAAACAGTTGTAGAAGGTCATTACAAAGACACTGGAGACATGTGACTAGAAATTGTTTTTTAATATTACTATATCAAGGTTACATTTCTGAGGTCAGCTAACAGTACTGTGGAGAAGTCCTAGCACTCAGGATACACATGCGGGAAACGTCAGACATGTTATGTCAGGATGTTTGCAATGTATTTCCAAATGGCGCAGGAAAAGGTATGACCGTGTGTATGCAAACATATAAATAAACTACTAACGCAGTTACTATAAGTACTACACAAACACACACGTGCAGACACACACACACACCATGCACATGTGCAGATGACGGAGATAAAGCAAATGTGACACACTAACAACAGGTGAATCTAAGTGAAGGACATTTGGATGCTCATTATATTAGTCTTTCAACTATTTCTAGGTTTTAAACTTTTCAAAACAAAAAAGTGAAGAACAAAAAGGCAAACTCCCTCATTATGCTAAGCTTATTTAAAACAAAAGTTTTTGGCCAAGCACCTTGGCTCACGCCTATAATCCCAGTACCTTGGGAGGCTGAGGCAGGTGAATAACTGAGCCTAGGAGTTTGAGAGCAGCCTGGGCACCACGGTGAGACCTCATCTCTATAAAAAATACAAAAATTAGCCAGGCATGGTGGCAAGAACCTGTGGTCCCTTCTACACAGGAGGTTGAGGTAGGAATATCACCTGAGCACAGAAGGTGGAGGGTGCAGTCAGCTGAGATCACGCTACTGCATCCTAGCGCAGAAGACAGAATGAAACCCTGTTTTTAATTAAAAAAAAGTTTTCAATAAAATATGAACGACACAAGTACTTTAATAATCTGTTTATTTTATTATTATTATTATTGTTTTGAGACAGAGTCTTGCTCTGTCTCCCAGGCACGATCTCTGCTCACTGCAACCTCCACCTCCTGGGTTCAAGTTATTCTCCTGTCTGTCTCCCGTGTAGCTGGGATTATAGGCATCTGCCACCACGACTGGCTAATTTTTGTATTTTTGTAGAGATGGGGTTTCACCATGTTGGCCAGGCTGGTCTCAAACTCCTGACCTCAGGTGATCTGCCGGCCTCAGTCTCCCAAAGTGCTGGGATTACAGGCGTGAGCCTCCACGCCCAGCCAATCTATTTTTTTGTGAGACAGGGTCTCACAAAAAGACCCTGTTGTTCAGGCTGGAAGTGCAGTGATGCGATCATGGCTCACTGCAGCCTCTACCTCCAGAGTAGCTGGGACAACATGCTCATGCCACCACACCCAGTTAATGTTTTAAAATGTTTTTGTAGAGACAGGTCTCCCTTTGTTCGCTGGTCTCAAGCTTCTGGGCTCAAGCAATCCTCCCACATTAGCCTCCCAAAGTGCTGGAATTACAAGCATGAGCTACCCTGACCTGCCTTTGTATATACTTGAATTTAAGAAAAGTACAACTGCTCTGTTTAATAAATGCAGTCTGTTTTCTACTACAAGGGTGCACTAAGAGTTATTTCAGATTTAGTTAGAAATAAATGTCAGTTTTCATGCAACGAGATTTGCATATGAATTTTATCTATGAATGCAAATATATGTATTATAAACTGCACACCAAACAAATGTTCGATTCCTATAAGAACTTACATATAAATCTTATATGGTAAAATGAAGGAGCTGAGGTAAAGGCAAATGTAAGAGTTTAATATTCAAGAACATGCACAAATTCAACATTAATTCTATACCTGTGTCTGTCTTCAAAAAACTGGTACTCGATTCTTGCATCTCCTTTGGGTTGTGCTGACAGGAGAGCATCCACCTTCATTACCAAGTCACTTGCCCTGAAAGAAGGGGTCAGAGAAATCTTAGCATCTTTTTAACTGAAAGTTTTCCAATTATTGCCAAACATATCATCAGCCCAAATACTGAATGCTAACAAGATGGTTTGAACCAGGTATAAAGTCTGTACTGACAGGACTAAGAAAGAGTGATTAGTAGTATAACGTTGGAGAAGTTACTCCTTTTCCCACACGTGAGATGGAGACAGCACCCACTCCGCATGACTCTAGTAAAACTGCATGAAACTCTGCAATGCACCTGGCTGAGGCCCTGGCCCATTACAGGCTGTCACTATTATTTACATTCTCCCTTGTCCTTTTAAAACTATTACTTTTTATGACTATTAGAGTAATAATTCACTGGAAAATAAACACAAAGGCAAAAACTGAAGTTACACATAATATCAAGAAATAAGCTCCGATATTTTGGCTTATAATTCTATAGTTTTAAAAACATATAAACAAATTATACTAACCGACAGCCTACTTTTTCACTTACAACATATTATAAAAATCCTTTCCTTGGTTAATAAATACAGTGGGATTTCAATATTTTTGCTTGTTTGTTTTAGTCAGGGTCTCACTCTAGTTGCCCAAGGCTCGATCTCAGCATCCTCGACCTTCCAGGCTCAGGTGATTCTCCCGCCACAGCCTCCCGAGTGACCGGGACTACAGGAGTGCACCACCAGGCCCAGCTAATTTTTATGTATTTTTAGTACAGAGAGGGTTTTGTCATGTTTCCCAGGCTGGTCTTGAACTCCTGGGGTCATGCAATCTGCCTGCCTCAACTAAAAGTGCTGAGATTACAGGCGTGAGCCACCGTGCCCGGCCTATTTCAATATATTTATGACTGCATAATGTTGTATTTATGGACACAAAACAATCTAAATATTCAACCAACCAACTATTGAACATCTATGTTGTTTCTAATTTCACTATTATAATCAACACTGCAGTGAACCACTATTGTCCCTGCCCCTTCTAAAATTGATTTCCAACTGAAAAAGATCTTGAACTAAACCTGAAAAAAAAAAAAAAACTCCAACTTGCTGAACCAAAGACTAAATCCTGAATAAGAATTTTAAAAGAGCACTTGCGAAATGTATTTGAACTGTAATTAAGCCCATACATTTTCTTTGAACCTAGCAAATACATCAAATTAACTATTTTGGTTCAACTTCTCAATATAGATGCCAAATATATATAATACAGGCCATTCTCTTCCTGTGATGGGTCACAGGGTTACAAAACATGTCAAGGGGCACTTGGTTACGTGAACTGGGGTGAGCAGGCCAACAAGAAACTCCCTGAAGGCTGATGAAGCACAATGATCAAAGTGTACAGAGCTAAGCTTCAGGGCAGCCTTGGGGATGCAGACTGGGTCATGAATGAAAGCTGTGGCTGTCACTGGGAAGGGGGCCACTCCAAGGTGGAGCAGCTCTGGCACTAATGAAAACCCAATGCAGACAAGGTAATTTTGGGAAGCCTAAGAGTTTTAGCATTCGTCTTTTGGCCCCATGACTACCTGATTTCCCTAAATTCACCCAGGAAAGATAGAGAGCCATCTCTCGTTGGCAAAAGGCAAGTCTTCTAGGCACAGTCTGGCAATTACATCACCCAAAAAGACTCCAAGGAGCTCCCTGCAATGGTCCAACAGCACGCCACACCAAGCCTATGCCTGTGACATGGCTGCTTCAAGTCACGAGTACCTCCTGGCCTACGTCAAGGGAAGCGTTTCACAGGTCGGGACAAGGGGCATCACTCAGGAGTCACTGAGGTAAGAGGGATCCTCCTTATTTGTAGCCCCGGTACCGGCCAAAATGAGAAAAGATTTCTTCCCAGGTCATACAAGACATGGCAACAGCTGACTCTGACAGCTATCCAAGTCAACACTTCTCTTGAACTCTGTAGTATGAGGACGTAAGAAAAAAACTCAGCAGAACTTTTTTTTTTTTTTTTTTTTTTTTTTTTTGAGACAGAGTCTCCTCTATACCCAGGCTGGAGTGCAGTAGTGCAATCTCGGCTCACTGCAGCCCGAGCAGAACTTTTTTTTTTTTTTTAGACAGAGTCTACCGCTCTGTCGCCCGGGTTGGTTGGAGTGCAGTGGCCGGATCTCAGCTCACTGCAAGCTCCGCTTCCCGGAGTTTACGCCATTCCTCGTGAACCCGGGAGGGTTCACGCCATTCTCCTGCCTCAGCCTCCCGAGTAGCTGGGACTACAGGCGTCTGCCACCTCGCCCGGCTAGTTTTTTTTTTTGTATTTTTTAGTAGAGACGGGGTTTCACCATGTTAGCCAGGATGGTCTCGATCTTCTGACCTCGTGATCCGCCCGTCTCGGCCTCCCAAAGTGCTGGGATTACAGGCTTGAGCCACCGCGCCCGGCCAGAACTTTTAAATTTTGTATCTCCAACTATGCATCAAAGAACACATCTCCACAGAACGGGAGAAAATGTTTACAAATCATGTATCTGGTAAGAAAGTGACATCCAGAATGTATAAAGAACTGCTACATCTCAACAACGAAAAACAACGCAATTAAAAATGGGCAAAGGACTTGAATAGACATTTTCCCAAAGATATATAAACGGCCAATCTGCACATGACAAGATGCTCAGCATCACCAATCATTAGGGAAACGTGAATCAAACCACAAGGAGACAGCATTTCACACCCACGAGGATGGCTATTATAAAAAGCAAACACACAAACCCCTCCCCCCACCAGAAAATTACAAGTGCGGTGAGGATGTGGAGAAACCAGACCCCTGAGCATTGTCAATGGGAATGTAAAATGGTACAGCTACTGTGGGAAAGGTACTGTGGCTCCTCAAAACTTAAACACAGAAATAGATCTTCCAACTACCCAGTTATTTGATAGTTAACGCAGAATCTACGTATATGTAACAATGGACTCCAGGGTTCATCCAAACAATTCATTTTCTTCCATTAAGAAAAATAACACACTAAAATAATCAGGTTATAAAAACACTGAAAGAATTAAAATTAAAAAACCAACAACCACCAATTCATCACAGCTTTGAAGATACAAGGGAAACAAGTCAGTATTCTGCACTGATAAATAAAAGAAAGATTTAAACTGCCTTTCCTTTCCTGAACACAATAAAACTGAAGGGTAACCAAATAGATAATGAGGAAAAGTATCACTTTACATAAGTATTCCAGGTAATAAATAAACTAGCCTCTTTACTTCCGCATATATTTGAAATTTTCCACAACCAAAAATCATAAAAATAAAAACAGAGAGAACTAATTCCGTTCTTTAAAGAGTACCCTACAAAATAAATTATCTTGTTTCAACAGAAGCATACATTAAAACTGGAATTGAAGAGTACTGTTAGATTTTAAAACTGGAAATAAAACACCTTGGGATATGTAGTATGAGTAACAACATACAATCCTAACTGATCAATGAGGAAAGTCCAATTATATAACCCCTGTAATTCCTCGTACGGCAAAACTTACACATCTTCTTCTACCCGAAGCTGTTGAATATGAGATTTTATTTTCTGTCCTGAGGTTTTTAAGATGATATTTTCGAGGAGGTGGAAATCGTCTTGATTAAAGAGCTCACTATCCTCCAGTGGCCCAATGATCTGTGAAGGAGAGAAGAGCGGGCGCTCAGAGCTGGAAGGCTGCCTGCACTCAGCAAGCTGGTAAGGAACCCTCTGGCGTCCTCAGGCTACCTCATATACCAGATCACCCTAAAGACCTGAGACAGGTACATGTCTAGATAAAATCAGTGAAATAACAGAAAGTGAAGCCCAAAACAAATACTTGCAGTTATTTACTTATCAACTCCTCAAGGACACAGTGTCAACCTGTGTGCATCACAGTATGTTACAGTAAGCAAACTCCAGAGTAAAATAAAATCGTAACGTAGTTTCCATTAATTCTCCCTGAATAAAAACAACAAAGGCTACTTTATGTACAAAGGCCGTACCGCCTGACTTTCTGAGAGCCACCACACTCTCCCCGCCTCACACACTCGCAGGACACAAATCCACAGCAGGAAGGCTCTACCATACGGGGGTATTTGTCTGTGTCAAAAAGCACAGCTCCTTGGAAATAGGAGGCAGAAACATCAACGGCACTTCATAAACCCCAATCACCTTTGAAAAAAGAGTGGCTCTGTTTGAAGAGTTTACTAGCTTCAGAGGAGAATGCTGCAAAGACTGTTCACGGATCTAATGTGAAGTCAAGCTTGACAAATCCTCACCCTTCCATTGCTGATCACTGCCCTCTGTCCCTTCTTCAGCTTCAGAACATCCCTGCAGTACACGGCATGAGACAAAATGAAATCCATTTTGGAAGACTCAAAGACCTCTTTAAAAAGACTGAAATCCATTCCCTAGGAAAGTAATCGTTATTAAGGAAAAAGAGTCGTTATTAAGCAAATCATATAAACAAATAAACACAGTGAACAAACCACAAAATTTTCTTTCCCTGGGAAGTAATAACTAATTTTCATAATTAAGATGTGTCAATTCTCCAGTCTCCCCGCCATCTCCCTACTACTTAGAGTAACTGCTATTTCCTTATCTTTTCCTGTGATTTGTTCGACTGGCAGACTATTATCATTCCTTCACTCTGCATTTTTAAACCTTGCTAATTTCCAGGGACAGCCTCTTTTCCTAACTGAAACGTCAAATAGTGTATACTCATCATTCTGTGAAAAATTTAAAACCTACAAAACTGTGATAAGTAACAAAATATAAATGAATAAACACAGGCTTATTCTGGAAACACATCAAGAACGTGTAAGCCTTGAACCCATAACTGGCTCACAAGTTGCTCTATAAATAAGCCAAATTGTCTCTTTTAAAAATTGTACATAACAAATGGCCCCACACTTAAAACTCACAAAAGCTCAAATCATGCACCACACAAAAGCTAGGCAAGGTTAAAAGTAATAAAGGGAACATGACAGAATTATTTCTTGGCAATATTCTTCCAAATTAAAAAAGAATTCCCTGAGACTCAGGACTAAAATGACAAATCACGATCATGAATGGACCACGGAAGCTGTAGTGGGTGAGCTTCCGTGGCAGACAGAATGGGGCAGCCTCATGAGAGGCTCAGAGCCTTACCCCAACAGAGAACTCCGCAATGTCAGCTCCTGCAGCCAGGGCCTCTGCAGCCCCCTCCTTGGCCATTTTGGTGATGAAGTTCTTAGCAGCGTTGGAAGTCTGAGTTTGGAGAGCTGCCCAGATTGCTCTGGAGATCTGAGTGTTCTCGTGGCTTATCTCTTTGGCAGGATTATTGATCATGCTTATTCTAACATTGTTACTGGATTTCTGTTCACACAATGGGAAATGGGAGTCATATTGTAGATATTTTTGAACTTAAAAAGCAAGCATTAACATCGGTCATGTTCAATAAGTAGCAAATAGTATCTCTCTTAAAAGTCTCAAGCCGGGTGCAGTGGCTCATGCCTGTAATCCCAGCACTTTGGGAGGCCGAAGCGGGCAGATCACGAGGTCAGGAGTTCAAGACCAGCCTGGTCAATAGAGTGAAACCCCATCTCTACTAAAAATATAAAAAATTAGCCGGGCGTGGTGGCGGGCGTCTGTAATTCCAGCTACTTGGGAGGCTGTGGCAGGAGAATCGCTTGAACCCGGGACGTGGAGGTTGCAGTGAGCCGAGATTGCGCCACTGCACTCCAGCCTGGGTGTCAAAGCAAGACTCCATCTCAAAAAAAAGAAAAAACAGTCTCGCCCAGGCACAGTAGCTCATGCCTGTAATGCCAGCACTTTGGAAAGCCGAGGCAGGCAGATCACGAGGTCAGGAGATCGAGACCATCCTGGCTAACACGGTGAAGCTACTTGGGACGCTGAGGCAGGAGAATGGCATGAACCTGGGAGGTGGAGCTTGCAGTGAGCCGAGATCACGCCACCGCATTCCAGCCTGTGCAACAGAGCAAGAATCTGTCTGGAAAAAAAAAAAAAAAAATCTCAAGCAGTTCTCTGCATTCAGAATAAAATTAAAATGCCATCATGAAGCACTCAAAACCTTACATGAAGTGGCCCCTAGCCCACCTTTCCAACTTCATTTCTTACCACCCCTGTAAATATAGCATAAATTACAGACCCTCAGAGTCCCATCTCTACCCAACACATTTTGTATTCTTCTAACACACTTGTGTTACAAGTGTTTTCAGTGCTCTGCTCAAACCCTTCTTCATTCACATGGCCTTCCCAAAACAGGGCTCGTACCAATAACATAAGCAATAGAAATTTATATTTGGGTGTACCAAAAGACATACAAGAATTTCGTCGCAGCAGTCTTAGAACAGCACCAAGCTAAAATCCCAGCTGTCCTTCAAATAACTTCACCAAACAAAACTTTGCGGTACAGCCATACAATATAATACTACAGAATGAAAAAGGATTATTATATACACCTACCTGTAACAACATGAATAAATCTCACAAAAGATTGGGGAAAGAAGACAAACACAAATGAAATTGCATAAGATTCCATTTTACTAAACTAAAAGATAGGCAAACCTATTCGCTAATATGAGACGAGGGAAGAGGGGTAGTGTCTAGGCACAAGTGTGGGAGGGCTTTCAGGAATTTGAGAATTCTCTATTTTTTGACCTGAGTGGTGGTCACAAGAGTGTGTTCTCTTTGTGACACTGTGTATCCTATGATTTAAGCACTTCTTGTGAACCTACATTTTACTTCAATTAAAATAGTTATTAAAAAATGCAACTCTCCTTCCCCATTCTCCCACCTTACCACCATGTGAAGATTTTTGCATTTGTGTTAGAGTGCCTTTCACATATAACTACTGCCCTTAGCTAGAACTGCCCTGATCTAACTTCGAATTGACCACAGCATTTGGTTCACTCCTTGAACAATAAAGGCACTCGGCACATGAGTGAAACTGAAACCACCTGGATAGTTCCTTATTTCAGTAAGCCTTCCCAGTTATAGGGTGGAAAGGGGACCATGAGGAGGGTTGTGAGGCATGGATGAAGACGCAAACTGAAACAGCTCAGGAAGAATAATTTTGCCATCTCATCCTCCAACAATGACACTCTCCAGAACAATCAGCTGCTTCCCAACCACCTGCCACTGCCACTCACTCAAGCCCAGCTATTCACGGCAGCGTATCTTTTCAGAACGTCTATGTGTGTATCCCTCAGTGCATCTGGATCTACTTCTACTAAACACACACACTACCATTCCTGTGTGCTACTACCCCCACGTCCAGACCTCTGTCGTGGTAAGGACTCCATGTCCCCGATACAGCAGACAACACAATTGTTGGAGCAACTCTGCTCCAAGAACATGAACAGGCATGTGATAAAACTTGTCTATGATGAGGATCTCGCTATTTATTTTTTTCTCTGTAAGAATCTACCCCATTCAACAAAGCCTGGATACTGTAGTCTTAGATCTCTTTTCTTGAGAGCTGGCAGAGCTCTATAGATACGATGCTCCGTTCCCTCGAGCATTAAGAAAGCAGGACTCCGAACTCCCACTGAACAACCCGAGCCGCACAGTGACGCCCATGAGGACAACTACAGCTGCAAACAAAAACGTAAAATGAAGTCACAGATACTTGCCTGATGTTTGATGGCATCATACAGTAACTGCCGTCCAGAAGGGCTATCAAAATCCCCAACAATCCAAAAAGTGACTGGCCTAATAAAAGAATCATCTGTAGAAAAACAAAAACAGTTAATTGAGTTGGAGGAGAAAAGCACATTCTGTGTTTCAACATTCTGAAAATGAAATTGACCAAATAATTTGTGAGAACCATGCAAAAAGAAAATGACAAGCTTAATAAAGATAGAAGAAAAAGTGGTAAACCTTTACTATAATGAAAGCAGAGGAATCTTCCCACAGAGTTTAGTTATAGACTAGGAACATGCACTGATTAATTCTACTGTGGTCTGGGCATCTGTTAGCATGTAAAATGAAAAACCACCTTTGAACATGTGGGTAACATATTGTCATTTTTAATCACATTAATTTGTTATTTTCTGAAAATAATTATTCACAAATGTTTATACAGAATGTATCTACATTGGCCAGGTATGGTGACTCATGCCTGTAATCCTAGCACTTCGGCAGGCCGAGGTGGGTGGCTCACTTGAGGTCAGGAGTTCAAAACCAGCCTGGCCAACACGGTGAAACCCCGTCCCTACTAAAAATACAAAAAAATTAGCAGGGCGTGGTGGTGGGCACCTGTAATCCCAGCTACTTGGAAGGCTGAGGCAGGAGAATCACTTGAAATCACCTGAACCCAGAAGGCGGAGCTTGCAGTGAGCCGAGATCACGGTACTGCACTCCAGCCTGGGTGATGGAGCAAGACTCCGTCTCAAAAAAAAAAAAAAAAAAAAAATTATCTACATTGATATAGCTTCCTGTTACCCACAGATTCCAGAAACGGTACAATTAAGTGTTGATAAATTCTAAATTACAATGGTCACAGAAACCAAAGAAGAAAATTAAGAAATAGAACATTTTGAAGATTTAAGTTACCATAGATTTCCTTGGAAGACATTCCTGGACAAAGGTAAAGAAAAGAGGGTAGAAAAAAAGAAAGTATCATTTCTGTAATGAATGCCTACTGTAACAGTCAAAAGTCTAAACAATGTCTAACATGGTCTATGGTTCTTCCTGCTGCTTAGTCCTGTCGGCATCATGGTGCTGTCCCAGTACCCTAAGAAACAGTTTATTTAAAGAACCAAATGGAGTAACTGCTTGTACTTTACATATAGCTGGGAAACCAGAACTTCTCTCGGGGAGAAACCACAGCGGGGATTAAAAAAGGCGGTAAAAATAGCTGCCTTAAGAGACAGCCAGTGCTTTTTTGAAGCACTGACCCAAAGGGGACAGAATCTGTCCGCCACTAATGGGGCGTCATTTTACACAATCTTAGCCTAAATAAATACCTCTACCTAAAATCAGCTTCAAAGATTCTACAAGGCTTTCTAAAACCAACTTTATCTTATAAACCCCAAAATAATATTAACCCTATACTGTCATTTTTAATCCATTAACCCACTTTTATATCACAAATGTTTTTCCATTTGAACTATGAAATATTTTCCTTTTGACTAAAGTCAAAATGCAAAACAGGTAATACGAAATTTATGAAGACATTTGAAGTTTTAAACAAATGTATATTTTCAACAAATATACAAAGAATTAAATTTTAAATAAGATATTTTCTAGACTCAAAGCATTGTAAGAAATAAGAAAAATTATGAAGTCTCTCCCTTTTTTCTCTTGATTTGCACACTAAGAAGAATATGCAAATACTTTCAAAAAAATGTTGAATGCAAGATAATAAGCCTCAAATGGATTACCTTTCTTTGTCAGATAGTTCATACTATTGGCTACAGCAGCAGTCTTGCCTGGGGAATCCAAGATAGTAAATCTAGCATAATCATCCACAAAGAAGTTATCTGGGAGAAAAAATGAAATACGTATATATTAGTTCCAGTCCAATCTATTCTTTTCAACTGATAACCTGACTTGATCATCATATAAGATTTATAGAAATGCGTGAGTGAAGTATATTAAGTTCCATGTTTACTGAACAACTTCACAACATGGCCCCTATCCCTATTGAAGTCGCACATCAAAGACACAAGGCTGATGAAAACATACATATCTCACACAGCTACCATATAAGTACGTGTCAGTTTAATGGTTGAAATTCATCCCATTCCCATTCCTGTCACTTGTCAACTGGAGAACAGTCTCAAAGAGATCCCCTTAACTCATTTCTCCCTTCCCTAGTCCAACCAGTAGAGCAAGCTCTTCCTGCTCCTATGGAGGAAGCAGGGGTTAAAGAGAAAATACATAAGAAAACTGATTTTTATTTTTCAGGTCTAACAAAATATCACCTTTTAGACCCTTAACAGAAATAAAAGGTCATTTCCACTCTTTTTAGATATGTCCCTTCTCCAATTAGTGTCAAAGGGCAATCCTCGTTATTCATTTCCCCTCAGATTATTATTCCTAGAATTCCAGTTTCATCAAGTCATTCTCTCGCTCTAAACCACCCAGTAATTTCTTACAGGCTACAAAATGGTCTCCAGCCTAGTAGTGTAAACCCTCTAACAATCTCCCCAGTCTTAAACATTATTGCACCCTATACAAACGTCAGCCTTCTCATCACCGTCTGCCACACACACCCTGCCTGCCTACCCACCCATCTATTCATCTGTGCACATGCTCATCCATCTACACTGTTACTCGACAATGCACACTGAACACCTACTATCCATAGCATACTATTCAGGAAAACAGTAGAAAATAAGTCACACATGGTCCATGATATCATGCAGGGGAAGGGAGAGAACACCATGCCAGTAAAAATTAGTATCCTACTAAAAAGGTTCCAGGACACCAAAAGCCAAAGAAACCTGGGTGATGGTGCCACCACCACCAGGTCAGGAGGATGCCAGTGCCTCCTAATTGATGTCTGCACTGGGTTCAGCTGACAGGTGGCATCTTTGCCACTGCGGACTAGCGCTGTTTCATAGCTCATTGCTGCAACACTCAATGGAAAAGGAAATTCTAAAAGAAAACCACTATTATGTTCCTTATTCATGTGTATTCCAGAGACAACCCTTCAAGTTTAAAGGTTGTCTTAAACTTGAATAAACATGTTGAAAACAACAAACAGGACAAAGAGCCACGACACGCTCACCTTGCTCTACTGAAACTTCAGGAAAGAAAGGAAAACCCAGCTGTGAAGAAAAAGCTCACGGGTAGCTTCTTTCTCAAATATAAGCCTACATTTATACTTCTTCCTCAGTGTGTGTGTGCTTATGTATAGAGGTGTGTATGGGGGGGGGGGTGTGTGTGTGTGTGTATATATGTATTTTTCCTCTACCTAAAAGAAACTTTCAGTTTCAAGTATATTAGAGATAATGCATTAACAACCATAAATAGATTGATATGTTCATTATACTCAACTATAACAATAAATAGCTGGTTATGACTTCATTACACACATCTTTCCTTCCCCAGTGAGATTTCATGGGCTAGTGATGACAGCTCCATCTATTTCCAGGTGTTTGCTGAAGAGGCCTCAGAGTCTCGAGGAAGGCACAAGGAACAAATTGCACCTGGGCTTAACATATTTGGCCCTTGTAAGGTATTCTAGCAGAAAACACCCAAGTGTCCACCAACTGAGGAACAGATACATGTGGACTATCCATAAAGTGGGCTATAAAAAGGAATGAAATGCTGACGTACACAACAACATGCATAAGCCTTAACAACACGTTAAAGTAAAGAAGCCAGGCACGAAAGGCTTCCAATTATATGAAATGTCTAGAATGGGCAAATCCATAGAAACAGAAAGTAGATTAGTTGTTGCCAGGGGATAGGGGAAGGGAAGAACAGAGAGTGACTACTAATAGGTATATGGAATTTTGGGGAATTCTGGGGGGTGATGATAATGATGTAAAATTAGATAGTGGTGATGACTGCACAAACTTTGTGGGGTTTTTTTTCATTAAAAAACCATTGAATTGTATACTTTAAAAGGTTGAGTTCTACAGCATATACATTATATCTTGATGAAGCTGCTAAAGGCCTTCCTAAGTTCTCACAGTGAAATTCAGTGAGATATTTGTTGACTCATTCTAGAATGAGGATGAAGAAAGAGAACTCTTTATGACGAGGGAAGCCAACAACCCAGGCCCATTCTCATCATCTATTGTCTGTACAGTTGGCATTTAAATGGCACTAAATATGTTTCAAAGTTCACAGACTTTTGCCCAGGAAGATGTTTTCTTCTTTAGGAGGAAACTCTTGTGAATTTAGAAGCTCATACCATGAACTAAAGGTGCAAAGAGTTTACACATAAAATTTTTTCACAATCTTGGGCTATCCTCTGAACACTGCAGAAGATAATCGGAATATTAAAATCTGAAAAATGTAAAGACTCTGAAGCACAAGTCAAAAAAAGTGTAAGGTTGTTCCTGAAATGCTCCTTACTACTCGCTGTTAAATCCAGGTAGTCTCGTTCAGCTGTCAAAATCCTAGAATTGATTCGTGGAACGACGTTTGGCTGATTCATGATATACTCTACCACGTCTTGATCAGGGGGCACTTCACCCTGCAAGAAAAAAAAAATGGGAGGTTGAGGGGGGAGTGTAAAGCAAATGTTAGCAATAATAATTCATTAGGAACTAAAAAATTATTAACTTTGTAAACTGCTTCCTCTGTGCTAATAATAGTTAGGACAGAAGTTAATATGTTCTTGGTCCCTGTCATTGCCAAGCATACCTGGGCACATCACCTACAGCATCTCTACCTCTGTCAACAACGTGAGGCAGATACTGTTGACATTCATTGCAAAGATGAGGAAGCTAAGGCACAGAAAGGTTAAATAACTTACTCAAACCCACAAAGCCAATGCAAAGTGATTATGAAATGCAAACCCAGGCCGGGAGTGGTGGCTCACGCCTGTAATCCCAGCACTTTGGGAAGCTGAGGCAGGCATATCACTTGAGGTCACAAGTTCAAGACCAGCCTGGCCAACATGGTGAAACCCCAACTTTACTAAAAATACAAAGTAGCCGGGCATGGTGGCAGGTGCCTGTAATCCCAACGACTCGGGAAGCTGAGGCAGGAGAATCACTTGAACTTGGGAGGCAGAGGTTGCAGTGAGCCAGGATCATGCCACTGTACTGGCCTACAGGGCGAAACTCCGTCTCAAGGAAAAAAAAAAAAGAGAAAGCCAAAGGTCTTCTCTCAAGCAGTTAATATACTTTGTAATAAAAATCACTCCCATCTTGGTTCAATCTCAGCCATCCAAGTAACCCTACGTCTCCAGAGTCAGAATTACAACGAGAGGATGAGAAATCATTTGTTATTCATTCTTCCCTTTCGCACAGCTCATATTACAGAAATAGTCACACTTCTTGAGGGTGATCTCAGAGCCATGTGTCAACAACTGTGCAGACTTATCAAACTTAAAATATTTAACATACAAGTACACTTTAAAGCCATTTTCTTTTTTTCCTTTGAGACAAGGTCTTGCTCTGTCACTCAGGCTGGAGTGCAGCAGTATAATCAGAACCACAGCTCACTGCAGCCTCAACCTCCAGGGCTCAAGGGATCCTTCCACCTTAACCTCCCAAATAGCTGGGACTACAGGCATGTGCCACCACGCCCAGCTGACTTTTGCATTTTTGTACAGATGGGGTTTCACCACATTGCCCACGCTAGTCTCAAACTCCTGGGCTCAAGAGATCCTCTCTCACCGCGCCCCACCTAAAGTCATTTTCAAGATAAAGATGTGAATCAAATATACACATTTAAGTCTAAATAATTCTAATTAGACATTGTTTGTAGCTATTTAATAAGAAGCATATGAACCAACCATACAAATCAAAAGACAAAGGCATTAGATGGCTCACTGTCCATGTTGGCCCATGTACACAACTTTGGTCAAGATTATAAATCGACTTGACTCCAATTAGAAGCCTATCTAGTTCAAGGAGGGGAATTTGCCAAAGTCTACAAAAATGTTAAAGGTAGCGGGGCAGGGCCCTGGGGAAGGCATGGCAGGAGCCATGTCTGGCTGTGAAGGTGCTGCTGAAACAGCCCAAGAAGCAGGCCAAAGAGATGGACGAGGAACGTAAGACTTTCAAGCAGAAACAAAAACAGGAGCTAAAATCGAAGTCTATGGGGAAGGGTCCTCTGGCCGCAGGTGAAATTAAGAAATCTGGGCCGCGTGCAGTGGCTCATGCCTGTAATCCCAGCACTTTGGGAGGCTGAGGTGGGTGGATCACCCGAGGTCAGGAGTCAAGACCAGCCTGGCCAACATGGCAAAACGCTGTCTCTACTAAAAATACAAAAATTAGCCAGGCATGGTGGCGGGCGCCTATAATCCCAGCTACTCAGGAGGCTGAGGCAGGAGAATCGCCTGAATCTGGGATGCAGAAGTTGCAGTGAGCCAAGATCACACCACTGCACTCCAGCTTGGGTGACAAAGCAAGGCTCCGTCTCAAAAAAAGAAAAGAAAAAAAAATCTAGCAACAAGTAAGCTGTGCCTTGTGCCTTGAGGAGATGGTGACCCTTGATTTCATTCCTATTTAAACATCTGTATTCCCTGCCATAGCACCTTTTGCCATCTATAGCTGGAATGAAGTGTTTTGAAGCCTGTTGTACATATAAGAATAAACATTTGTTTAAAAAAGTTATTAAATAATTGTAAATGTAATACCTTCTAACCAGCTCTTGTATACACACACATGCACACATGCGTGCACACACACACAGACACACGGTAGTTGTCTTGAGGAAGAAATAATGAGTAGGACAGGAGTGTATAGCTAAAAGTTTCTCTTCATTTACATCTCTATGTTTTGAATTTCATACCATTGGCATAGCGTATCTCTTAATTCTTTTTAAAGGAACAAGGTCATGCTCTGTCGCACAGGCTCAGTGCAGTGGCATGATTATAGCCCACTACAGCTTCAATTCTCAAGCAACTTTCCTGCCTTAGCCTCCCGAAGTAGCTCAGACTACAGGTACATGCCACAATGCCTGGCCTCAACTAATCCTCTAGCCTCGGCCTCTCAAAAGTGTTGTATTACAGGCGTCAGCCACCACAACTGGCTGGTAACACATCTTTCTGTAGTGTATTTAGTTCAAATTTTCTAGTACTTGGTATTTTTCAAGACAATGTACAAAGGTATATACATATTAGAATATTCACTGTAGCACTGTTTGTAACTAGTGAAAATGTAGAAGTAATGTCCAATACTAGGGAATGAAGTAAACGTTTATTTTACTTTATTTATATATTTTTTGAGACAGTTTCGCTCTTGTCACCCAGGATGGAGTGCAATGTCACAATCTTGGCTCACTGAAACCTTGGCCTCCTGGGTTCAAGCGATTCTCCTGCCTCAGCCTCCCGAATAGCTGGGATTACAGGCATGTACCACCACGCCCAGCTATTTATTTTTTATAATGGAATATTAGCCAGGCACAGTGGCTCACACCTACAATCCCAGCACTTTGGGAGTCCGAAGTAGACAAATTGCTTGAGCCCAAGAGTTGGAGACCGGCCTGGGCAACCTGGCAAAACCCCAACTCTCCAAAACATACAAAAATTAGCCTCGTGTGGTGGCACACACCTATGGTCCCAGCTACTTGGGAGGCTGAGGCAGGAGGATTGCTTGAGCCCAGAAGTTCAAGGCTGCAGTGAGCTATGATCGCACTCGCTACACTCCAGCCTGTCAGAGAGAGCCTGTCTCAAAAAAAGTGTTGGTAAGGAAAGTGACCTTTGTGATAATTAATTTGCCCCACTATGTACATCTCCCCAGCTGCACAAAGCCTTGAAAATCAATGGCCCCAAAATAAAACAACTAGGACACTAGATAATTCTCAGGGTTTCTCTTTATTTGGGCTGAAGCAGACCCCACTCAGTGCCAACAGCCTTTTCCCTGGGGTATCTGTCAAACACAACTGGCCAATAGTTTAACATCTCAGCTGTCTGAGGTGGCAGAAAACACATGGGCTAACATGAAGCTAGTCAAAAAACAAAGAAAAAAAAGGCTGGGGAATGGGATGTCCATGAGGGACTTTGAAAAGCTCTGACAGGCCGGGCGCGGTGGCTCACGCCTGTAATCTCAGCACTTTGAAAGGCCGAGGCAGGTGGATCATGAGGTCAGGAGATTGAGACCATCCTGGCTAACAGGGTGAAACCCCGTCTCTACTAAGAATGCAAAAAATTGGCTGGGCGTGGTGGCGGGCGCCTGTAGTCCCAGTTACTCGGGAGGCTGAGGCAGGAGAATGGCGTGAACCCAGGAGGCAGAGCTTGCAGTGAGCCGAGATCACTCCACTGCACTCCAGTCTGGGCAACAGAGCGAGAATCCATCTCAAAAAAAAAAAAAAAAAAAAAGAAAAGCTCTGACAAACTTCTTGGAATCTGAACAACCATAAGCATCATGCCCAGGGGTATGTGAATGACCAGGAAAAATCTCAGAAGGCCTTAAACCCTTGCCTCTAACCTTGGGGCTCTGTGCAAGCAAAAACAGAAGACTAAGGCAGAGTTGCCAACTGCCTGATTGAGTGCGGAAAGTGTGCCCCAATGCAACACAGAGACCCTTGGGAAAACTGGGAGATTTTTGAATTCATGCATCAAAGGAAATCTCTGTTCATTCATCAGCTGACCAGTAAGTTAAACAAGCTGAAACTTCAGAAGCCACACATGAAAAAGAATACAGATGTTGAGGAATTGGTTCAGGGCCGAGCACGGTGGCACATGCCTGTAATCACAGCACTTTGGAAGGCCGAGGTGAGTGGACCACTTGAGGCCAGGAGTTCGAGACCAATGTTCTGAAATTAGAGCCTGGTCAATGTGGTGAAACCCCAACTCTACTAAAAATACAAGTATTAGTTGGGCGTGGTGGTGTGCTCCTGTAATCCCAGCTACTTGGGAGGCTGAGGCACAAGAATCACTTGAACCCAGGAGGCGGAGGTTGCAGTGAGCCGAGATGGCACCACTGCACTCCAGCCTGGGCGATAGAGCGAAACTCTGTCTCAAAAAAAGGGAAGAAAATAAAAAAAAGAATTGGTTCAGGAAAGTCACTAAACAAATAACAGTCACAACAACAACAAAGAACAACACAAACAAACCCTGGTATGGTGAAGAAGTGTCACATTATATTATTTCAAAGTCCTAGTTATCAAAAGCAAAATTATTAAATATGCAGAAATTGTGGCTCATGCCTGTAATCCCAGCACTGTGGGCAGCCAAGGCAGAAAGGTCGTTTGAGGCCCGGAGTTCGAGATCTGAGACCTGCCTGGGCAACACAGCAAGATCTCGTCTCCACAAAAAGATACAAAAATTAGCCACGTATGGTTGCATGCACCTGTAGTCCCAGCTAGTTGGGAGGCTGAGGTGGGAAGATCATTTAAGTCCAGGAGTTGGAGGCCACAGTGAGCTAAGATCATGTCACTGTACTCTAACCTGGGTGACAGAGCAAGACCCTGTATCAAAAAAAAATACATGCAGAAAGAAAAAAGTATGGTGTATACTCAGGAAGAGAAGGAGCCAAGACATACTATTCTTATTATTATATAAGTAAAATGTATAATGTGTATTCTTACATTATGTTTATATATTATTCTGAGTAAGTCCAAACATTGGACTTAATTAGACAAATAATTTAAATAAATGATTTCAAATATACTCAAGAACTAAAAGAAATGAAGTCTACCAAAGCAAAGTTTAAGACCTACATCGCACGAAATAGTATCTATAAACCTAAGGAAATTATCAAAAAGAACCAACTAGAAATCTGGATTTATACTAACTGAAATGAAGCATTCACTAGAGAGGCTCAACAGCAGATTTTAGTTGACAGAAGAAAGAACAAGTGAATTTGAAGATAAACTGAGACTATCCAGTCTGAGGGACATAAAGAAAGAGATCTATGGGACATGAGAGAGTACCAACAGATGCATATTTCCAGAACGAGAGGAGGGAAGAGAAAAGGACAGTGTGTGGTAAATAATCTGGCTGGTCCTGGTTCCTGGGATGTCAACTGTAAACCCAGTGATTCATGGTGAGCCCCTCAGATCACACGTGATGGTTTCTACTCTGGGGTGATGCACAGTGGGGCCCCGAGAGACTGTGCTAATGCCATGACTCAGACTGGGGGCTGGTAACACCAGAAAGACCAACCATGATTAGAGAGTTGGGGTTCTGAGCAACAAGCTATCTGTCCAGTAACATCCTGTTCTCTGAAAATTTGATTTGGATAAAATGTCCAGAACAAGCAAATTCATGAAGCAGAAAGTAGGTCTGTGTTTGCCAGTGGCAGGGCGGCGGGGAGTAGGACAAAACGGGCAAAATGGAGAGGAGTCCTTGCTACTGGATATGGGGTTTCTTCTGGGGGTGATGATAATGTTCTGAAATTAGAGGTGGTAGTTACATAACTGTGTAGAGAGAATAAAAACTACTGAATTAAACTACCCTTTAAACGGCTGACTTCTATGCTGTCTGAATTATATCTCAAGAACTATATATATTAATATTTATATATAAATGAAAAATAAGATTGAGTCTCTCCAAAGGCCAAATTTCCTACAAACAGAATAAACGTTTCTTAGAACTGCTTGCAATTTTTAAGATAAACATTTAATCCTGAAATAAATAATACTAATTATTTCAATTACCATATACAGAAGATTTATGAATATTTTCATCATAGCAGGACTTGCCAAGAGTTTGCAAACCACTTACTAGTGGCATATAGAAAATAGATTTTTTTGTTTTTTGTTTTTTTTTAACGGGACAGGGTCTCACTTTGTCACCCAGGCTGGGGTACAGTGGGGCAATCACAGCTCACTGCAACCTCAAACTCCTGGGCTCCAGCGATCCTCCCACTTCAGCATCCTGAGTAGCTAGGACTACAGGTGCACACCACCAAGCCCAGCTAATTTTTTCATTTATTTTTTAGAAATGGGGTCTTGCCATATTGCCCAGGTTGGTCTCAGACTTCCTACCCTCAAACCATCCTCTCACCTCAGCCTCCCAAATAGTGATACTAAGAATTTTACTGCCTACTATAGAGGCAACAAAAAACATCAGCCAACTGTTCTCTCTAAAGATCCCACCTTGAAACGTGACTCACCAAGTACACTGCTCTTTGGAAGAAGGTGGTGGTCTCCAGGATTTTATGCATTGTGATGGTTTCTAACTCATCAGGGTCTAGCTGTTCCCTTTCAAAGGGCATTCCATTGAACAGCACAACGGGCAGGGGTCCAACCCCAGTCTGCTCATAGTAGCCTCTTGCTTCCTGAAACAGAAGGAACAAGAAAAACAGCAGATTTTTGCCTTTTGTGAGACAAATGGAACAGAGCATATTTTTCTTACATGACTGTTCTAACAACAATCAACAGAAATATTGTAAAGAAAAAATAAGATACTTCTTTTTAAAACAATGAAAAACGACATCACAGTTAATATCCTACTATGTAAATCTGAGATTGAATTACTGAGTTCAAGTTTTTACAAAAACCACAAAAGCTTGCAGATTATGAAGGGTGTGCGTGTGTGTGTGTGTGTGTTTGTGTGTAGCATAGGCTATCGAAACTGAACCACATATACTACGGTCAGCACTATACAACAGAACTTTCTGCAGTGATGGAAATATTCTATCTGTGCTTGTCTGTGCTGTCCAATGCAGTGGCCACTACTAACTACATGTAACTACTGAGTACCTGAAACTTGCCAACTATGACCAACTAACTGAATCTCTAATTTTAGTTAATTTCCATTTAAAAATCTACATGTGACCATGGGCTGCCAAAATGAAGTACGCAGGTTTTGACTACCATAAATTATAAGCGCTCTATGCAAAAAGCCTGAGGGAAATATTTGCACCCAATTCTAAATACGGGTCCATATCACTAACAAAGAAATTGCACCTGCAGAAAACAAAACAAGGTTTGTGGGGAAACAGTGCTCAACAATTGCTCTGAGACACAATACACCCAATCTTTTCCCTTCTCCAGGACAAAAGAGTTCACTGGCCAGAAAATACCGGAGCAACAAAACGGCAAATGTATCCAAGACGGACATTCTTCCTGACTGTCAACACAGGCACTCATCCCTCAGACGAACTTTCCAGAGTAAAAACTGTATTACCACCTAAGCTGTAAAGTGGGCCACTTTACAAATGTCTATCGCACACCTTGTAACTGCCATTTTCTGAAAATAGCAGAATGTAATTATTTATAACCATTTTAGATAGCACCAATAGAAAAGTACTCCCATCGGGTAACTAATCCGAGCCATTGGTAACAGACTGCTTACTTTCTCATCAGACTATTGCAGTAACAGATAACAGCACAGAAATGGACAGCCTAAAACATGGCACAGCCAAAAAACCCTTCTAGGTTGGTTTCAGCCATTTCTCTACATCATAGTTTAAATGTTTTAAATATACACCCCTAAAACTCTTACCATGTTAATTCTGTTCTTTGACATCTCAACTATTTCATAGATATCCATTAAAACTCAATTTTAATCTAACTTTAGTTTTGAAAATCATTCCCGTCAACCAATTAAAACAAGACCAGAAAACTTGCATGATAATTCCAAGTGACAATAAGATAAATAACATTGGTTTTCTCTGCAAACGGTAACTGAGTAGAAGTCAGGAGTGAGACGGAGGTGTTTGCTATGTAGCTTCCTTTTTCACCACTCAGAAATAGTTTACAAGACCAAATAACAGAATGCAGCACAATTATCAAACAGCCAAACTGAAAATTCACATGGACAAATTTTCTACCAACAGCTAACTAAAAATATTCAATAATGATAAATAATTAACAAACATTAATTTTTGGTAGTTGTATACTGAGCCACTCACATGCAACTGAGATTAGTAAGGACTCAAAGATAATATTCTAAAGGTAAAGTGTTTGCATGTGCAGGCTAGAACTTTTCCTAATGTCATTATCTTACCGGCTTTGAAAGATATAAATATACACCTATCAGACTATATTCTCGCCTGTTTAAAATTTCAACTTTAATTGCATTGCCTACTGTTTAAAATAATTACTTCTTTCAGACACAGAAGATATCATAGCTTCACTGTAACAAAAGGAACAGATTTACAAGTGCAATGACATTTATTAGAAGCAGTCATTTTTCCTAAAATTAACCATTTCAAAAGAATCCATTCCATTGGATTTTTTGTATAGGGGTAAAGCTCCTGTAGTTTAAAAAAAAAAAAATCTCATGAATCATTAGATTGTTAGGACTTCTGCGATACTCTCCATATCCCTGCCTTAGGAGTACTTCTATTCAAACAGCTAGACAATTAAATGGATGAAATATAAATAATATGACCTGTTTGCATACAGAAGAACCTCTAATCAGTACAGACGGCCACGTCTAGGAAACCAAGGAGCATGGTGTGTGATACTCTCATTCAATTTTTCAGCACAATCAAGATTTCAACACAGGTAACGATATAAAAATACCCCTTTCTCCAGTTTGTCCACTCTATTCAATATTTTTCAAGTAAATACTTTTGATATAGTAATCATCCACAATAAAAAGCTACTGGTACTTTTTCTTCAGCAGGGTAAGAGAAAATGAGACTTAAACAGTTTCCAAATATGAAATATAAAAAAAATTCCACAAAGTCCCTCAAAACTTTCATATTCTCAAAGTAGCCTTTTTCTTTTACTTCACTTAAATTCTTTTTCTACAGAGTACTATTATTGCTGTTTGTGTCTATCCAGGAGAAAAACAGTTACTAGGTACCCACAGCAATATTATTTTATTTAAAAACCCAGAAAGGATAAGTGACTGGACAGAAGGCTACAATAAAATAATGGTAATCGGTCGGGCACGGTGGCTCATGCCTGTAATCCCAGCACTTTGGGAGGTTGAGGTAGGCGGATCACCTGAGGTCAGGAGTTCAAGACCAGCCTGCCCAACGTGGTGAAACCCCATCTCTACTAAAAGTACAAAAATTAGCCAGGTACGATGGTGAGCGCCTGTAATCCCAGCTACTCAGGAGGCTGAGGCAGGAGAATGGCTTGAACCCGGGAGGCAGAGGTTGCAGTGAGCCAAGATGATACCACTGCACTCCAGCCTGGGAGACAAAAGCGAGACTCCATTTCAAATAATAATAATAATAATAATAATAATAAATAACAGTAACCCTTCTCAGGCTATACTGAGTAGATGTCACTTCCAGCTTCAATTCCAAGCTTGAATGGAAATACCTTAAAGTGAGCAGATACAATACTAAAAGGCAGAATCAAAAACAGAAAAGAAAGAGAGGCAGACTGGCAAGCTCAAAGACCTTCTAGCTCCTGGCATGAGTTTACCTTTGTAAAAGAGCTGGTACAGAGCTAGTATTTTAATTCGCCTTGTATTCAACATCAGCTTACACACATAATAAATATGTGTTCCTCTATGAACTTGAATTCACAGAGCAGGCAGCTGTTGCTATACCTAGGAAGCCTTCCACAATCACCTTGTCCCAAACTAGCAGAGCTGCCCATCCAGCTTAGCTGCCATCTAGCTCAGCGGCCACTGAGCCTCCACATACAAAGTGTGAACACTCAGAACCTCACCATCACCGAAGCCACACTGCTGTCATGTGTTGTCTCCCCCAGCGAGGCTGTGTGAACTGCCCAAGTTCATACCACATCTTGTTCAACTTTCTAGTCTTAGGACTGGCACAATGACTCAATACTACCGTTTTAAAACTGAAACTCTGTTACTTATTCTAAAGCAATTCAGAAATTTCTCTAGTTGTTAAATTCTTGTGTTTTGATCTTGCTAAAGATGATTTTGTTCTCTCCCTCTAAAACCTGAATCGACTTACAGGAGCAGATCTCTCAACCAATCCCAATTAACGAATTTATCTGATTAACAAATACCAGCTATTGAAGTATGCTGAACACTTGCACTGGTGAGCTACTCTCTAGAACGCCCACATACTTTTTTATTTTTATTTTATTTATTTTTTATTTTTTAGTAGAGATGGGGTTTCACCATATTGGCCAGGCTGGTCTCAAACTCCCACCTTAGCCTCTCAAAGTGATCGGATTACAGGCATAAGCCACCACACCTGGCCTATATTTTGTTTTTTTTTTTTTTGATCTGTGATTTTGTTTGTAATTATCTTAAGCCTTATGATCACACATAATTTTTAACTGTTTATCTCCTCCACTTAAAACTTTCCAATGAGGTGGCAAAAGCGCCATTAACAAGCACACATTCGCAGCAGTTCCAGGGTTCTACGTGTTTTTGAATAGTTGTTTGAAGACAATCCTAAAGTATAAACTAGTCTAACTTAGTAACTCAAAAGTTTAACTTGCTACTATTTTTGTCACACTGACCTTTAAAAACATCTGACCTTAAAGATCATCTATAAAATGTGAGAGGTGCCCAATATTCTTTCTTTGGTATTACACATAAACCACACTAAAATGCCTCTCAACAAGTAAAAGGCAGCACTTTAGATACAGGGAATAGGATGCCCAAACCCTTTTGCTCCTCCCAGTTGAGCTATCTGCTTACCAAGGATTAGCTGTGTCTGTTCCCAAACCGACTATTCCTGTTAGTGAAATGATTTAATAGTATGTAAACCAATAAAATATGAGTACAAAAAGAAGGTTACTCTTCCCACTAAAACGAAGTGAATGACTAGAAAACTCATAAAGACGAGAGGCTAAAACCAAATGATGTTGAACTGGGTGTCCGTCAAACAACCAGCATAAAGACTTGGGAGGGAGATTATAAAACTCTACAAGGATTCTGTATCAGATGAAACAGGACTCATAAACAATTCATGCTGAATATCATTTATAAACGGATGATAGCTCAGATCTTAAAACAGGAATCACAGGCTGTTTTTCATTTGGGGAAAAAAAAAATCCTCCCTTAAAAAAGGAGAAAAAACATTGAAACACTATTAAATAAATGCATTTTGATATGTTTAAAATCAGAATGTTTCAGAAATGTATATTAATACCTTTCGTTAATACATTTTCAACAATTTGTGCTTTCAATAGGTAAAGACCCTTGACTGTGTCTAAAGTCTCAAAAGAAAAAAAATTATCTTTAAGTTAAAAAATTTTTAACTTTCTTATAATATCCTTATTACTACAATACTTTGCCATTCTGTTACATTTCTTAATATACTTCCATCCTTAGCCTAAATAACGAAATAAAGCCAATATGATATATATTAAGCTGTACATCATATCCTGGCTCTATATATCCAGTAGATGTTATCCACAGCAAACTTCATGGAAGTACTACCATTGATTACAAAAAAAAAATTGGTTTTCAATTTAATAGTTAATAAGCAAGTTAAAAATCAGTCCTATCTTTACAAGACTGAAATAACTTTTTCAAACACTGAAAAAGTGATCTGTTTTCTAAACTTTTAAATGCTAAGTACTGAAACACTTTAACCACCATCACCATTATTAACCAAAGCCCCCAAACGGGCGGTTAAGGACAATACAGGGTTGCAATCAAATAAGAAACACAAAGAAATGTTTTACCTTCCGATTCTGATCATAAGCAGAATCAATCCCCAAAATGCTATTCACTTTTACATACGGATATTTCTTCTCCAGGACACTGACCACATGTTCAACTTCCACTTTTTCTCCAGTCCTCACCTTGTTATAGATCTGAAGGAAGAAAAAACAGTTCGTTAACTACACTTTTAAGTTCAAATTTCAAAGTGTTTATTACACATTTTTCTGAATTTAGAGGAAAATATGATAACTTTTTTTTTTTTTTTTTTTTTTTGAGACGAAATTTTGCTCTGTCACCCAGGTTGGAGTGCAATGGCACAGTCTCGGCTCACTACACCTTCGCCTTCTGGATTTGTGTGATTCTCCTGTCTCAGCCTCCAGAGTAGCTGGGATTACAGACGCCTGCCACCATGCCCAGCTAATTTTTTTGTATTTTTAGTAGAGACAGGTTTCACCATGTTGGCCAGGCTGGTCTTGAACTCCTGACCTCAGGTGATCTGCCCACCTCAACCTCCCAAGCTGGGATTACAGGTGTGAGTCACTGCGCCTGGCCGATTATTTTTCCTGAAAGGTCAAATTGGGACATGTTAGCAATTCTTCCTTTTCCATATACCTTATTAAGATGGCTTTCTAGGTTGGAAATTAAATATTCTTTTTTTTTTTTTTTTTTTTGAGATGGAGTCTCACTCTATCACCCAGGTTGGAATGCAGTGGCGTCATCTCAGCTCACTACAACCTCCACCTCCCAGGTTCAAGCGATTCTCCTGCCTCAGCCTCCTGAGTAGCTGGGACTACAGGCACATGCCACCATGCCTGACTAATTTTTGTATTTTTTAGTAGAGATGGGGTTTCACCATACTATCCAGGCTGGTCTTGAACTCCTGACCTTGTGATCCGCCCTCCTCAGCCTCCCAAAGTGCTGGGATTATAGGCGTGAGCCACCGCGCCCGGCCGGAATCAGCTCAGTCATGTTAAGTCTCAAACGAAAAAATACGTTAAGAAAAATCTAAATAGGCCAGGCAGGCATGGTGGCTCACACCTGTAATCCCAGCACTTTGGGAGGGTGAGGAGGGTCAATCACTTGAGGTGAGGAGTTCGAGAACAGCTTGGCCAACATGTTGAAACCCTACTAAAAATACAAAAATTAGCCTGCCGTGGTAGTGCACGCCTGTAATTCCAGCTACTCAGGAGGCTGCGGCAGGCAAATCCCTTAAACCCAGGAGGCAGAGGTTGCTGTGGGCCAAGATCACACAACTGCACTCCAGCCTAGATGACGGAGAGAGACTGTCTCCAAAAAAAGAAAACAGAGAGAGAGAAATCTGAACGCTTGTAAGTAGTCCTTGAAATAAAAACTATGTCCATGATGTTTAGGAGGGATGAGGAAAGGGAGAGGGGAGAGACGGAGCAATCGAAATGGATACGAATATTATTTATTTGAAATTTTTTTTTTTTTTTTTTTTTGAGACGGAGTTTCACTCATCACCCAGGCATGATCTTGGCTCACTGCAACCTCCGCCTCCTGGGTTCAAGAGACTCTCCAGCCTCAGTCTCCCAAGTAGCTGGGATTACAGGTGCCTGCCACCGTATCTGGCTAATTTTTGTTTTGTTTTGTTTTGTTCTTTGAGACGGAGTCTCACTCCATCGCCCAGGCTGGAGTGCAGTGGCGCTATCTCAGCTCACTGCAAGCTCTGTCTCCTGGGTTCATGCCATTCTCCTGCCTCAGCCTCCCCAGCAGCTGGGACTACAGGCACCCGCCACCAAGCCCATTTAATTTTTTTTATTTTTAGTAGAGACAGGGTTTCACCGTGTTAAAGCCAGCATGGTCTGATCTCTTGATCTCCTGATCTCATGATGCGCCCGCCTTGGCCTCCCAAACTGCCGGGATTACACGCGTGAGCCACTGCACCCGGCCCAACTTTTGTATTTTTAGTAGAGATGAGGTTTCCCCATGTTGGCCAGGCTGGTCTTGAACTCCTGACCTCAAGTGATCCACCCACCTCAGCCTCCCAAAGTGCTGGAATTATAGGCATGAGCCACCACACATGGCCAATTTTTGTATTTTTAGTAGAGACGGGGTGTCACCACGTTAGCCAGGCTGGTCTCAAACTCCTGACCTCAGGTGATCTGCCTCCCTCTGCCTCCCGAAGTGCTGGGATTACAGGTGTGAGCCACTGCGCCCGGCCGGAACTGTTTTTACAGTGAGCAGTATTACTTCACTTCTGAAATAAAAAAACAGCAGCCAAGCACCAGTGGCTCACACCGAAAATCCCACCACTTTGGGAGGCCAAGGCAGTAAGATTGCTTAAGCTCAGGAATTCGAGGCCAGCCTGGCAAACACAGTGAGACATCATCCCCAGCAAAAATTAAAAACGACAACAACAAAATTAGCTGGGTATGGTGATGCGTGCCCATAGTCTCAGCTATTCCAGGAAGCTGAGGCGGCAGGATCACCTAGGGCCAGGAGTGAGCCCTGACTGCGCTGCCGTACTCCAGCCTGGCCAACAGTGAGATCCTGTCTCTACAACAACCTTTTTAACAGAATAAAATAAACAGCGGGTGGTGGGTGTAGCTGGTCCTGTTGTGCTGTGGCTCTGCACAGCCTGCAGTCTCAGGCCGCAGGGCCCAAAAGACATGGAGCCCGGCTTCAGTGGTCACGCTGCCATTTAGGAGGGCTGGTTCCATGAGACCGGCAGCCTGAGGCTCAAGGAAGGCTTGTTCCAACAGATGGAGCAGCTGCTCCACTGCCAGCACTCACGCGTCCAGGACATCCTTGCTTCCCACAGCAAGACCCACAGCAGTGTGCTGGTGTTGGATAGCATCATCCCCTGCATGGACAGGGGTAAGTTCTCTACTAGATGAGAATCAACCTGCCACTCTGCAACCACCCCACCCCTCAAAAGGTGCTGATCATCGGGGACAAAGACGGCATCTGCACAAGGTGGTGAAGCACCCTCTGTGGAGTCTGTGGTCCAATGACAGGCTGAAGAGGATGGCATTCAGGTCTCTTAAGAAATTCCTGCCGGGTATGGCCATTGGCTCCTTTAGCACTAAGCTGACCCTGCATATGGGTGACAATTTTGATTTCATGAAACAGAACCAGGATGCTTCCAATATGATCACTGACTCCTGGGATCCACTGAAAGCCTCTTCAAGGAATCCTATTACCACTCATGAAGATGGCCCTCAACGTGGACAGCATTCTCTGATGCCAGGGCGAGGACCAGTGGCTGCACCTGGACTTCATCAAGAAGACACAGTGCTTCTGCTAGTCACTCTTCCCCATGGTGGCACACGCCTACTGCACTGTCCCCACCTATCCCAGCAGCCAGACTGGCTTCATGCTCTGCAGCAAAAACCTGAGCACCAACTTCCAGAAGCCCAAGCAACAAGTGACACGGCAGCAGGTGGAGCAGGTGCAGCTGCTCAGACGTGTACAGTGCTGCCTTCGTACCGCCCCCATTTGTCTGCAAGTCCCTGAATAATGTGAGCTGAGCCCAGGCGCCACAGCGGATGCCACCTGGGACCTCAGATCTGGGAGCCTCCAGGGTACCTGGGCCCCTTCAGCCCTAGGCCAGATCCCCTGCTGACTGTCACCTGCCAACCAAGGGTTACAGGCCTCGGAATAATGCCCCGCCTTCCCTGCTGAGTGCTGGACTGTTTCTGTGTCTGTCTCTGTGTGACATTCGGCCTCCAGGCCTATACCAGCGGCGTACAGTACCATCTCTCTGTCTTCTGCGGCCCCTCAATCAAACACGTGTACTTATAACAATAAAAAATAGATGAATGAGTAAATAAATAAACACTTTAAAAAGCAGAGTTAAAATACTTATTCTCTGGGCGTGGTGGTGCACAGCCAGCTGTAATCCCACGTATTTGAGACTGACATGGGAGGATCCCTTAAGCCTAGGAGTTTGAGACCGGCCTGAGCAACATCACAAGACCTGGTCTCGAAAAGTACATAAATAAATAAAATGTTAAGGTAGCCGTTGTGGAAGATATATTAAAACAAACAAACAAAAGCAAACCTTAGGCACAGACAAAGTGAATAAAATAACAAAGTATAAAATACTTACCACTCTGAGTGACTTCTTTTGAACCCATTTCATTCTCCACAGCCCTGCTGCTAACTACCTTCCCCATTACTTCTCATGGAGATCAATCACTGCAACAGCTCATCAACTGGCATCCCTGCCACTTTGCTTTGCCCTTCCTCAGATCCATCTCTACACACTGCAGCAGACATGACTTTGAAATTCAGGATCCACCCCTGAGCTCTAGATACCGCAGCTATCCAGCCTACAATGGCCACACATTGCTATTAAGAGTAAGTTGGATCTGAAAAAATTATGTGCCATTCTGAACAAAAACGTACTTGTGTCAGAGTCTGGAAGGCATGATAATCGTCCACCTCTCGGGCAACGTAATTATACGCTCTAAGAACAGCCACTCCAGCATCTTGCATCCCATCAACATCTTCAGAGTCATTAACCACAAAGATAAAACCAATTCTGGAGGGGAAGGGAAAAGAAGAAAAAGAAACATGTCAAATAATGCAAACAGTGAAAAAGCATGACATCCTTGTACCCTTCTCATACATTATAGCTAACAGAGGAAAACCCTTAGAGAGAAAAGCACAGTTCACAACCCACTCTACTCTAACATGATTGGCGAAGGTATACACACACGACTTACAAAGTTTTTTTTTTTTTTAGACAGAGTTTCACTCTTGTTGCCCAGGCTGGAGTGCAATGGTGCAATCTCAGCTCACTGCAACCTCCATCTCCCAGGTTCAAGCGATTCTCCTGCCTCAGCCTCCCAAGTAGCTGGGATTACATGCCACTACTCCCAGCTAATTTTCTGTATTTTTAGTAGAGACAGGGTTTCACCATGTTGGCCAGGCTGGTGTCGAACTCCTGACCTCCTGACCTCAGGTGATCCATCAGCCTCGGCCTCCCAAAGTGCTGGGATTACAGGCATGAGCCACCACCCGGCCACTTACAAAGTATTAATAAAAAAGCAGGCTTTCAAATGTGGCTTAGGCCTTTCTACTGTTAAAGCAAGCCATTTCCACGTCATGAAAAGATTGCTTTCACTGACATGAAGAGTGTTGCTATAGTTTTAAGAAATTTTTTTTTCTGCTTTTAAACAAAAATTAGAAGAAATAAAAATTTTCACACTTTCAAAGTAAACAGAAAGTAAAAGCCGAAAAAGGTTTACAACTGTCCCACGACAAAAAGCAATAATCAAGGTTAAAGTTTACCAGATTTTAAATTTTAAAATAAACGAATTAACCACAGACATACCATTATATATCTATAGATGGGCTGGCAAAAAAGACATTGCACTGACCACACTGGGGCAAAGGCGTTCAATGGACAAAGAATCATCTTTGCAATAAATGGTGCTGAACAACTGGACATGCACATGCAAATTAATCAGTCTAGACACAGACTTTATATCTTTCACAAAAATTCAAAGTGGATCACAGGTCTAAATGTAAAACACAAAAACTAAAATTCCTAGACGACAGCAGAGAAGAAAATTTAGGTGGTATTGAGCTTGGCAATGATCTTAGATCCAAAAGCACAATCCATGAAAGACAACATTTGGTTAATCCAGACTTCACTAAAATTAAAAATGTCTGCCCTGTGAAAGATATTATTAACAGAATTAAAGGACAAACCATAGAGTGGCAGAAAATCTTTGCAAAACCACCATCTGATAAAGGACAGGTAAACAATATATGCAACTCTTCTTGTTTGTTTTTCAACAGGTTCTTGCTCTGTTGCCAAGGCCAGAGTGCAGTGGCACGATCAGCTCACTGCAGCCTCAAACCTCTGGGCTCAAACAATCCTCCACTTCAGCCTCCCAAGTAGCTGGGACTACAGGTGTGTGCCACCACACATGGCTACTCTTTCTTAAGTCTTTGTAGAGATGGAGGTCTTCCCATGTTGCCCATAGTGATCTCAAATTGTGGCCTCAAGCGATCCTCCCACTTTGGCCTCCCAAAGTCCTGGGATTATAGGCGTGAGCCATTGCACCCAGCCTACAAAGAACTCTTAAAACTCAACAATAAGAAAACAACCAAAGTTTTAAAAATGGACAAAAGGGCAGGGGGAAAGAAAAAAAAGGACAAAAGATCTGAACAGACACTTCACCAAACAAGATATACAGACAGATGATAAATATAAGTAGATCTTGAACATCATATATCATTAGGGAACGGCAAATTAAACTACAATGACATACCACCACACACCTATCAGAATGACCAAAATCCTAAATACTGGCAAAACCAAATGCTTGCAAGGCTGTGGAGCAACAGGATCTCTCATTCACTGCTGGTGGAAATGCAAAATGGTGCCACTACTTTGGAACACAGTTCGTCAGTTTCTTACAAAACTAAGCGTGCTCCTAACACGATGCAGCAATCACGCTCCTCGGTATTTACCCAAAGAAGCTGAAGACATGTCCACACAAATACCTGCACCCAGATGTTTACAGCAGGTTTATTCATAACCGCCAAAACTTGTAGGTAACCAAGGTATCTTTCAATTAAGTGAATGGATAAATAAATGGGGGACATCCATATAATGACTACTATCCAGTGATAAAAAGAAATGAGCTATCGAGCCACGAGAAGACACAGAGGAAGAAGCTTAAATGCACGTTGCTCAGTGAAAGACACCAATCTGAATAGGCTACATGCCGTATGACTGCAACCTAGAACGTTCTGGAAAATGCAAAACTACGAAGACAGTAAAAAGACCAGTAGTTGCCAAAGATTTAGGGGAAGGGAGGAAGAGATAAACAACTGAAGCACAGGAGATTTTTAGGGCAGTGAAACTAATCTGTATTAAACTGTATTGTAATATGAATACTTGACATCATACATCTGTGTCGTCAACACAAATAACAAATCTTAATGTAAACTACAGAGTTTAATTAATAATAATGTATCAACATTTAGTAGTCAACTTGCAGGACCACATGAGCTCCTACAAAGAAGGAAAGCGGAGCCTGCACGCCCGGCTCTCTCCAGCTATTCACAATCTCTCAGGTGCTTAGGAGTTCAAGTGTCTTCTTCTCATCTGCCCTTGCAATCTGAAGACCACATGCCCTCTTCTCATCCCTCAATTCAAGAAATACTGTATTAGTGCCAACTGTCTACCATGACCCAACTTCTTCTGTGTTCTTATATTCCTCTTTTAATCAAAACATAGCTCTGGTTGTGATCCAGTAATAGGTTCTTCCATCTAACCAGATGTATCATGCTTTATATGAAAAATGTCATCAAACTCAAAATATCTGCATTTCCAACTATCAGAACCCTCTGTTTTCCTCAAAGCCTATCTGAAATCCAACTTCTCCATAAAGTTTTGTGCTTCCCAAATATCTCAATGATTTTTTTGTTTCTCTGAAATTCTAACGCACTTATAACTAACCAGTAGGACATAACCTAGCAGTTGATCACGTATCTCCCTAAAGGGTTTGAAAGTATACAGAGGATCTTTTCCAAGAAGGTAGAATAAGGCGTATATATTTATAGCATTTAGCCCAGTAGTAATCATGGAACACACAGTAATATTTATTGAATAAAGAGTTGTTTTCTTATTTTCACATTTTCTAAGAATTAAAATTTCACCAACATGTAAAATTACCAGAATTATTCAGAATGTAGGTGAAAATACCTTAGCATTTATATGTAAAACCTTTAAAAAATAAAAAAAACTGTTCTTAAAAGGACAGTGGAAATCCAGTCATTCAGTACCCTGTTGGCAGGTTTGGCAACACAAGAGAAGTAACTGTTACCGTTCGCATCTACAAAAGCTTGTGCATATGTTTAGTCCTTGACAGGCTAACAAGTTACTGGCAATGCTCTGTACCTCTGCTGAAAGTGGAAATAGGTTTTGTGACGTGGACACTCACCTAGGAAAATTCCCTTCCATTGGGAAGCAAGCTGCAGCCTGAAACTACTTTTACATGGACTATTTATTGATAATTCAATGGTGGTAAGCTTCTATTCATTGAGAAGCAAATTCTCAGTCCCAAAAGACACTGGATTCATACTGACCAGAAGATAAAATTGCCATCAGTGATGTGCACTATTAATTATCCTACAACTCAGTAGCACCAGACTTGCATTTAAAAATGACCAATAAAACCTCAGCTAAATTAGATACATCATCAAATCAATACCAGTGTTACCTTAGTGGTATATGATTACTAAGGAACATCTCGGCTATGTTAATCAACTCTGCTGTGGTCTCATGTGCAGGATCAACTATGAAAACCTGTTGAAGAAAGGGAAAAGAACACATGAAATGACTTTTATTCGAGTATTGTGGGCTGAGAAAAATGTTATGAGTCACTGTACATGAAGTCAACCTTTTTCGAGCTACGGTTGAACCACATAAAAGATGAATTACACAAACAGCAGCTACCTCCCTCTAAGTGCAAAACACGCAGTACTGAAGGGCTAGGTGATTTTCTCACGGACTTAGGCTGATAACAAGGGAACTGTACTCCAGAGTGCTGATGCCGGTTCTTCTACTACACCAAACAAAAACCAAGTTTAGCAACTCTCTCACCTTAAAAAATGGAGCCTGCCTTTTTGTCTATTCATTTCTGAGGATCTCTGAATTAAGAATTCACTTAGAACCTAATTCTTAGACCACAGTCATAGCTGTCAGGTAAGCACATAAACACGAATTAGGTGCTAAGCTCTCTCACTTAGTAAAGTTCAGACATATGGTAAAACAGAACGAGATTTAAATTCTGACTAGAAAGGAAAGAAGTGGTTTCAAGAGAGAGAAAAGTGGCCAGTGGTGGCTCACACCTGTAATCCCAGCACTTTGGGAGGCCAAGGCAGGTGGATCACCTGAGTTCAGGAGTTTGAAACCAGTCCCACCAATGTACTGAAACCCCGTCTCTACTAAAAATACAAAAATCAGCCAGGTGTGGTGGCATGTGCCTAAAATTCCTACTACTTGGGAGGTGACGCAGGAGAATCGCTTGAACCCGGGGGGGCGGAGGTTGCAGTGAGCCAAGATCCTGCCACTGCACTCCAGCCTGGGCAACAGAGCGAGACTGTTTCTGGGGGAAAAAAAAGAGAGAAGAAGAAAGGTAGAGAGGGCAATTTTTCCTGCAAGTTCTGAGGAGGCCAACCTTGGCACTAACCCTACCACTATCTCTTTCCCAGCTATGTGAGGGAAGGGAAAGAAATGAGAGGGAAAAAGTGGGCCAGTTAGGAACCCTCTTTCTCTCTCTCTAAAGCAGCGCAAGAAGGAGTAACAAGTAGGAGTTGGCAAACAGCCTTATTTAAGAGAATAAATGAAACTGCTGAACTTTAGGGATTACGATATTAAAGAAAAACAGCAGCAATATGCACCTTCTTACGTAAAAAAAAAAGAGCTATCTTAAAACTAATAAAACAATATTGCTATGAACCTAAAACTGCTCTAAAAAATATAAAGTCTTAAAAACAAACACATCACTGAATGGTGTGAAGAGTATGAAAACTTATTCAATCTGGAAAAGCTGATTAGAAAAAATAAAAATTAAAAACTAAAGTGTTTTAAAATTAAAAACAAATTAAAAGACTAAAACAACAGTCTAAACCTTCATGCTAAAAACGAGCATTTCCCCACACTCTGAGGGGGGCTGTAACGCTCCTGTTACGTCCCACAGCCCCACAAGTGGCCAGGACACTACAAAGCCCTCCCAGTGTGAACAGGGAGAGTATCTGGTGGAGGGTGGGGGAGGAAGCAGCTAGTAAAGGCGAGACGTGATCATTCTACATGACAAAAAAAGAGGGACTAGGCCAAGGGAGAAACAGAATTCACAGACAGACAGTAAGAGTTACTCACCATATTATGTAAGTTTTTCCTGATCTGCCGAATAACACCAGGAAAGGTGGGTCGAAGCAACTCTTGTAAACTAGAAGGCCACGAATTATATCTGCTATCAACCTCCAGGTTGTTGACCCACTACAAAAAATAACACAACAGGATGTATGCACATTAGTCACCAGCTAGTAAAATCTGCAATAATAACAATAAGACTTTGAATTGTTTGAAGAAGAATCATGTGAGACAAGATCATTTTCAAAGATAGAAAGATTGGGTGCAGTGGCTCACATCTGTAATCCTAGCACTTCGGAAGGACAAGACAGGAGGATCACTTGAGCCCAGGAGTTCGAGACCAGCCTGGGCAATATTATGAGACACCCATCTCTGCAAAAAAATATAAAAATTAGCCAGGCATGGTGGCTGCTGTCCCAGCCACTCAGGAGGCTGAGGCAGGGGGATCACCTGAGCCCAAGGGGTTTGAGGCTGCAGTGAGCCATGATCGTGCCACTGCACTCCAGCCTGAACAACAGAGCAAGACTCTATCTCAGAAAAACAAACAAAAAAGATAAAAAGAATGAGTGGAAAAATGAGTGACTAAAAGACAAGCCACAGGATAGACAAAGACATTTGTAACCTACAAACCCAATAAAGGACTAGTGTCAAGAATGAACACATAAAAATAAGAGAAAGAAGCTACACACACACACACACACACACACACACACACACATTTTTTTTTTTGAGATGAAGTCTCTCTCTGTTGACCAGGCTGGAGTGCAGTGGAGCAATCTCAGCTCATTGCAACCTCCGCCTCCTAAGTTCAAGCGATTCTTGTGCCTCAGCCCCCCGAGTAGCTGGAATTACAGGCACCCACCACCACACCCGGTGAATTTTTGTATTTTTAGTAGAGGCAGGGTTTCACCATGTTGGCCAGGCTGGTCTCGAACTCCTGACCTCAAGTGATGTGCCCACCTTGGCCTCCCAAAGTGCTGGGATTACAGGTGTGAGCTACAGCACCCAGCCCTAAACTTTTTAAGAACAAAGGAAAAAAGAAAAAGTAAAAAAAAATTGGAAAAGAAAAAAGAATATGAATAAGAAATATACAGAGGAAACCCAAATGGGCAATAAACGTAAGAAATGTGTACACCCTCAACGGTAATCTAGGAACCATGAGCTAAGACCTCAATGAAATTTCATACCTGCTAGACAAAAAAAGTGAAAGTTTGTCAAGATCCAAGAACAGGAAAAGATACAGAGCAAAGAGAACTCTCATGAAATGCTGGTGTGTGGACAATCACTTCAGAGAACTGGATCTAATAAAGTTGAAGACTATATTAGTACTAATTTTTCTAAAATAAATGCAGTACTGCTGGGTGCACTGGCTCATGCCTGTAATCCGAGCACTGTGGGAGGCCAAGGCGGGCAGATCACAAGATCAAGAGATCGAGACCATCCTGGCCAACATAGTGAAACCCAGTCTCTACCAAAAATGCAAAACTTAGTTGGGCATTGTCATGTGCGCCTGTAGTCCCAGCTACTCGGGAGGCTGAGGCAGGAGAATCGCTAGAACCTGGGAGGCGGAAGTTGCAGTGAGCTGAGATCACACCATTGCACTCCAGCCTGGCAACAGAGCGAGACTCCGTCTAAAATAACATAACATAACATAACATAACATAACATAACATAACATAACACAACACAACACAACACAACATAATAGCAGCACCACTAAGTAGTTCCAGGTATCTACCCCAAATAAATTCACATGTATACACAAAAAGAGAAGAAAAAAGAGCCTAATTAAAATAGTGTTTACAACAGCAAAAAAATCAGAAACAACTTCATGTCCGCAAAGAGCAACGGTTCAGGAGGCTGAGACAGGAGGACCTCTCGAACACAGGAGTTTAATGCTGCAGTGAGCTACGATTGCATCCCTGCACTCCATCAGGGTTTTGTCATGTTGGCCAGGCAGGTCTCGAACTCCTGAGCTGAAGTGATCCACCCACCACGGCCTCCCAAAGTGCTGGGATTACTGGTGTGAGCCACCGCGCCTGACTGGATTATCCAATTTTTTTTTTTTTTTGAGACAGAGTCTCACTGTCGCCCAGGCTGGAGTGCAGTGGCACGATCTTGGCTCACTGCAACCTCCGCCTCCTGGATTCAAGCAATTCTCTTGCCTCAGCCTCCCAAGTAGCTGGGATTACAGACGTGTACCACCACGCCTGGCTAATTTTTGTATTTTTAGTAGAGACGGGGTTTCACCATGTTGGCCAGGCTGGTCTCGAACTCCTCACCTCGAATGGTCCACCCGCTTCAGCCTCCCAAAGTGCTGGGATTACAGGTGTGAGCCACTGTGCCTGGCCTCAAATTTTTAGAGTATTAGATAGGAGCCAGGCAAGGTGGTATATGCCTATGGTTCCAGCTACTCAGGAAGCTGAAGCAAAAGGATTGCTTAACCCCAGGAATTTGAGTCCAGCCTGAGCAACATAGTGAGACTCATCTCTAAAAAAACAGAAGAAAGAAAGAAAAATATATTTGATAGAAAATAAAAGGATAAAATAAGGGAGAAGGGAATGCACACCAACTTGAGAAAAGATAAGAACTTCAGGAAGGAGAGGGGTGGCTGGTAAGGGACAAAGAAGAGCTTCAACTAAAACAGCCTTTTTTTTTTCCAACAAAACCATTAAATCTGACACAAAATGATTAAATGTTAACATTTAGTAAGCATGATGATGGGTCGTATGGTTGTTAGTCCTTCTATGTTTGCGTAAACATGTCATGTTAATGTTATTATCTTTTACTCTTTACAAATACTTTTAACAGAAAAGCAAATTAACAAAGTCTTCATCAAAATAAGTTACATCACCAAGTATGAATTCAAGTAATGATTATCTACATTCTACATTATTTCTCCTAAATAAAATTTTTCTAAAATGAATGCAGTATAGAAACCAAGAAAAAATAAGAGCAGCTCTCCCCCCATCTTATTTTTACCACAGCTGCCCAAGATGGCACTATCCCCACATCCTCTCTTTTTATTTGAGACGGAGACTTGCTCTGTCGCACAGACTGGAGTGCAGTGGCACAATCTCAGCTGCCTGCAACTTCCACCTCCCGGGTTCAAGCGATTCTCCGGCCTCAGCCTCCCAAATAGCTGAGATTAGGAGGTGCACAATGCCACATCCGGCTAATTTTTGTATTTTGAGTAGAGACGGGGTTTCACCACGTTGGTTGGTCAGACTGATCTTGAACTCCTGACCTTAGGTGATCCACCCGCCTTGGCCTCCCAAAGTGCTGGGATTACAGGCACAAGCCACCATGCCCAACCCTATACCCCACATCCTCTGACAGATGATGAGACAAAGATCATACAGCAGGCAAAAATCTGTATAAATCCTTCAAATCTCAGATATCAAAATCCTACTAAAGAAGGTTCTTAGCTAAAAAGTGACATTTTCAATAGTAGTTTTAATTTACAGATGTCACAGAATCACACCAGATCTGTATGCCATTGAGAAAATACAGACTAAACACTTTTTCCCAAGAGATGCTCAGCTGAATCCCAGGGGCATGCTCAAGTGAAAAAAATCACTGTCTTGGCTGGGCGTGTGGGTTCATGCCTATAATCCCAGCACTTTGGGAGGCAGAGGTGAATGGATCACCTGAGGTCAGGAGTTCAAGACCAGGCTGACCAACACTGTGAAACCCCCTCTACTAAAAATATAAGAATTAGGCGTGGTGGCAGGCGCCTGTAATCCCAGCTACTCGGGAGGCTGAGGCAGAAGAACTGCTTTACCCCAGGAGGTAGAGCTTGCAGTAAGCCAAGATTGCACCACTGCACTCCAGCCAGGACAACAGAGTGAGACTGCGTCTCGAAAAAAAAAAAAAAAAAAAAAAAAGAAAAACCACTGTCTTAACCACATTAGCAACAATGACTCAACTTTTTGAAGCATTTAAGGGCCTACTTTATTACATTCACTAAGTCCCATAAGCGACAGTAAATCTTTCACACCAACAAAAGAGATGGTGGGAGGAACTTCACCCTCACAGGAGACAAATTAGAAAACCATAAAAAAGATTCCTGGTCAGAAAGTCCTTTGATCACCCTAACAAAATACTCACTGAAATAGCAGGACTCCGGATGTCTACTGCATAGTCTGCCTCAGAGGGCTGGATGTTCAGCTTCAAAACATTATGCAGAGAAAGGCCTTCTATTCCCAACCTATGCAGACCCTCCATGACCCGAGCTTCATTCCTCAACACATCAAACAGACTGGGGGAAAGAAAAAAAGGCATTTACTAGGGAAAAAAAAAGCTTTTAAAAAAAATTCTCACCATGAAAATAAATGTTATTAGTTCAACCTCAATGCCAAATCAAATTAATTGAGAAATTAAAAAGGGGAACTCTTCTCCAAATTAATTGAGAAATTAAAAAAGGGAATAAACACACAAATTGAGCATAAAATAACCCCAAATCTATACTTTTACACCACAATTTTAAAAACAGTATATTAATCTCTCTGTATTCTTTCTTATAACTGCATGTGAATTTACAATTATCTCAAAATAAAGATTGTTTTTTTTTTTTTGAGACGGAGTCTCGCTCTGTCACCCAGGCTGGAGTGCAGTGGCTGGATCTCAGCTCACTGCAAGCTCCGCCTTGGGTTTGCGCCATTCTCCTGCCTCAGCCTCCCGAGTAGCTGGGACTACAGGCGCCCGCCACCTCGCCCGGCTAGTTTTTTGTATTTTTTTAGTAGAGACGGGGTTTCACCGTGTTAGCCAGGATGGTCTCGATCTCCTGACCTCGTGATCCGCCCATCTCGGCCTCCCAAAGTGCTGGGATTACAGGCTTGAGCCACCGCACCCGGTGCAAAATAAAGATTAAAAAGAGATACTACATTATATATGCTTAATATATGTTTCAATGTCAGTACCAGTTCATACAGACAAACATGACCACAGAAAAAAGCCTGGAAGAATCCACACTCAACTTAAGAGGTTTGCTGGGAGAGACAGAAAAGACAGAGAAGAAGGGCCAGGAGCGGTGGCTCATGGCTGTAATCCCAGCACTCTGGGAGGCCAAGGTGGGTGGATCACAAGGTCAGTAGTTCAAGACCAGCCTGGCCAACATGCTGAAACCCCATCTCTACTAAAAATACAGAAAAAATAGCCAGGCATGGTGGCAGGCGCCTGTAATCCCAGCAATTTGGGAGGCCAAAGTGGGCAGATCACAAAGTCCATAGTTCAAGACCAGCCTGGCCAACATGGTGAAATTCCATCTCTACTAAAAATACAAAAAAAAAAAAAAAGCCAGGCATGGTGACAGGTGCCTGTAATCCCAGCTACTCAGGAGGCTGAGGCAGGAGAATTGCTTGAACCTGGGAGGCAGAGGTTGCAGTAAGCTGAGACCATGCCACTGGACTCCAGCCTGGGGAACAGAGCGACATTCCGTCTCCAAAAACAAAAAAGGAAGGAGAAATTAGATGTGATTTAAAAAAAAACCAAATGAATAAAGTCTGAATTCTACCTGTCTGCTAACCACCCCAAAATCATGAAGACAATCAAATGCAATTTAATACTGAACCACATTTTACCAAAAAGTGGTATTCAAATATATGTAGACAGAACACCTTCCGAGACACAAGAGACAGTTTTTTTTGGGTTTTTTTGTTGTTTTTTTTTTTGGTTTTTGAGATGGAGTCTCACTCTGTTGCCCAGGCTGGAGTGCATGGGTGCAATCTTGGCTCACTGCAACCTCCACCTCCCAGGTTCAAGTGATACTCCTGCCTCAGCCTCCCAAGTAGTTGGCACTACAGGCACGTACTACCAGGCATGGCTAATTTTTGTATTTTTAGCAGAGATGGGGTTTCACTATGTTTGCCAGGCTGGTCTCGAACTCCTGACCTCAAGTGATCCGCCGGCCTCAGCCTCCCCAAGTGCTGGGATGACAGGCGTGAGCCACCGTGCGCAGCTCAGAGGCAGTATTCTTAATAAATCTACTTCACACTGTTCCAAAAGTCAAAGAACCTGTTCATTCCTATGTTCCCATGGTTTAGTGGAAAAGTATCGTTTCCAAAAGGACAGCCTCAGAAAACACTGAGGCCCCGAACACACACTGTAACACAAGGTGGAGACATGTCGTCCTGCCCACCCATCACAGCATGTGCCTACCACCTACATCCGCCCAGTGGGGCCTGGTAAGCCATCAGGCTTGGCATCATGCCGTATCAACAAGGAACGGCGATAGGAACATGTTGCAAGGTGCTACACGTTACAAAAATTTTTCAGAGAATGAAAAATATTATCCATACCTGAATATATCCTGTGTATCTAAATCAATGTGAAGTCCATTGATGAAGAGGGCTGAATCTCCAGGTTGTAATCCTAAAGTTCCCTTGAAATACTGAAAAATTTTAATAATTATTAGGGAGCTGTGAGAGAATGTTCAAAAAAATTTCAGTGTTTCTGGGCTTCACTACCTGTATAAATCTTGGCATCCTAAAGCAGGGCTAAGATTTGCTTCAAGATGCTGTCGGGATTCAATGGCAAGCAAGACAGGGGATACCATAGTGTATACACATTTCAAAACATGTTGTACACCACAAAAATACGCATTTTTTACTTCTCAATTTTAAAAAGAGGAGAAAAAACAATAAGGAGATCATGGAAAGGTGTGTCAATCAAGACCTGGAATTTCTTCCAAGGGAGAGAGAAATTCATATCTTCTCACGCCCCAGCTACGTGCACAGCACCCACAGATGATACAAAAAGGCTGACCCAGGCCAGGCGCAGTGGCTCACACCTGTAATCCCAGCACTTTGGGAGGCCAAGGCGGGTGGATCACTGGAGGCCAGGAGTTGGAGACCAGCCTGGACAATGTGGCAAAACCCCGTCTCTACTAAAAATACAAAAATTAACCAAGCTATGGTGGCCTGCACCTGTAGTCCCAGCTGCTTGGGAGGCTGAGGCACAAGAATCGCTTGAACCCAGGAGGCAGAGGCTGCAGTGAGCTGAGATAGCACCATTGCACTCCAGCTTGAATGACAGAGCAAGACACTGTCTCCAGAAAAAAAAACAAGACTGACCCTGAGCTGGTGAATACAGTCGTTATCTATTTCTAGGTCTGGACACTGGTAATATACATGGGTTCATTTTGGGAAAGTTCATCAAATGAATGAGAATTTGTGTGCTTCTTTCTTTATGTTTCATATAAAATACATACATTTTGGGCTGGGCACAGTGGCTCATGCCTGTAATCCCAGCACTTTGGGAGGCCGAGGTGGGTGGATTACCTGAGGTCAGGAGTTTGAGACCAGCCTGACCAACATGGTGAAAGCCCATCTCTACTAAAATTACAAAAAATTAGCTGGGCATGGTTGGCAGAAACCTGTAATTCCAGCTATTCAGGAGGCTGAGGTAGGAAAACTGCTTGTATCTGGGAGACAGAGGTTGCCATGAGCCAAGATCATGCCACTGCATTCAGCCTGGGTGACAGAGCAAGACTCCATCTCAAAAAAAAAAAAAAAAAAAAAAATTTGGCCAGGCATGGTGGCTCATGCCTGTAATCCCACCTCTTTGGGAGGCCAAGGTGAGTGGATCACAAGGTCAGGAGATCAAAGTCATCCTGGCCAACATGGTGAAACCCCATCTCTACTAAAAATACAAAAAAATTAGCTGGGCGTGGTGGCGCACACCTGTAGTCCCAGCTACTCAGCAGGCTGAGGCAAGAGAATCACTTGAATCCGGGAGGTGGAGGTTGCAGTGAGCCAAGATCATGCCACTGCACTCTACCCTGGGCAACAGAGCAAGACTCCATCTCAAAAACAAAAGTATATATTTATGCTTTAATAAAATGTTTTACTCAAAAAAAAATTAAGACTCCACGAAACAGCAATATAGAATAATTTTGTCTTCCTTAGGGGGAAAAAGGCCCTAAATTTAAGATAATATTTGATGTTTTAATTTTGGAAATTAAAAAGTAAATATAAACTCCCAATAAGGTTTTTCAATGTAGTAAACATTTGAGAAGCATTTATTTATCCCTCAGATGTACTTAATTCACTAATATCTCAGACATGAAGATCAAGGAAATCGGGGGTAAAGATAGTGAATTGAACGTAAGAACTCTTTTCCCTCCTGAAACTCTACTGAAAGGTCAGTAGAGCGACTTTTTCAGTTATAAATCCACAAAGTCAAAGAGAACAGGAAAGAAAAAGGCCACCAAATTTTGGAAGCTGGAAGAGAGGTGGGTGAGGAGTCACTGTCCCAGCAGCCCTGAGAAAGGTGAATGCTAGACCAACTACGGGCAAGGTCAACAAGAAACCTGTACCACCCCGCGGAACTCACCAAAGGCTCAGGAACTGGCAGCACACAGGACAGGTACAAGGGGTGACTCTTAGCTAAGTTCTGAGATAAAGCCCTTTAAGACAAAACCCCCCAGTCCCCCAGCTGATTTCCCACAGCCAGGTGGCTGCAGTCGGTGCCACCCGCTACTCTAGCAAAAGGAAGGCTCATTCCCTGGAACAGAACAAAACAGAACATCTGTGGACAACGGCAAATCAAGCACAAGGAGGACAGGGACCCCCACACACAAAATGGGGAAGAGAAGGCATGTCACCAAATATTCTTCCCTACTGTGCTTCGACAGCTCTAGCAAACAGATTTCACCCTCCAGACAGACGACTAACGGATCCTTTTCTGGAGACTGACAAGGACTGACCAACCCAAAAGAAAAGGAACAAAGATACTGTCATTGGGGTTCCCTAGGAAATGGTCACAAGAGAACACCTTACAGTCACAAAGCCAATCATAAGGACTTCCAACCAGGTCCTTAGTGCCTCACTCTGAGTGTGACTGCCAGACACCTAAGGAAGGCCTCCACCACTAAAGAGACCAAAACCCAAAAACGTAGCTTAAGAGGAAACAGACTTTGCAGACAGAAAACACAAGCACCACTGTCTTCAGAGATACACAGGAACACCACAAAAACACCTGAAAATTAAATATTTGACAACTAAAGGAAAAAAGACACACACAGGTTGAAAACTCTTACCAGAAAGTTTTTTTTTTTTTTGAAAAAGAGAAAAGAGGCCGGGCGCAGTGGCTCACGCCTGTAATCCCAGCACTTTGGGAGGCCGAGACAGGAGGATCACGAAGTCAGGAGATCAAGATCATCCTGGTCAACACAGTGAAACCCCTTCTCTACTAAAAATACAAAAAAAATTAGCCGGGTGTACTGGTGGGCGCCTGTAGTCCCAGGTACTTGGGAGGCTGAGGCAGGAGAATGACGTGAACCCGGGAGGTGGAGCTTGCAGTGAACCGAGATGGTGCCACTGCACTTCAGCCTGGGCGACAGAGCGAGACTCCGTCTCCAAAAAAAAAAAAAAAAAAGAAAGAAAAAGAGAAAAGAATAGGAAAGAAAAGACTTTTAAAGTTAAAAGGCCAAACTAGTCAAAGAGGTGCAACATTTAAAAAATAAATAAATATTTCTAGGAAAAGAGGAGAGAGAAACCACAGAGAAGAAACACAAAAAAGAATTCAAGAAAGTTTCCCAAAGCTAAAGGTGATGATTTTTCCAGATTTTAAGGGCCCACGAATCATCTAACAGTAGATTTTTTGAAAAAACACATATAATTATGAAATTTCAGGTAACTAGAGTCAAAGAAAGGATCCTTGAGAGATCTCATACAAAGGCTTCAGACTTCTCAACAGCCACAATGGAAACTAAAATTCCAAGAGGCGAAGTCTTGTTTCAAATTTCGAAATGACTTCCAACCTAGAATTGTATAACCTGCCAATACTATATAATGAGCTATCAATAAAAACAAGTAGAAAGTTGATTTCTCAGAATTTCAAATTTGCCTCCCAGGCAACTTTTCTCACAAAGAATGATGAGCTGTACCAAAATAAGGAAATTAACCAAAAACAAAGAAGACGTGGAATCAAGCAACAGCGGATCCAACAAAGGAGGTTAAAGGAAGGTCCCAGGACGACCAGCATGCACCGGGTATATAGAGCAACCAGTCCATGTCAGACCACGTCAAAACTAGATAAAATCACAACATCCAATATTGGGAAGACAGACAGACAGGAACAGTGCCAATATGGAACAGTGGTGGGTCAGAGGGAGAGAAGTGAAAGAAAGTTAAACCTCATTGTTTAAATAGGAGGCCAATATATAACGTCTCAACGGGAAAAATAAAGTACCGATGTAAGCTAGAAATCTGGAGAGAAATATCACAAGAATCAGCAAAATGTTGAAAGTGTATGTTTTCAGTTTCCTCTCAATTTTGTTTTTAATGATTGTTCATATTCAAAGGTGTTCATGCAGATGTAGTTAGTCTAACTGTAAAAAAAAAAAAAAAAAGAAAGTGTCTGTTTTCAGGAATGGGGTGAAACATGTTAGGGGTGCGGCTTTTCTAAACAACATGGTAGTACCACATGCTTTCAGTTAGATGCACACTGAACTTTGATTAAAAACTAAAAATACAAAGATCACAGAAACGAAAAAATCACCATCTTAGACAAAAGAAGAGTGACACTGTTAAATGCTGCTATTTAAACTCAGATTTCTTTATCTTGAAAGACAGAATACAAAACAGGTATTTTCTATCGGTGAATACCTTCTGATTCTCTTCCACTTCGGTTCTAAGTTCTGAGCTCACAGCTGTTTTTGTTATTGCTCTAAGGAAATAAAAACATTATGAGTGCTTGGCTTAATATTTGATATAAAGTCTTCAATTTCTGTATTTTAAAATATGAAACACATTATTCAACAGATTAGAAAAAATTAGATGGGAAAAACCTTAAATCTTTATAATTGATAAATACATTTCTCCTTTCTCAGATGTGTATACTTTTTGTAAGATACAAAATCAAAGAAATGTAGCAGCCATAGCATTATAAAACAGGTGCAGTTGCTTCCAAGTTCTTAAACATATGCACTCCATTTCTATATATGATCTCTACTACTCTCAGGCTAAAAGGATAATGTGGAATACACCAAGGCAGCAGATTGCTCTTCCCACTTAAGCACTTATGGTGGAGGTGGAATCATTCATGTATACCTTCAAGTAGCAGCTGGACTAAATGAGAATTCACTACATGATGTCTAAGTCCCAAATAAACAAACTTAGTTACAAAATATCTCACATCAGAAGTCAAAACACTTCATTCAGTGACTCAAGCAAATGACTGGGAACCATTCAAGTCAACAGTTTCTAAAGATTTGGCTTTTAAAACAATTTTGCCTTGCATTTATGAGACGTGCAGCAATATTACAGAATTGAAGGCAATGCCAGAAAATGTACAAACAAAATCTTTTTTTTTTTTTTTTTTTTTTTTTTAGATGGAGTTTCGCTCTTGTTGCTCAGGCTGGAGTGCAATGGCATGATCTTGGCTCACTGCAACCTTCGCCTCCTGGGTTCAAGCGATTCTCCTGCACCAGCCTCCCGAGTAACTGGGATTACAGGCCCCTGCCACCACACCCAGCTAATTTTTTGTATTTTTAGTAGAAAAGGGGTTTCACCATGTTGGCCAGGCTGATCTGGAACTCCTGACCTCAAGTGATCCACCCACCTCGGCCTCCCAAAGTGCTGGGATTATAGGTGTGAGCCACCATGCCTGGTCCACTTCCCCCTTTTGGGTACCAGACAAGGTGGGTGGATCACCTGAGGTCAGGAGTTCCAGACCAGCCTGACCAACAGGGCAAAACCCTGTCTACTAAAAATACAAAAATTAGCCAGGCCTTGGCCTCCCAAAGTGCTAGGATTACAGACGTGAGCCACCAAGCCTGGCTCAAACAAAATCTTATTCTGTCACTATGAACTTAGCCTCTACGGCTTAGCCTAGAGGTCACTTAGCCTCTACGGCTCAGTGTCTTCAAGATTCAATAAGATGACATATATAAAACCTTCCATGAAGAAAACCACTGTGGTCTGGGACAGACTCTAGATTAGTCAGTTACATGAGCAAGACCCATCCAATCCTGAAAGGCAGGTATTTTTATTCCCATTCCACTGCTGAGGAAACTGAGGTAAAGAGAGGTTGTTTATTTGCAAAGGTCACACAACTAATAAGCAGAAGTGCCAGGAACATAACCTAAATCTGTCACTTCAACCACACGATGCATGGTCTTGCCATCTTCAAGACACAGAGTAGTAGTAGTGGTGGTGCAGTAGTAGTGGTGGTGGTGGTCATAAAGAATCTTAATTTTCGCTGGGTGCGGTGGCTCACGCTTGTAATCCCGGCACTTTGGGAGACCGAGGTGGGCAGAACACTTGAGGTCAGGTGTTCGAGACCAGCCTGGCCAACACAGTGAAACCTTGTCTCTACTAAAACTACAACAAATTAGCCGGGCATAGTGGCACACGTCTGTAGTCCCAGCTACTTGGGAGGCTGAGGCAGGAGAATCACTTGAACCTAGGAGACGGAGGTTGTGGTGAGCCGAGATCGCACCACCGTACTCCAACCTGGGCAACAAGAGCGAGACTCCGTCTCAAAAAAAAAAATCTTAATTTTCTAAGCATTTTCATATTTTTATTACCTCATTTGGCAAGTGAACATGACGATAACTGGGTATGATGTTAAGGAGAAGAGCATTATTCTATATTACCTGGCTTTGGTAGGAAAATTCTGACTAAGATCCTTCATAACAACCAGAGCCAACTCAACAGGAGAAGCCAAGATTCGAGCAGCAGTCTGGAAACTGAGATCTGCAATGATGTCAAATATAATTAAAAGTGGATTTAATCTAATGCAATGAGAAGCAGAAAACAAAATCCAAATTTACTTCCCACTCTTTTCTTGGTAATTAAGAACGTCTTAGAATGCAACCATTCCAGAGAGTGCCCAGGATTTCATTTCAGGTTGTATTCACTTCAAAGATCCCTGGAGTGTTCCGTTGAGCCGTTTCTGATAAATCTGCAGAAAACACTAGGGCACACACTAATGCTTGCAGCAGAGGCTAGATCAGGCCCAAGTCCTTTTCCCTGTTCTAAATTTACAGTACATCACAAAATACAGCATGGAGACTTTCAGCAAATGATGTGAAAAATACTTGAAAAATAGTTCTTTGGAACAGAGAAAAACACACACGTCCTGCCACAATGACATGCCTTTAACACTCTATAGATAAACAGTTGAAGAAATGTATATATATAATAGGAACTTAAGGACTATGACCTGTTTCTCGTATTACTAGTTTATGTATGGTCACACAGAAAGATTTGCCGCTTGTTTATATATATTACTTCCACCTAGTGTTATCTGTTTACAAAAGGACTTCCTTTCTTCCCTGATTAATTGTAATTAACCATTCTTATCTTTAAAATCAGAGGCACCCTCAGAATCACATACCACATACAATTAAACCCAAATTTTGCATTTTTTAAAGCCATAAAACTTAGCCAAAAAGTTGGCCAATGACCTCTCCCTGTTTTCATTACCTTGCAACTGCCAAACTTTTAAAGGTGCCATTTCATTGGTGCTCTCCACAAGATGCTTTCTGAGCTCTTTCAACTGTCCCTCCAGGTCGGGGTGTAGATCTCTAAAAGAAACATAAAAATCAGTCCTCTTCATTATTTTTTCTTTCCCAGAACACAAGAAGAAGTAAACCAACTTTATCTTCATGGTTTGCCTCTTCCAACCCTAGGAAATTTTCTACAATAAGGGGAAAAAAGGAAGTATAATTATTCCTCTTTAAAAAAAATAGAAAATTAGAAGTTAGTTTAAAACTCATAAAATTTATAGAAAAATTGCTAGAATAGCAATTCCCTGTGAGGTAGATAAGGAGACTGGGAGTGGTTAACAAAAGAGACTTTTCAGGCCAGGTGTGGTGGCTCACGCCTGATATCCCAGTCACTGAGGAGGCCAAGGCAGGAGGATCACTCGAGCCAAGGAGTTCCAGGTCAGCCTGTGCAACACAGCAAGGCCCTGTCTCTTAAAAAAAAAAAAAAAGAAGAAAAGGAACAAAGGAGACTTCAGCTATACCTGCAGTGTTTACGGATCTATTTTATTTTTTGTTTTCCTTCGTTCTTAAAGTAAAAGAAGGCTTATACAGGAAAAAAAAGAAAGCTTAATAAATAGTTCTATAGGACAGAAAAGCAAGTATGGTAACAGCAATCTATTCTGGGTTGTAAGTATGTGGGAATAAATTCTTCTCTATGCTTTTGTGAATCATTTTAATTTCTCAAAGTAAAACTGAGGGGGAAAAAAACTGCTTCCAGTCCCAAAATGAGTTTCCTTTCGCCTACATGCTCATAAACCTCTTAGTCACATGATACAATTTAGGCTAACCATAGTTACTGAGTTTTATCTTTAAATACAGCATATTCCACTACAGTAAAGGAGAGGTGATCTGGGGCAGAGACATAACATTTACATCAGACAGACAGATGGCTAGTACATTACTTTTTTCTTTTAAATGCTATAAACTCAAAATTTCTTAATACAACATACAGAAATTAGAATTCCCTCAGACCGTTCACTGTCCAACCAACCCACTTCCTGTCAGTTACTACAGCCTGAGCATCCCAAATCTAAAATTCTGAAATCCAAAATGCTCCAAAATCCAAAACTCATTAAATGTCAACATGACATCAAAGGAAATGTTCATAGAAGCATTTCAGGTTTCAGATTTTCAGACTTAGGAGTGCTCAACTGCTAAGCATAATGGAAATATTTCAAAATTGAAATCTGAAACTCTTCTAGTTTAAACATTTTAGAAAAGACACTCAACCTATATAAACTCTTAAATACCAAAAATGAGGCCAGGTACAGTGGCTCACACCTGTAATCCTAGCACTTTGGGAGGCCAAGGTGGGCAGATCCCTTGAGCCCAGGAGTTCAAGACCAGCCTGGGCTACACGGCAAAACCCCATCTCTACCACAAATACAAAAACGGAAGTGAGAGGATCACCTGAGCCTGGGGAAGTGGTGGCTGCAGCAGGCCATGATGGCGCCACTGCACTCCAGCCTTGGTGACAGGCTGAGAGCCTGTCTCAAACAAACAAACAAAAAAAACAGCCTAATTACTTTGGATAGCTAAATAACTATTCTGAATGTCCAAAAGGTAAAATAGCCTCAATATTCTTGATTTTTGTGCTGTGAATGCATAAAATCATAATGCTACCCAAAAAATAAACATAAACAACATAAATGTGAAAAAAAGATTCTGAAGCTGGGAGTGGTAGCTCACACCTGTAATTCAAACACTTTGGGAAGCCAAGGCAGGACAATCACTTGAACCCAAAGTTCAAGACCAACCTGGGCAACATAGCAAGACTCTATCTCTACAAAATATTTAAAAATTAGCCAGGCATGGTGGCACACACCTGTAGTCCCAGCTATTCAAGAGGGTGAGGTGGGAAGATCCCTTGAGCCCAGGAAGTCAAGGCTGCAGTGAGCCGTGATTATGCCACCGCTCTCCAACCTGGATGACAGAGCAAAGCCCTGTCTCAAAAATTTTTTTTAAAAAAAGAATTCTGAAAGCCTGAGTCAAATAAAAATAGGATATGATTACATTCTAATGAGGCCCAAACTGATGTTAAACAAGAAATGTATATATGTGCAGGACGAACTCAACATGTAATTCAATGTAAACTAAGATACATCTTCTAAATTGTTAATCTGGTTATTTCACTTGGCCAAATCTCAGAGCTGAAGTATATAAAACTGAGCCTAGCATATACTATTTCTATTTGATCACTTTCTCTCTCTTTCCCTGTCTCTCTCTCTTTCCCTCTCTCTCTCTCTCTCTCTCACACACACACACACACACACACACACACACACACACAAAATGTCCTAATAAAAATTTCCAGATAAAGCAGAATTCAGGGCTCTAAACAATTATCAAGCCATGAGGGAAATAACTTCAACTTTTAGAATAACAGCTAAGAAGACTTTCCAGGCCGGGCGCGGAGGCTCACGCCTATAGTCCCAGCACTTTGGGAAGCCGAGGCGGGTGGATCACGAGGTCAGGAGATCAAGACCATCCTGACCCACACAGTGAAACCCTGTCTCTACTAAAAAAGAAATTCAAAAAATTAGCCAGGCGTGGTGGCGGATGCCTGTAGTCCCAGCTACTTGGGAGGCTGAGGCAAGAGAACGGTGTGAATCTGGGAGGCGGAGCTTGCAGTGAGCCGAGATCACGCCACTGCACTCCAGCCTGGGCAACAGAGCAAGACTCCGTCTCAAAAAAAAAAGAACAGCTAAGAAGAAGACTTTCCAGCTATAAAACACTATGATACTTACATTAATTGGCTATGATGCTTTCATTAAATGATTATGTAATTACGGAATTTTAAAAAATACCATTTCCTTTCACATAAGGCAAATTCTAATAAAACGTTTTTTTCTGAGCTGGGCGCCATGGCTCACACCTGTAATCCCAGTACTCTGGGAGAGTGAGGCAGGCAGATCACTTGAGGCCAGGAGTTCAAGACCAGCCTGGCCAACATGGTGAAATCCTGTCTCTACTAAAAATACAAAAGTTAGCCAGGCATGGTGGTGGGTGTCTGTAATCCTAGCTACTCAGGGGGCTGAGGCAGGAGAATTACTTGAACCCAGGAGGTGGAGGTTGCAGTGAACTGAAATTGCGCCACTTTACTCCAGGCTGGGCAACAGAGCAAGATTTGGTCTCAAAATAAATAAACAAATAAATAAATAAAAATAGTAATAATAGTAAAATGTTTTCTCCATTGAGCATGTATAAAATTTACTGTATCTATTTTGCATTTTTGCTCAGACTATGTTTGAAAAAAACTTTTAAATACACTTTTTTCCTGGGAAAATATTAAGTGAAACAATTCAATTTCGGCCGGGCGCGGTGGCTCACGCTTGTAATCCCAGCACTTTGGGAGGCCGAGGCGGGCGGATCACAAGGTCAGGAGATCGAGACCACGGTGAAACCCCGTCTCTACTAAAAAAAATACAAAAAATTAGCTGGGCGCGGTGGCAGGCGCCTGTAGTCCCAGCTACTCGGGAGGCTGAGGCAGGAGAATGGCGAGAACCTGGGAGGCGGAGCTTGCAGTGAGCCGAGATCGCGCCACTGCACTCCAGCCTGGGCAACACAGCGAGACTCCGTCTCAAAAAAAAAAAAAAAAAAAAAAAAAAAAAGAAACAATTCAATTTCTCCTCTTATGGCAATCAAAAAATGGTATGTAACTTAATGCCATCAACTGAGAGGTAAGAAAAATGCACTTAAACTGTGGGCAGGTAGCCAAAGTATCAATTAAGAATCATGTGCTTCAAGCTGGACACAGTGGTTAATGCCTGTAATCCCAGCACTTTGGGAGGCTGAGGCAGGTGGATCACTTGAGGCCAGGAGTTTGAGATCAGCCTAGCCAACGTGGTGAAACCCTATCTCTGCTAAAAATACAAAAATTAGCCAGGTGTGGTGGTGCACGCCTGTAATCCCAGCTACTTGGGAGGCTGAGGCAGGAGAATCACCTGAACCTGGAAAGTGCAGGTTGCAGTGAGTTGAGCATCACGCCACTGCACTCCAACCTGGGCAACACAACAAGACTGACTTCAAAAAAAAAAAAAAAAAAAAGAATAATGTGCTTCAGAATAATGTGAAATCATAAATTGTACTATAAACTAAGAGGTTGACTCTCCACATAGGATTGCATACATGAAGTACTGTTAGGAGATGGGTAACTCAGACAGTAATCAACAAGATGATGCTTAAAATGCAAGAAAGCCCGGAGGCTTAAGGAAAATGAGGGCGTTTCCCAAAATACACAGAACGTACATACCTTAATTTTCCAAAGAAGAATCCCTGAACCTCATCAATAGGATCATTTTCACCAATCACTGTGGTGTTTACCTCAGTTCCTACGAAAGAACAGAAAATCCGTATTATTAATAATTGCTCACATTTGAAGCAAAAATGTTACTAGTCTCAAGAACATCATAAAATTGAATAATGTGAAAAAAAATCAGAAACCCCTGAAATTATACCATTTAAAATGTTGACTATCACAATTACCCTTTGGTAATGGTTCTTTAAACAAACAGAATAAATGCATTTTAATATCTCCTGTGTTCCTGGATAAAGAATGCATTTTTCCCTTAAACTTTGGAAAATTTTATATGCTAAAATCTTCAAAATTAATAGATTTAAACATTATGGACAACTATGAAATTAACAGTTTTAAACACTATGAACAAAGAATTTTTCAATATCAAAATTCTGAAGAATTTATAATTAGTCAACTTAATCCTAAACACAATTATTGAAGAAAACAGAAGGATGAGGTAGTAGTTTATTTTCCATCTGCTTTCCTACTCAGATTTTTTATCTTTAAAATGAGCTTAAAAGAAATGAAAAAACAGCATTTAAAACTTGTAGATAAAATAATAAATTCAAAACCCTAGAGTATTACAACAGAAAGTATCCACAGTAAACTGTTCCATGTACAGAACTAATAAACACAAAATTGTTTGCTAAATATAGGATAGGATACTTTAAGATTTCACGTTGGAGTCACAAATAAATGGCTATTTGTAAACCCCATATAACATCAACAACAATAGCTACTACTTGCTGAACATTTTTGGGCAAACTGTGCCAGGTTCTTTCTTGGTGTGTTTTCTTTTTTTTTTTTTCAGTACATGAAAAAATTCTTTACTTACACATCTTATTTATTCCTCCCCAACACTGGAAGAGACATGTATTATTACCTGCAGTTTACACAAGAGAAAACTGGGACCTAGAGAATTTGCTTCAGGGTCACCCACTCAGATGTAACAGAACCAGGATGCAAACACAGGTTCAGCATACGCCTAAACTTTTCATAAGGAAACAAACTCCCCTTTAACTCATATTTGAAGAAAGCACATTGGTCCCATTTTTACCAATTCACCTTTCACCTGAGTATCATCCTTGGCCTTGTACTCAGTGCTCTTAATGGCCAATTCCACACCATAGCCAGAGAGGTAAACAGGCTCCTTCCTGGGATTCTGCAAGGAAAGCAAGAATTCCACCATTACCACCTAGCTCTTTCTATGTCACAGTGTACACAGCATGACCATGTTAATGTTGCATCTACTAGCCTTTACCTAGGATTATGCACTCAAAACATCTTTAAATTGTTTTTTAAGGATATTAGCTATATAGCTAAGAAAGTTCACTAAATAAATTTTTTTAGTCCAAAATCTACCAAAAAATCAAGAGTAATAAAAGCACTTATCTACCATTAAAATACTGATCATACGTTTTAAAAATCAATTCAGAGTCTGTATCTCTATCCTTATAAAATCCTAGGCTCCCTTACATGTTGTAGGCTGCCACAACTGTGGGAATGGAATTCAAGGTAGATGCAAAACCAGAAGAACGGACAGTTGAAAGTGCTAAGGTCCCAACCACAAGAAATGGAGAAAGAAAAGAAGAAGTTCCAGAACCTACAGAGCAGGGTTGAAAGGTGGTGAGGTCTCAATCCCAGAGATGTTTCTGAGGCCCATGGGAGTATGCTTTTTATTAAATTTAAATGCCTTTGAGCGGAGCTTGGACTGACCAGATGTCACAGACTCACCAGCATCCTGACTGAAGATGGCCCTTCAGACATTAACATCTATCCTAACAGCAATAGAGGGGGCAGAGGGAGAGTCAAAAACTGGACTTCGATAAAACTTTCTGCTTGTACAAATTTTCATTTACAATTTTATAAAAATAATTATAAATAATTATTAAAAATATTAAAATTAAATATTAAAAATGTTGAATTAAAAATAAATTATTTAAAACAATTATTAAAACATTAAAAATAACTACGAAAATAATAATAATAATAAAATGTGACTCACGCTCGTAATCCCAGCACTTTGGGAGGCTGAGGCGGTCAGATCACCTGAGGTCAGGAGTTCGAGACCATCCTGGCCAACACGGTGAAACCCCGTCTCTACTAAAAATACAAAAAATGAGCTGGCATGGTGTCATGTGCCTGTAATGACAGCTACTGGGAGGCTGAAGCAGGAGACTCGAACTCAGGAGGCAGAGGTTGCAGCAAGCTGAAATTGTGCCACTGCACTCCAGGCTGGGTGACAAGAGCCAGACTCCCTCTCAAAAATAAATGAATCAATCAATAAAATTTTTATTTTTTTGGCATGAACTTAGTACTGAGCTTATTATGACACAGAAACTTTAAAGGGCTAACAACCTTTACATATAAATATTTTAAATGACTAAATATTACACAGAGTCTTAAAAGCTTAATATTATATCAAGTCTACCTATGAATCGCCTGTTTAGAAAATCCTCCTGCTTCCACCAAATAAAAAGGTGGCAAAGAGAAAACAGAAGAAAAAAGATTGGAAAAGAAACTGAATTCAACAATCAGTTCCATAGTATAATGACCATATTAAAGTTAGAAAAGATTATTTACGTGGTTCACTTTGAAATAAAATGTAAACTTTATCAGGCCATTTTTTTAGCATGTTTTTTATTTCTTCAGAAAGTGAAGCAAAGCACATCTTATGTGCAAATAACAAACTCAATGAAACTATTGGATTTCTCAAAAAAGGGGTTTAAATAACTAGATTATTTTATAAAGAGGGAGATTATTATCTTATGTTCTAAGGTCACGCTGGGCAAATTACATTCAAAACAGGTGTAAAATAAATCAATACTTACAAATATATAATGTCTGAATACATAATTGATTTTGCCTGCATTGCTTTTTGATATAAGTTGGCGGTGAAAATTAGAAAATTCCTCAGAGCCAATCTCAGAGTAGAAAATCACCACTGGGCTTTCAGGATTAGATGATGGATATCTGTGATCTCCTTTGAACAATAAAGGTTTGGGTCTGAAAATAAATAATAAAAGCTTAAAACTTTAAAAATAATTGTGAAACACTAAAAATGTCACAAAATATAAAGTACAGCTATGAAAATTTAAATAAAGATTATAAGCATCTTAATATGAAGGGCAGCATGATATTATTTAAGTAATATTTTCTTAAATAATTACTATCAGGTATAAGTCTTGTTTATTCATGATTAAAAATAACAAAAGTACATTATACAAAATACTAACTATAAAATGTAAACACTGGCCAGTCCAGTGCGTGATGCCTGTAATCATAACTAAGAAGACCCTGGGCAACATGGCAAAACCTCGACTCTATAATAAATAACAAAAACTAGCTGGGTATGGTGGCGTTCACCTGTAGTCCCAGCTACCCGGGAGGCTAAGGTGAGAGGATCACCTGAGCCCCAGAGGTTGAGGCTGCAATAGTCCATGATCACGCCACTGGACTCCAGCCTGGGTGACAGAGCAGGACCCTATCTCAAAAAAAAAAAAAAAAAGAATAAAATAAACCTCAATTAATAATAGCTACCAATTCCTAAAAAGGGAGGAAAAGGGCCAAAAAAGGACACATATTCAAATGACCACTAAATCTTGAGTATGTATGTATGTGTTGTGTGTGTGTGCGTGTGTGTGTGTGTGTGTAAAACATAATATAATATTTCTGTTTGTTTGGAGATGGAGTTTCGTTCCTGTTGCCCAGGTTGGAGTACAATGACATGGTCTCGGCTCACTGCAACCTCTGCCTCCTGGGTTCAAGTGATTCTCCTGCCTCAGCTTCCTCAGTAGCTGACATTACCGGCATCTACCACCACACCCGGCTAATTTTTGTATTTTTAGTAGAGATGGCGTTTCACCATGTTCGCCAAGCAGGTCTCAAACTGCTGACCTCAGGTGATCCACCCGCCTCGGCCTCCCAAATTGCTGGAATTACAGGCATAAACCACCACGCCTGGTCAATATAATATGTTATATACTATGTTATATTTTAAGAAGTCCTCAGTCTGTCGCTCAGGTTGGAGTGCAGTTGCGTGATCTCTCCGCTCACTGCAGCCTCGACCTCCAGGGCTCACGGAGGGACTACAGGTGCATGACACCATGCCAGCCAAATTTTGTATCTTTTGTAGACATGAGGTTTTGTCATGTTGCCCAGGCTGGTCTTGAACTCCTGGCTCAAGCAATCTACCCACCTCTGCCTCCCAAAGTTCTGGGATTATAGGCGTGAGCAACCACGGCTGGTCAAGTACTTTTTTCTACCGTATAAATAGAATATGATTACCTTTTCATTTAAAAATGTAAGTATAGGCCAGGTGCGGTGGCTCAAGCCTGTAATCCCAGCACTTTGGGAGGCCAAGAAGGGCGGATCACGAGGTCAGGAGATCGAGACCATCCTGGCTAACACGGTGAAACCCCGTCTCTACTAAAAAATACAAAAAACTAGCCGGGCGAGGTGGCAGCGCCTGTAGTCCCAGCCACTCGGGAGGCTGAGGCAGGAGAATGGCATGAACCCGGGAGGTGGAGCTTGCAGTGAGCCGAGATCCGGCCACTGCACTCCAGCCTGGGTGACAGAGCAAGACTCTGTCTCAAAAAAAAAAAAAAAAAAAAAAAAAAAGTAAGTATAAATAATGCAAAAAGCAGAGGCTAACATTAAGCATATTACTTGCCAATTATATTAAGTCTATCTCCTCTACTATTTTTACTACTATGATCTTCCTAATGGACGTTTTGTTTCTGTTTTTATTTTGGAGTCAGGGTCTCACTCTGTTGCCCAGGCTAGAGTGCAGTGGCATGAACACAGCTCACTGCAGTCTCTACCTCCCAGGCTAAAGTGATCCTCCCACCACAGCCCAGTAGCTGGGACCAAAGGCGTGTGCCCAGTTGCTGCCACCATGCTCAGCTACTTTTTGGATAAACAGTGTCTCACTTTGTTGCACAGGTTGGTCTGGAATTTCTGGGGTCAAGCAATCCTCCTGCCTCAGCCTCCCAAAGTGCTAGGACTACAGGCTTGTGCCTCTAATGGACTTAACATTTCAGTTTTCCTCATAAATTTTAAAATTTCTCCCCAAAAAACTTATCTAAGGATGGCATCAAGATATTTAACAGATCTTAATGCAAACTTTATGACCTACCAATCTCTATTGCAATAAACTCTATAACTCAGCAGAAAGTAAAGACATGAATAAGGATGCTCCATATAACCTTATTGTAACAGGGGTAAAAAAAGAAAATGACTTAAAAATCCATCAGTAAGAGCTAAATTATCAATTTTGGGGCAGTCTTACATAGGTTATGCATGTGTTAAAAATAATGAGATACACCCACTCGTACTACATGGAAAGGTGCCTTTTATAAAAATAGAACTACCTACATGTATAAATTTAAAACCGTAGAAAAAAGTCTGAAGGTATATATGCCAAACCATTAAAAGTAGTTACCACCTCTCAGAGAGGAGACACTATTATTCTTTTCTTTATAAAGGTGTGCATTATTGTTGTAGCAAATTAAATAAAGTGGTTTTTTTTGTTGTTTTTTTTTTTTTGAGATGGAGTCTCGCTCTGTCACCCAGGCTGGAGTGCAGTGGCCGAATCTCAGCTCACTGCAAGCTCCGCCTCCCGGGTTCACGCCATTCTCCGGCCTCAGCCTCCCGAGTAGCTGGGACTACAGGCGCCCACCACCTCGCCCGGCTAGTTTTTTGCATTTTTTAGTAGAGACGGGGTTTCACCGTGTTAGCCAGGATGGTCTCGACCTCCTGACCTTGTGATCCGCCCGTCTCGGCCTCCCAAAGTGCTGGGATTACAGGCTTGAGCCACCGCGCCCGGCCTAAATAAAGTTTTTTAAAAGAATCACAAAGCCATCAATGTTGTTTCCCCCGAGAGCACCACTGTATCACATGCAGCCGTTTCTGAATGTGCATGCCTTGACCCTGAGAGGGCTGGAGTGCACGCTGTGTTTTCTGGTTAGCACTCACGTAAGAACCACTACTGACATTTGGTGGGTAGAGGATGGGTGCTGGGCAGACAATCTCACTAAAGAAGACCTGCACTACTTCACTGCCACTAGCAGTGCTGACAGGGCAGGCCAGCCCCATGTAGAGCTCACTGTTGTGTTTATGAACAGCATTAGAGGAGGCACAGGCGGCTTGCTGCCCTTGCCAGTCAGCAAAATGATACACAGTCGAGTTGTCTACCACAGGAAACCTACCTTTGGGCAAAAAAGCTGGTACATTAGTTACCAAATTAATATTCAAATCAAGCCTGCAATTATCTTTCAAATATCCTCCTTTGTCTGAAACTAATAATATCCTGAGAAATATTATCATTAATGTCATTATTTCAGGCACTGGCTTTAACACACACAGTATTTCTTACTAAGCTAATGACAAAGCCCATGTCATTGCTCAGATGCAGTCATTACTAAATAATAACAGTTAATACTGAATACTTGTATTATCTCCATTTTGAAATGAGATTAATTTGCCACATTTCACAAAACGATTTTAAGTGACGGAGCTGAGATTCAAATCTAGTCAGTCTGGTTCCAGAAGCCGTACTCTAAACCATTACACCTAATGATACAAAACAGATGAGAAAATCACAAGGTAGATGACATACAGAAGCAGCACTGGAAATGCGTGCTATGAAAACAAAGGAACACGCAATCTACCTTTCAGAGGCTGTCAGTAGAAGAGTCTCCAGGGTATCAGATTCACAAGTCGTCTTTCCATGCACGGAAAAAAACGAATTACATCCTTCTGGTGGAGGTTCATCAGCTGCTATCTGTCACAGAAGACACACACTTTTTAAAGTTCTAACCAAGGATGAGATAAAGATATGTATAATCAAAACAGGTGATTAAATTATGACAAGACAACATTGGTGAAAGTGGCTGAGTGTGGTAGCTCGTGCCTGTAATCCCAGCACTTTGGGAGGCCAGAGTGGGAGGATCACTTAAGCCCAAACCTAGGCAGTTAAGCCTGCCACTTAAGCCTGGGCAGCATAGTGAGACCTTATCTCTACAAAAAATAAAATAAATAAAAAATTAGTCAGTCACAGTGGCATACGCCTGTAGTCCCAGCTACTGAGGAGGCTGAGGTAGGAGGACTGCTTGAGCCTGAAAGGCTGAGGCTGCAGTGAGCCATAATCACAGAACTGCACTCCAGTCTGGGCAACAGAACTAGACCCTGTCTCAAAAAAACAAAATCAATACAGGCAAAAACAGGCCAGCCACAGTGGCTCACGCCTGTAATCCCAGCAATTTGGGCGGTGGAGGCAGGATGGATCACCTGTGCTCGGGAGTTCGACACCAGCCTAGCCAACATGGCGAAACCCTGTCTCTACTAAAAATACAAAAATTAGCTGGGTATGGTAGCAGGCTACCCCAGCTGAGATAGGAGAATCACTTAAACTCAGGAGGTGGAGGTTGCAGTGAGCTGTGATTGCACCATTGCACGCCAGCCTGGGCGACAGGGCAAGACTCTATCCCAAAATAAAGAAAAATGAAAAAAACAAAAAAAACCACTTCATATTATGACGATGTATCCTTGGGCAATACAACAATACAGTAACACAGCAAGTGATTCCAACAGAAGTTAACAGGGTGGTTGGTTTCAGAGGGCGAAAGGTGGCCACAGTCAGGACACAGTGCATGCAGGGCTTTCCATGGCACCAGATCAAGTCCTCCTTCTTGACTTGGGTGAAAATTACAAGGATGTTCACATTATAATAATCCATTACTATATATTTTTTGTGAGTGGTTTTTCTATGTTTTATTTTATAATAAAAAATAATTTTAAAATTAACTTTGCTTTTATATCAAATATCTAGTTGGTGAAGACACCTTTGACTGTCTCTTCTTAAGTCTCTCTCTTTTTTTTTTATTTTTTTTTGAGACGGAGTCTCACTCTGTCGCTCAGGCTGGAGTGCAGTGGCATGACCTCGGCTCACTGCAAGCTCTGCCTCCCAGGTTCACGCCATTCTCCTGCCTCAGCCTCCCGAGTAGCTGGGACTACAGGCGCCCGCCACCAGGCCTGGCTAAGTTTTTATATTTTTAGTAGAGACGGGGTTTCACCGTGTTAGCCAGGATGGTCTCGATCTCCTGACCTCGTGATCCGCCCGCCTCGGCCTCCCAAAGTGCTGGGATTACAGGCGTGAGCCACCACGCCCGGCCTTAAGTCTCTCTTAACTTGAGGTTCCTCTGTCCCTCTTTTTCTTTTCAATTACAATAGAAATTTCCATAATTTATTTATTGAAGAAACTAGATTACTACAATGATTCCTGTATTCTTGATTTTCCTGACTGCATCCCTGTGGTGATGCTAAACATTTCTTGCCTCCTGTATTTCCTGTGAACTCTTTTTACAACTACAGGCTGTGATTAGATGCTGGTTCATTGGTTTAACGAGATTACATCTCCCAGGCTGCAATGCATAAATAAAATATTGCTGTCTCTTTTCCATACAGATATTCTTTTTCTTATTTTTTTTTAAATCTGCGGGTTGAAGACTTAACATCAATTTTGCTTATTATTTCTTTTTTTAAATCATAAATCCTAGAAAATTTCAGGCAAAAACGTGATAGCTCTGTAATTCAATTCCAGGACAACTGCAGTCTATCCATTCATCATGACATACATTCATCATGACATCCATTCTCCATGACATAAAATGCTGTTCTTTAAGAGCACGGGACCCACCTGCTGGAAGGCTTGGATCGTAGCTGAGTAGGAACGAAGAGACAGACAAAATTTCAACAAATTCTGCTGGAGAGGTGACAGAAACTGAAATGCAGCTTCCAGTATTGCATGATAATAGGAATAATCAGTACCTGTCAAGGAAGAACATTAACCAAAGTAATTGCATATGACTAGAGAAATCTAAAGAAGATAGCTCATGAAGCACAAAGCTGTGTTACAAAGGTATGTGATGGCAAGTTTTACCAGTATATTGTCTTGAACTCTCATCAAATGCTTAAAATTCCCTGGAATACACAATGCAGTTGGGCTCTTCCTCTCCTCTTCCCTTTCAAACTATTCCCTCCCCTGGACTATTTTCCCACGTACCTGGATGACTGATAGCTACGTACTTCCTCAGAAATAATTCAGCTGTGAAATCACCTACTCCAGGAAGTCTCCACAATCCCTATCCCATGCTTCAATGGACCAGTTAAATCTCTTCCTCAATCCCAGAACACTTCTCTGTTTACCTCTTTCACTTATCATATCATTTACTAAATTATTTATTCACTGTCTATCTATACCCCACCTAGACTTCTGGTCCCCAGAGGCAGAGGCTATGACCTATTTATCCTTATATCCATGATGCCTAGCACATGGTAACTATTCCAAAAACTAAACAAAACTGAGCATGTGATGAGGAAGTTACAGTATTAAAGAATACTGATGACATTTTAAAGTTTGAAAAGAAGCATTTAAACAAAAAGTTGGACCAAATTATTTTAAAGAAAAAAAATCCGAATACTAACGTGAAAAAATCCCCAGAATAAATGAAAAGCAAGGACACAAAACAATGTACATAGTAACTTATTTTTTTTTAACTAGGAGAAAGAATGAGAAATAAGAATACATATGTATATATTTGTTGTAAAAAACACTGAATGCTAAACAAATTAATTTAAAATGTTATAAAAAGCAGGAAAGAAAAAGAAGGAACAGGGTCAAGAAGGAAACAATTTTTTTTTATATATACAAAAAAATTTTTTTTTTTTTTTTTTTTGAGACGGAGTCTCCCTCTGTTGCCCAGGCTGGAGTGCAGTGGCCGGATCGCAGCTCACTGCAAGCTCCGCCTCCCAGGTTCACGCCATTCTCCTGCCTCAGCCTCCCGAGTAGCTGGCACTACAGGCGCCCACCACCTCGCCCAGCTAGTTTTTTTTTGTATTTTTTTAGTAGAGACGGGGTTTCACTGTGTTAGCCAGGATGGTCGCGATCTTCTGACCTCGTGATCTGCCCATCTCAGCCTTCCAAAGTGCTGGGATTACAGGCTTGAGCCACCGCGCCCGGCACAAATAATTTTTTACTGAAAAAATGTCATCTTAAATGTCGAAGTTCAAATGTGATTATTTCAAATTTTTATAAATATAAATATAAAGGTTATTTGCATATAACCTTTTATATAGCTTTGACTTGGGAATCACATGTTATCCGTGCACAAAAACTTAAATTTTGCATTTTAAAGGACAAGCACAGTGGCTTACGCTTGTAATCCCAAAACTTTAGGAGGGCGAGGCAGGAGGATTATTCGAGCCCAGGAGCTCAAGAGATCAGCCCTGGTAACATAGTGTCTCTTTTTTAAAAAATAAAAATAGGCAGGGCACGGTGGCTCATGCTGTAATCCCAGCACTTTGGAAGGGGGAGTTGGGTGGATCACCTGAGGTCAGGAGTTCTAGACCAGCCTGGCCAACATGGTGAAACCCCATCTCTACTAAAAATACAAAAATTAGCCACGGGAGGTGGCAAGCACCTGTAATCCCAGCTGAGGCAGGAAAATCACTTGAATCCGGGAGGCAGAGGTTGCAGTGAGCTAAGATTGCACCACTGCACTCCAGCCTGAGCAAGAGGAGACTCTGTCTCAAAAAATAAAGAAAGAAAATAAAATGTTCCATTTTAAAAAGAAAATACAAATATTAACATTTTATGAGGCAGAATATAAAAGGTTCTATACTGCAATAGCATCCTCTACATAAAAAATAGATAAGAAATATCTCAAAATGATGCCAGAATGTTAATGGTGTCAATCTTGGGTGGCAGGAATTAAATAATATTTCAAACAAATAAAATGTTTAACACACTTTTATGCTGTTCATAGAACTCATACTCCTATAGCTTTAATGAATATGTATTATCATTTTTACTGAAAAAAATGTCATTTTAAATGTCAAAGTTCAAATTTGATTATAAATCCACTTTGATAAATTTGTTCTATAAAATCTTAAAAATAAAGTATTTTTTGATAACTTAATTCTAGTTGCCTTGAAATTAGTAAAACTTACAGATGCTTGTTTAAAATATTTACATATCTATATTGCCAAAAAAAAAAAAAAAAAAGATTCAGGCTGGGCATGGTGGCCCACCCCTGCAATCCCATCACTTTAGGAGGCCAAGGTGGGAGGCGGGGCAGGGATGCCTTGAGGCCAGGAGTTTGAGACCAGCAAGTGCAACATAGCAAGACCCATCTTAACAAAATGTAAAAATTAGGCAGGCCTAGCTGCACGCACCTATAACACCAGCTACTAAGGAAGATGAAGCACGAAGACTGCTTGAGCTCAGGAGTTCAAGATTGTAGTGAGCTATGATCACACCACTGCACTCCAGCCTCCAGAGCCAGACTCTGTTTCCAAAATCAAAATAGGCCGGGCTTGGGGGCTCACACCTGTAATCCTAGCACTTTGGGAGGCTGAGGCGGGTGGACTGCCTGACGTCAGGAGTTTGAGACCAGTGTGGCCAACATGGCAAAACCCCATCTCTGCTAAAAATACAAAAATTAGCTGGGCGCAATGGTGGGCACTTGTAATCCCAGCTACTTAGGAGGCTGAGGCAGGAGAATGGCTTGAGCTCAAGAGCAGAGACTGCAGTGAGTCGAGATCACGCCATTGCAGTCCAGCCTGGTGACAGAGCGAGACTCTGTCTCAAAAAAATAAATAAAATAAAATAAAATAAAAATAAATAAAATCTAGCTGGGTGCAGTCACTCACGCCTGTAATCCCAGCACTTTGGAATGCCGAGGCAAGAGGATCGCTTGAGTCTCAGGAGTTCAAGACCAGCCTGGGCAACACACAAGACCCTGTCTCTACAAAAAAAAATTTTTAATTAGCCCAAATAAAAAATAATAATAAAATAAAATAAATATTTGGATAGATCACACCGAGTGAAAAAAATGAAATAAAATAAAAACAAAACAAAAAGATTCAGACAACTTTTAAAATATGTATTATTTTAATAAAAAATTAAAAAGTTAAAAAATCAATACAGGCCAGGTACAGTGGTTCATGCCTGTAATCCCAGAACTTTAGGAGGCTGCGTTGGGAGGATCACTTGAGCCCAGAAGTTTGAGACCAGCCTGGGCAACACAATGGGACAGACCTCATCTCCACTGTATTTTTTTTTTTAAATTAAATAATTTTAAAAGAAGAAAAAAAGCCAACCCATTAACATCAACAGCAGTCACACAATTTTGAAACAGTTCCTATTCTGTAAGAACCTGTAACTGGCCAGGTACGGTGGCTCATGCCTGTAATACTGGCACTTCGGGAGGCTGAGGCGGGTGGATCACTTGTGGTCAAAAGTTCGAGACCAGCCTGGCCAACATGGGGAAACCCCATCTCTACTAAAAATACAAAAATTAGCCAGGTGTAGTGGCGAATGCCTGTAATCCCAGCAACCTGGAACCAGGAGAAATGATTGAACCTGGGAGATGGAAGTTGCAGTGAGCCCAGATCACGTCACTGCACTCCAGCTTGGAAACAAAGTAAGACTTCGTCTCAAAAAATAAAAATTAAAAAAAAAAAAATAACCTATATCTGAGGCTGGGCGCGGTGGCTCAAGCCTGTAATCCCAGCACTTTGGGAGGCCGAGACGGGCGGATCACGAGGTCAGGAGATCGAGACCATCCTGGCTAACACGGTGAAACCCCGTCTCTACTAAAAAAATACAAAAAACTAGCCGGGCGTAGTGGCGGGCGCCTGTAGTCCCAGCTACTCAGGAGGCTGAGGCAGGAGAATGGCGTAAACCTGGGAGGCGGAGCTTGCAGTGAGCTGAGAACTGGCCACTGCACTCCACCCTGGGCGACAGAGCAAGACTCCGTCTCAAAATAAAAAATAAAAATAAAAATAAAATAAAAAAAAAAATAACCTATATCTGTCAATGTAAATTAATATTCAAGGTTTTAACTACTCACATATCAGCACATCCAACTATTAATGTTTACACCCTATATAGCTTATACCAAGTTTAAAAAATGTGAAAGCACATCATAAAAACTGTAAATGAGGTTTTACAGGATAAATCATTAATGTGACATCTTAACATTCAAGTTGTGGGTGGCTGGCACAATGGAAAACATTCTGGATGATACTAACTTAATGACAATGAACTGAACAGATAATAGATCAGTTGTGTAATTAGTTCATAACCAAAAAAAAACCGTGAATCAGATTAGATGGTTATTAATACTGAACGACTTAAAATGAAATGTACTTCCACAAAATATTCACATAGCACTTTAATAAAGGATCATGATAGAACAAAAACAAGAGGGGAAAAAACAAAGGTACCACTTATAGCCAAAGTTATAAACTGCTTCAAAAATAACTATTTGTGTTGTGTTGGCTCTTCCTGACCACGATCATAACTGCAATCATTAAAGACAACAATGTTTTCCATTAACGGCCATGCCACACATACTATACAGAGACCATTTTTCCTAATATATTCCCAGACACCAAAGTCAAAGAAGCATTTGCTTCCATTTTACCGTGATGATCTGATGATCCAATATTTTGACTGGCTTCTACAAAATTCCAAAATTTCTCTTGACTGTCTTCTGCTAAAAACTCACTGGGAGAAAAGATCAGAAATAAAACAACTTAATAAAATTTTCTAATATAAGCTATATGACTAAAGAGAGTAAAAATAAGTTTTGAAGTTTCCAAATGTCCGTAGTTTGACTTTTAATCTATAATATATAATACCCCTTTATGTATAAGTTTTTAATGATAAGCAAGTCCTACCAGCGTATTAGTTATCAATAACTTAGCCTATGAACTTTTTCACCTAATCGCTATTTCTTAAGAAATTTGGAATAATAAAAATATAACAGGGAAGTCTCAATATAAAGAAAGCTTATGAAACCCCACTGACAAAAATACTATGAGTAGTGGAAGCAGAACTAGGAACTGATGATTCTAGTATTAGTTCTGTTTACTTATTTTCTGAAAGGCCTTACAAAGAACAAAAAATATGTTTTGCCTAAAGTTCTCCCACAGTAAAATATGAACCGCAGAAAAATTTCTGGGAGACTAAAGGCAGCATGTTGTAATCTTTTAACACCCCTAAATCCAAATTTTCAAGATCACCAAACTTAGTTTAAAATTAGCACTGATCTAACAAAATCAGATCCAAGAACTTAATGCCATCTTAATTTTTTTTCAACTTTACACTACTAAAATAATGGCCAATCTAAATTTCCCTTCATTCAAGAGTCTAAAACCCCTAAGAGGAAATGCATGTAGTAATTGAATGACTCATGTCAACTGCTTATCTTCTCCTCTGAGCCATAATACTAATGCAGTAGTGATCTTTCACTGTCTTAAAGCAAACTACAGATCTGGATCTCAGCTTACCTAGCCAAAGGAAGACCTTCCCATTACTTGTCAACACTGAGGTGTACAATCTCACTCTACTCCACAGCTAGACACAGAAATACGGGAAAAATAAGACACATTTCCTGGTAATGCACAGCTTCTCTAAAAATAGGTTTCTGAAAATACCCATTATCATAACATATTAAATTTCTTAATGCCTCCTTGAGAGTAGTATTTTTCTAGGCTTTCTAGTAACTGACATAGACACCACACCAAGCTTAGCATAGCTTATAGTCTAAGAAAACAAGTACTAAGACAGATACACCAGGATGTGCAAATAAACACTAAATTAATTAATTAAGGGCACATTCACAAAATAAGCAGAGACGGGCAAGGTGACACACTCACCAGTGTGGTGAAAACTAAGATTCAATCAGGCTAAGACTCTCCCAGTAAAGACCACACACAAATACATGCTTTTCATACAATTACAGGGAAGCTTCTTGAAACATACATTCTTTTCACCCCACTGCCTACATAAGTCTTACAAGGTCTAAACTTGGAACAGTCCTAATATTGCTTACTAGATCCACTGAAACAACCCAGAGGAGAGAAGAACAATACAAGATATTATTAAAGAAATGCTGCCTTTTTTTAAAGCATATTTTTGTTGCTTTTTGTTTTTTTAGCTTCTTATATAACACTTACTCCACTGAGTATAAATTATGATTTTACAGGCCGGGCGCGGTGGTTCACACCTGTAATCCCAGCACTTTGGGAGGCAGAGGTGGGTGGAACATCTGAGGTCAGGAGTTCGAGACCAGTCTGGCCAACATGGTGAAACCCCATCTCCACTAAAAATAGAAAAAATTAGTCGAGGGTGGTGGCGAGCGCCTGCAATCCCAGCTACTCAGGAGGCTGAGGCAGGAGAATCACTTGAACCCAGGAGGGGGAGACTGCAGTGAGCCGAGATCGCGCCACTGCACTCCAACCTGGGCAACAAGAGGGAAACTCCCTCCCCCTCCCCCCAAAAATCATGATTTTACAAATTATATGATGTCTGGGATTTGCTTTAAAATATTCTAGTGCGGGAGGAGAGAAGGTGGTGGTGATGGTGGTTATTGTACTTAAATTGATAATTGTTAAAACAGGGTGATGGGTGCAGAGAGAGTACATTATACCATTCTCTCCATATGTAAATGTTTTGAAATGCCATAATCTAGGACAAGTTTTTAATCTACAACACAAAAAAAGCTACAAACAACCAGAATGAATGCCCACAAGATAGTATAAATAGGGTAGCAACTTGTTTTCTTAGATTTCCAAAGCTATTGTGGGAGATCAGCATTGGTCTTCCTTCTACATAGAACTAGAAGGAGAAAAGAAACTAATATTTAAGGAGGGTCTATGACATGACGGTCACTAAGCTTGGCATATTTACTTGTGTCCTCAAATCCACACAGCCACCCTCAGATATAACCGTTTTTCAAGTAAATAAGCTGTAATTCAGAGATGCTACTAACTTGCTTACAGACAAAGAGTGAGTCAATGGAAAAGCTGAATATAAATTCATGACCATTTAATTTATAATTCTATCATGCTACATTCTGGGTCATTACAAAATTTAGCACTCAATAAATGATTATTAGCTTTGATTTTAATAATACCTGCTTATGTAATATTTCTGTAGCTACAGCTGCAGAAAACACACTTAGTGTTTTACTTCAATTAAAGATAAGTATCACTTCATTGACAACCACAAAGCTACAACTCCTTCACAAACATCAGGTCCAATCTAAAAATACACAACAGGAATATTTTTAGTCCCTGAGGGATAGATGCAAGGCAGGCAAAAGATCTGTGGTGGCCACATGCCATAAAGTGTAGTAAAAGATGCTGACCCTTCATCCTTAACCAGATGGACAGAGTACCTGGATCCTTCATCAGGGTCTCCCACAGACATAAGAGTGAAGAATGGTGGGCTCTGCTAGCTCTGGAGGTGAATACTAAGTGGATTCAAATAAGCATAGTTCATTTCTATGAGTTGCCTACATGTCGTATTACCCTGGCAAACTGTATACAAACAGCCACAGGAGAAGGGGCCTAAAAATAGTAAACCAAAATGGCAAATGTAGCTCTTACTTCACATGCCAAGGAAAAAGATTAATAAAAATAAAAATAAAACAAAATGGCAAATGACCAGAGATATCATGAAAGGGGGAAATGTTTGTGATAAGCAAGTTGATGAAGAAAACAGTATACCCTGTTCGCTTCACAGTGACCAAAGAAACTGAAAATATCGAGCAATTAGGGCTGGCAAATTTAGCATTCTTTCTCAAAACTCCATAGTTTTATGCCATAGGAATCTTCTAGTACAATGATCAAGAATGTACGAATATCAAGAAATTAGTGTAAATAAAAGTGAAAGTAACGAAATGTAATTCAGGGTAAGAATGTTAAACAGAGGCCGGGCACGGTGGCTCACACCTGTAATCTCAGCACTTTGGGAGGCCAAGGAGGGGGGATCACCTGAGGTGGGGAGTTCCAGATCAGCCTGACCAACATAGAGAAACTCTGTCACTACTAAAAAAAAAAAATTACAAAATTAGCCAGGTGTGGTGGTGCATGCATGTAATCCCAGCTACTCAGGAGGCTGAGGCAGGAGAATAGCTTGAACCTGGGAGGCGGAGGTTGCGGTGAGCCAAGATCACGCCGTTGCACTCTAGCCTGGGCAACAAGAGCAAACTCCATCTTAAAAAAAGAATGTTGGCCGGGCGTGGTGGCTCACGCCTATAATCCCTGCACTTTGGGAGGCCAATGCGGGTGGATCACGAGGTCAGGAGATCAAGACCATCCTTGCCAACACGGTGAAACCCCGTCTCTACTAAAAATGCAAAAAATTAGCCGGGCATGGTGGCGGGCGCCTGTAGTCCCACCTATTCGGGAGGCTGAGGCAGGAGAATGGCGTGAACCCAGGAGGTGGAGCTTGCAGTGACCCAAGATTGCGCCACTGCACTCCAGCCTGGGCAACAAAGTGAGACTCCGTCTCAAAAAAAAAAAAAAAAGAATGTTAAACAGAATCTCACAAAAACAACTGTTACAGTTAATTTTACAAAATGAATCAGAAAGTGATAGTAAATCTTGGCCAGGCGCGGTGGCTCACGCCTGTAATCCCAGCACTTTGGGAGGCCAAGGCGGGCAGATCACCTGAGGTCAGGAGTTCGGACCAGCCTGGCCAACATGGTAAAACCCCGTCTCTACTAAAAATGTAAAAATTAGCCAGGCGTGCTGGCACATGCCTGTAATCCCAGCTACTCGGGAGGCTAAGGCAGGAGAATGAGAATGGGCTTGAACCTGGGAGGCAGAGGTTGCAGTGAGCCAAGATGGCGCCACTGAACTCCAGCCTGGGCGACAAAATGAGACTCTGTCTCAAAAACAAAGCAGGGCTGGGGGGAGGGGTTGTAAATCTCAATGACAGATTTATACCAAACAAATTATCCAAAATAAGATTAGCAAAAAGGAAAAGAAAAACTTTAGTTTTTAGGGTCCAGGCTCAGGCGGTCTAACTCAGGCAGTCTCAAAATATCTTCAGTCACTGTTTTTTTGTTTGTTATTTGCTTTATTGGGCTTTTTTCCCCCACAATAAGAACTCTAAAAAAAGAGCCATTTCACATTTACTACTATGCCGTATCTAATAAAGTTCAGACATTTGAGAAGCTGGACCCATTTATCAAGTTAGTTATCACTATGAAATATACACAATGGTTTTGTCTTTGTTTTGCCACTTCTATGCTGAGAAAGAAAGGCAGAGAGAGGCGATGGCAGGAAGCCTATTTAGCAGAAAGTCTGCTAGGCTCCTGAGCTAGTCAAGACCGGCTGCTGCATGCCCCTTCCCACTGGTCCTTTTGGCAATATCAAATGAGGCTTTCTCTTTAAGAGGTGCAACCATTCGTTCACATAATCAACATAGCAAAATTCTTCATCCACATTTTTCTAGGAATTAAGGGGAAAATGTTAGAATACAAAACTCTAGAGGCCAGGCGCGGTGGCTCACACCTGTAATTCCACCACTGTGGGAGGCTGAGGGAGGTGGATCACTTGAGCTCAGGAGTTCGAGACCAGCCTGGCCAACACGGTGAAACTCCGTCTCTATAAAAAATACAAAAATAAGCCAGGGATGGTGGCTTACGCCTGTAGCCCCTGCGGCTAGGGAGGCCTAGGTGGGAGGATGGCTTGAGCCCAGGAGGCAGAGGCTGCAGTAAGCTGAGATCACACCACTACACTAGCCTGAAAAACAGAGACAGACCTTGTCTCAAACACTCTCAAAACAAAAAAAAATTCTAAATTGAAGATGAAGAAGGCAGACCACAAGGCTAATCGAAGTGATGTGACAGTCCAAATTTCTAGCACGTTCAAACGCTGAGACTTACCAAGTGCTTGCTGCTCAGTCTACCCACACTTATCCTTTGGAAAGTCTCTGCTAGTTCTACCTCTAGATTACTTGAGATACAATCAAATAAGTTTCCATCCATAAGCATTTAAGCCCTACGTATACAGACAGATATCTCATTATATTTACTTACAAACACTAGCTGAAAAGCACACTTGGAATACAAAATTTCTCATGAAATTATTTACTATATTGTGTTTCACTAATTTTAAGACAACTGTTGTTTTATGAAAAATTCTACCCATTTTAATTGTAAGGTAACTTCTTTCTCTTTTTTTTTTTTTTGGACGGAGTCTTGCTCTGTTGCCCAGGCTGGAGTGCAATGGTGTGATCTTGGCTCACTGCAAGCTCCGCCTCCTGGGCTCAAGTGATTCTTTCACTCAGCCTCCCAAGTAGCTGGGACTACAGGCACGAACCACCACACTCAGCTATTTTTTTTTTTGGAGAGATAGGGTTTCCCCATGTTGCCCAGGCTGGTCTCAAACTCCTGGACTCAAGCAGTTCACCCACCTCAGGCTCCCAAAGTGCTGGGATTTACAGGCATGAGCCACTGTACCTAGCCACCGTTTTTATCATTTAAAAAGAAAGATTGAGCTGCATGGGCATAATCTCCTAATCTGATGCTCAGGCACGCACCAGCACACACAGCTAATTGTTGCCAGGCCAGTCTCGAACTCCTGACCTCAGGTGATGGACCCACCTCGTCCTTCCAAACTGTTGGGATTATAGGCGTGAGTCACTGCACCCAGCCTTCTTCCAGGTTCTTAAGGGAAATAAGTCCTCTTTCCCCCACATTGCTAAGCCCTCTTCTTTTCCTTTTATCAATCACCTCTTAAAGCTTCCTTCAAATAAGGAGAAAATTTGAATACAACTGTCCAGGCACAGTGGTTCACATCTGTAATCCCAGCACTTTGGGAGGCCAAGGTGGGCAGATCACATGAGACTGAGGAGTTCAAGACCAGCCTGGCCAACATGGTGAAACCCCATCACTACTAAAAATACAAAGACTAGCAGGGTGTGGTGGAGCATCTCTGTAATCCCAGCTACTCGGGAGGCAGAGGCATGAGAATCCCTTGAACCTAGGAGGCGGAGGTCGCAGTGAGCCAAGATCTCATCACTGCACTCCAGCCTGGGAAACAGAGCGAGACCTGTCTCCAAAAATAAATAAATAAATAAGCACAACTCTCTCTTCCCTTGTTATGCTTTTTGGAAAGTAACATACTAACTTATCCAACAGTTATTTGTCTAAAGTTCCTACATATCTCTATAAACCCACATAGCCCTTGTCCTACTGAATGATGCTATGCCCTAACAGCCTTTGTACAGTACATACCACAGTGCACACTGAAAGAGGCTCTTCATAAATGCATTTGATGATAATCTCACTGCTTAAAAAGCTCCTGAATGTTAACTGTCAGAGCCTATATTTATACTCAAATACATGGAGGGGAAAAAAACGTTCTCTTACCTGGCTTCTAACAACAGTGGAGTGGAAAACCATTTTGTTGTAAGAGAGGTTGTAATGGCTTTTGAGTCGGCCTTTACTGAGGAGAACAGCCACAGAACAGTGAGTACAATCAGAACTCCCATTTTATAGCAAACTCCTAAAAGGAAAAAAAGAAAAAAAGTTTTGCTACAAGGAAATTTTTTTTGAGACGGAGTCTCACTCTGTCGCCCAGGCTGGAGTGCAGTGGTGCGATCTCGGCTCATGCAACCTCCGCCTCCCAGATTCAAGCGATTCCCCTGCCTCAGCCTCCTGAGTAGCTGGGATTACAGGCACGCACCACCACACCCTGCTAATTTTTTGTATCTTCAGTAGACACAGGGTTTCACCATGTTGGCTAGGCTGGTCTCAAACTCCTGACCTTGCGATCTGCAGGCCTCAGCCTCCCGAAGTGCTGGGATTACAGGTGTGAGCCACCAGGCCTGGCCTGCTACAAGGTAATTTTAACCTCATACTTGGAGACACAAAATAACAATCCTAATACTTGGAGACACAAAATAACATAAGTTAGCGAAACAGAAATGCTTCTGACATATAATAGCACTTAATATCTAGCTAGTCCAACAGATATTTGCTGAGTGACTGATATGTAACTGAAGGCATTTAGGTTATTACATTCTTTCCTACAAAGGCTCTGCTTCATTTCCCAAGGAATCTACACTATACAGGGGTATAAAAATCAGTTGGTGGCACACCAGCTTGCACACAACCATACTTTATGAAGCAGGAAAGCAAAGCTGAGATAGATGAAAATATAAATGATGGATATTAAGGGTTGAACTGTGTCCCCCAAAAAAGATATGGAAATCCTCTCCCCCAGTACCTCGTAATGTCAACTTATTTGTAAAGACAGTCTTTACAGAGGTCATCAGTTAAAACAAGGTTATTAGGTGGGCACTAATCCAATGACTGACGTCATAAAGAGGAGAAATCTGGACAGAGATAGACAGCACAGAGGGACAACTGTGTAGAGACCCAGGGGACCACCGGGGGAAGACAGAGGCACACACTAAAATTATACTGTAAGCTAAGGAATGCCTCAAACTACCAGAAGCTGAAGAGTCAGAGACGGATTCTCCTAAGAGAAGATTTCAGCGGGAACATGGTCCTGTGAAACTTTGATTAAGGATTTCTAACCCTGTGAGACAGTAAATGTCTGTTGTTCTAAGGCACCCAGTTTGTGATACTTTGTTGTGGTAGCCCTAGGAAACGAACATAACGGGTCTCAAATGTAAACTCAGACAGGTTCTGAAATAAATGTAAAATTTTAGTGGCTTGCCAAGCCAACTGTCCCCATCCACAAAATGAGGGATCTGGGGTCACTGGCAAAGTGGATGGCCACAGAATGCAGGCCTCCTGACTCCCTCAGTAGCCGCTCCAAGCCTGTCAAGATCCTCACAGACAGCATCCAGACAATTTCAGAAAAAGGTGTCCAGCTGCAGATGCCTCTGATTTTCATCCCAAAAGTCCACCTAACAGAACCCTAATCAGACCCCCCCTGAGCTACAGAAAAGTCAGTATCCAAGCTCTACCCATTTGAATGAGAGCTAAAAGGGGGATGACTATGTGGGAAGCACTAACCTATCCTTGGCCTCAGGATGTTCGCTCTGCTAAGGCTCACTTCCGTCTCATCCCAGTTCCTTCATACTGCTTAAATAATAGATAAAATCTATCATTGAGGGAGGCCATCCACACTGGGGACCAGTCAATACCTTCCTTTTATAAAAAGCATCATTTGTGTTAACATCCTGCTTCATATAACACACAATATCTCTGAAGAACGATGGGCAAAAGCAAAATAAACTACACCAAACAGAAAAGTGGCTTTTAGAAGCATTTTAAGTTTAGGCACTGCCAGCTTCTTTTGAAACAAAAAAAAATTAATAAATCAGCCAGGCATGGTGGCATGCACCTATGGTCCCAGCTACTTGGGAGGCCGAGGTGGGAAGATAGCTTGGGCCCAGGAGGTCCATGCTGCATCTGGGCAACAGAGCGGGACAGGAGGAGAGCGGGGCAGGAGGACAGCAGGACAGGAGAGTGGGACAGGAGGAGAGTGGGACAGAAAGAAGAAAGAAGGAGGAGGAGGAGAAGGGGAAGAGGAACGGGAAGAGGAGTGGTCTCTGGTTTGAGTATGTCTTCATTTTATAGGCTCCCTTATCACTCTGACCCTAGGGGTCCTTAAATGTTGCTTACAAAGACAAACAGTCTGAGATAATGGCCATCAGAATGTGCCATGTGGTGTTGCATGATCATAGGCATTATACTTGTGGCATGATGAATAAACAGAAAACACTCTTTAACAAGTTCTAGGCCCAACTATCAACAACCATCTGTAGGAGGCTGAGCGGGGAGGATCGCCTGAGGCCAGGAGGTGGAGGTTGCAATGAGCAAGATCATGCCACTATACTCCAGCCTGGGCAACAGAGCAAGACTCTGTCTCACAAAAAATAAAAATAAAAAAATTAAAACACTATCTCTTGCTTATTTATCTGCAGTAAAATACAGGGAATATTAATAAATATTATGAGCCAGGCATGGTGGCTCACACCTATAATCCCAGCATTTAGGGAGGTCAACCCAGGAGGATTGCTGGAGGTCAGTTCAAGACCAGCCTGAGCGACACAGATCCCATCTCTACAAAAAATTTAAAAATTACCAGGGCAGGGTGGCACACGCCTATGGTCCTAGTTACTTGGGAGGCTGAAATCAGAGGATTGCTTAAAGTTGCAATGAGCAGGGACAGCACCACTGCACTCCAGCTGGGCAGTGAGATCCTGTCTCAAAAAAAAAAAAAAAAAAAAATCCTTTACACTTTTTGGAAAACAGGAGAGGCATGAAAATTCTAAGTCATCACCAACTTTTTCCTCTCCCGTTTTTAAACTAAAATAATAGTTTTTTTAAGTTAAAAAAAAAAAAAAAAAGCAGACTCTTAAAAAACAATATGCAGGCCCAGCAGGGTGGCTCACGCCTGTAATCCCAGCACTGTGGGAGGCCAAAGCAGGTGAATTGCTTGAGCTCAGGAGTTGGAGACCAGCCTGGGAGACATAATGAGACCCCATCTCTACTAAAAATACCAAAAAGTAGCCAGGCATGGTGGTCGCTTGAGCCTGGAGGGTGCGGAAGCTGCAGTGCGCCAAGAACGTGCCACTGCACTCCAGCTGGGTGACAGCTGTCTCAAAAAAAAAAAAATGCAATCTGCAAGTTTATACATGGCCATCTGAGATTCGATATATATGACAGTAGCAAGGAAAAATATTAGGAAGTATCCTTTTAAAGAAACAAATTAACTTCTCAAATTATTAAGCATAACACACATGTACTATGTATCTATTAGCAAAACCATTTCCTGTGAACCACATAAATCTAATTTCAGCTAGAAGTGGTTATTATACATCCGATATGAAAATGATCACACCAGGCCGGGCGTGGTGGTTCACACCTGTAATCCTAAGGGAGGAGATCCCCCCTCATATTGTCTTATGCCCAATTTCTGCCTCCAAAGAAAGAAGTAAAAACTAAAATGCAGAAATGAAATCCACAGGCAGACAGCCCCGCACCACACCCTGGGCCTGGTAGTTAAAGATGGACCCCGACCTAATCGGTTATGTTATCTATAGATTACAGACATTCTATAGAAAAGCACTGTGAAAATCCCTGTCCTGTTCTCTTCTGTTCTTACTGGAGCATACAGCCCCCAGTCATGTACCCTTGCTTGTTCAATCGATCACGATCCTCTCACGCGGACCCCCTTAAAGTGGGACAGGAATTGCTCACTTGGGGAGCTCCATTGTTGGAGATGTGAGTCTTGCCAAAGCTCCCGGCCAAATAAAACCTTTCCTTCTTTAACTCGGTGTCTGAGGGGTTTTATCTGTGGCTTGTCCTGCTACAATCTTAGCACTTTGGGAGGCCAAGGCGGGTGGATCACCTGAGGTCAAGAATTCGAGGCCAGCCTGGCCAACATGGTGAAACCCCATCTTTACAAAAAATACAAAAAATTTGCTGGGCGTGGTGGCACGTGCCTGTAATCCCAGCTACTTGGGAGGCAGAGGCATGAGAATCACTTGAATCGCGGAGGCAGAGGTTGTAGTGAGCCGAGATCGCCTCATTATTGTACTCCAGCCTGGAAGACAAGAGCGAAACTCCACCTCAAAAAAAAAAAAAGAAAAAAGAAAATTATCACATTGTCTTGTATTGTTACAGGGAAACTTAAAAAAGAAAATGCTCACAGACAGCTGCAGGAAAATTCTAAAAGAATTTTCTCCATAGTTTAATATATTCCCCTGAAGTTCAATGTGCATTATAAATGTGCTATGCTACTATACGAGTATTCTGCTCACTTCCTTTAATAAGTTTCATGTGGCCAGGAGTTCAAGATCAGACTGGGACGTAACAAGACCTCATCTCTACAAAAAAATAAATAAGAAGTTTTAAAAAATAAGCTTCAGCTAAGTTTATCAAAAGGAAGTCAAGTGTTGCTAAATTCGACTTGCTTAAAAAAAAAAAGCAAAGTGAAAGGCTACAATCATTCCAAGTTTTTTGGTGCTGTTAAATAGCTATTTAAAAGGTCTTCAAACGCTTGCAAGTATAAGAGTCTTGAAAGAAAGAGCGCACTTTACACTAAAATTGGCTGGCAAGTGCATCAGTGAATGTTTCCGAAACAGTTAGTGTGGCACAATAAGGCAAAAGACCCCAGGACTTCAAACGAACAAAAATATGCTCCTTCTCAAATCTAGCAAGAAATGCAAAACAACTGCAGATTCTGGCCAAGGAACAAAAACAGTTCACATCTATAAGTTATTGGCGACGCTGCAGATCTCAATCTGGCAGGTCCCACACTAAAAGTGAAACCGGATCATCCCATTTCCAGCCAACAGATCACAGTATTAAACGAAAACAGCAACCAAGGCACATCAAGCCGAATTCATTTCAGGAAAAATAGAAATCTATTTTAAAAGGCACGTCGTTCTGCAATCAGGGTCCAGCAAAGTGCTGGTTCTCAACTCACTGAGGATCAAGCTTGGTCTAAATTCATGGTAGGACACTTCCCCCACTTCCTTCTGCACTTGGGCACAAGGATCCAAAGCTCTTCAGAAAAGGTTCAAGATCTCCGAACAGAGCCAGCCGCCACCCCCGCGGAAGCGATACCTTGCCAAGACCACCACAGAGGGCAACTCAGGGCGCTCGCGAATAGGGGAAGGGATGGGACACCAGAAGGGAAACTGAGTCACGGTAGAGGCGAAAGCTCAATGTGACGGGGGCACAGGGTCGCCTTGCGCCCCAAACCCTCTCTCCGTCCATGAGGCCTCCTCACGCCACCCCTGGGTACCTGTCACCGGCAGCGCAGCCGCGGCACACGCACCGCTCGCGTCTCCCTTGCCGCCTATGCCCGGGCCGTGGTTAGTCCGCCACAGGGCCAGGGACAACGCCAGGGCGGGGCGGGGCTGCAGCGGCGGTGCAGGCTGCGCCAGTGAGAAACCGACACGCGCCTTTCCCGCGGCTCGGCTCAACACCCAGCCTCGCAAAGCAATTGCCCGGCTGCCGGCCGCCCTCTTACTTCCGCTTCCTAAAGGCGAACGCTAGAGGACTTCCGGCTACCGAGTCGAGACCTAGCAGGCCAGAGCGTCGGGCGTCCGCCGTCTCTCCGCACTTCCGCTCTCTAGGGTGGCGGGTCGGCTGCCAGTCCTCAAGGTCTTGGGAAGGTTCGTTGTGCCAGCAGCTGAGACCTGAAAGCTTTGACAGTCGATGAAATCCAATTTGGACTCTGGGACCTACTCCGTTAAACGTTTGTTAAAAGCTGACTCCCTTTAGCCTTTCGGTGGCACAGTAAGGACACTTGTCTTCATGTTTCTGAGCATCTTCGACTTTATACCAAACCCTAAAATGTTGATAGCTACCTTCCAGGGGGCGTGATGAAAGGAAGACTTTTTAAATTTTAGGAGCCGATTTAGCTTATCTTATTCGGGCAGCGGCAGCTTAGTCTGCAGGGACTGCCTTGTCCTTTATTTATTTATTTATTTATTTATTTATTTTTAACTAATGTAAACCAGTTTAAAAGTGTTTTGGAATAGGTAGCATTTAACCCACCCAGAAATGAATATCTCTTTGGAGGGTATGTGTTTAACTATATTAAGTCAAAGTGAATGAAGGGTATGTGTTTAACTATATTAAGTCAAAGTGAATGAAAAGCCAAAAATACTTTTTCACTTTTTTGGAGTTGGAGTCTCGCTCTGTCTCCCAGGCTGGAATGCAGTGGTGCAATCTCGGCTCACTGCAACCTCCGCCCCCGGATTCAAGCGATTCTCCAGCCTCAGCCTCCCCAGTAGCTGGGATTACAGGCGCCCGCCACCGCACCGGGCTGATTTTTGTCTTTTTAGTAGAGACGGGGCTTCACTCTGTTAGCCAGGCTGGTCCCGAACTCTTGACCTCAGGTGATCCACCCGCCTCGGCCTCCCCAGTGCTGGGATTACAGGCATGAGCCACCACACCCCACCCAAAATAATTTTAGGAAATAAACATGAGCCAAGATGATGATGAAGGGGAGGAAGGAGAGGAGGATGAAGGAGATGACTAATAGAACACTGATGGATTCCAGCCTCCCTTTTTCTTTTTTTTTTACATTTTCTCCAGTCCCTGGGAGCAAGTTGCAGTCTTTCCCCCCCCCCCCCCCCCCCCACTTGTGCTCAGTCTCCCTGTTCTTGAGGTTTCTTTACACTATGGTTCTCAACTTATTTTGGGGGAAATACCTTGAGCAGAATACAATGGGAAAAGAGGCTCTACCCCTTTCTGTTCGAAATTCATTTTTATCCCTTCCTGACTGAGCAAAAACTGTATGGAATCACCACCACCCAGCTCTGTGGAAAAAAAGAAAAACCTACCCGCTTCGCTCTACTGGAAGCTGGAGGGCTCTAGGTCCCTGCGTAGCAGAGCGTTCAATTCTAGCTTTCTTCCTGCTGGCTCTGTATGTTGGGCTCGGAGAGTACACTGGGTCTCTATGTGAATATGGACAGTTAGCATTTACCAACATCTTTCTGTTTACTTTCTCTTGTTTAAAAAAAGAAAGAAAAACTTTTTTAAAATGGGATTCTGGAAGTCAACAAAGAATGGGTCTGAGATGTTTGGATGGGTTCAGTGGACATTTTACAACATGGCTTCTCCTTTGGCATGTTTAATTGTGATGTTTGATAGACATCCTTACATAAGATGACACTTTTAAAATAAATTATCTCCTAATGATGACTTGAGCCCTGCCACTCAGTGGGAGAATCAGCAGAACCCCTAGGATCTTATTTGGAATTGACGTTCTCGATTGTAATTTTGTTCCTGTTTATTTTTAAATTTTGTTTCACTGAAAAGGAAAGCTCATGCTCAGTTTTAAAAGTTAAAAGTGTACAAGTTGCTTTGTTACAATAAAACTAAATGTGTACACACACAAAAAGAAAAAAAATGAGCATTTTAAAATTTATTTCACAAGGGAGCTGTTGCGTTAGCTTTCCTTAGTGTGTTTTCTAGCCCTCTTAAAATCACATCAGCTAATGCTTCCATAAAAAGGAAATTGTTAATTCACCATATAACAAAGTTGATTATATACTTTTTCTTGGCCTTATCTTGATCTTCTGCTATGTGATACATGAACAAAACCAAAGTTTGCTTAGTTTTAAAATACAACTAAGTGGTAGTGCAGAGCTTCTAAGAAAGTTGGATTTCACCTTTTCTAAACCTTTTTCTGAAAAGTGCTACCTTATTTGAACAAAAACAGATTTTAAAAAAACTTAAACTTTTTATTTAGAAATAATTATAAATTCACAAGAAGTTGCAAAAATAGTATGCAGAGGTGTTTTGTACCCTTAAGCCCATTCCCCCAGTGATTACATTTCAAATATCTACGTTACAGTATCAAAACCAGAAATTGACTTGGTACGTTGTGTGGGGGAGACAGGTATACTTCCGTCGTTTTGTATGTGTCTGTACATTTGTGTAACTACTGCCAAAATGAAGACCCACAACTATTGCAGCACCACAAAGATCTCCCTTGTGCTACCCTTTTATGAAGTCTGAACTACTTTCCTACCCCCAAGACCCCTAGACTGTGGCAACCATCATTTTGATCACTAAATATAAAATTTTTCAATTCTAGAATGTTATATGAATAGAATCATCTAGTGTGTAGCTTATTTATTTATTTATTTATTTTACTCAGCATAACCACCTGTGGAGCCATACAAGTTGTAGATATCAATAGTTTGTTCCTTTTTATTACTGAGTAATATTCCATGGTGCAAACACGGATTCATTTTAGCATCACCTATTGAAGGACATTTGGGTTTTTTCCAGTTCTGGACTATTTCAGATAAAGCTCCTATTAACATTCATGTACAGATTTGTATTTTTATTTATGTATTTATGTATTCATTTATTTATTTAAAATTACAAAAATCAGCTGGGCATGGTGGTGGGCGCCTGTAATCCCAGCTACTTAGGAGGCTGAGGCAAGAGAATTGCTTGCACCCAGGAGGCATAGGTTGCAGTGAGTAGAGATTGCGCCACTGCACTCCAGCCTGGGTGAGGACCAAGACGCCATCTCAAATTAAAACATTTATTTATTTATTTAATCAGGTCTTACCATGTTACCCAGGCTGGTCTCAAACTCTTGGGCTCAAGCAGTCCTCCCCGCTTGGTCTCCCAAAGTGCTGGGATTATAGCCATGAGCCACCACGCCCAGCCTGATGTACAGGTTTTTTACATAGACACAAGTTTTTTGTATGTTTTTGTTTTTGTTGGGATGGGGTCTTGCTCTGTCACCCAGGCTGGAGTGCAGTGGCGTGATCTGGCTCACTGCAACCTCCGCCTCTGGATTCAAGCGATTCTCCTGCTTCAGCCTCCCGAGTACCTGGGATTACAAGTGTGTGCCACCACACCCGGCTAATTTTTTTATTTTTAGTAGAGATGGAGTTTTGCCATGTTGGCTAGGCTGTTTTCGAACCCCTGACCTCAAGTGATCTGCCTGCCTTGGCCTCCCAAAATACAGGGATTATAGGCATGAGCCACCATGCCTGGCCTAGACCTAAGTTTTTGTTTATCTGAGATGAATGACCAAGAGTGCAATTACTTGATCATATGGTAAATGTACATTTTGCTTGTAAGGAACTGCCAAACTATTTTGTAGAATGGCTGTACCATTTTACATTCCCACCACCGGTCTATGAGAGATCCATTTTCTCTGCATTCTTACCCACAATTGGTACTGTCATTTTTTTTTTAATTTTTGTTATTTTGATAGGCATATAGTAATTCCTCATCATGGTTTCAATTTGCACTTCCCTAATGGCTGGTGATGATGAACATATTTTCACATGGTCATTTGCAATCTGTATATCCTTCGGTGGAATGCCTTGTCATGCCCTAGCTTATTCTCTAATTAAATTATTTGGTTTTCCACTATTGAGTTTTGAGGGTACTTTATATATTTTAGATACAGGTTATGTCAGATACGTTGTTTGGAAACATTTTCTCCCTGTGTATAGCTTGTTTTCTCTTGCCTTTAACAGGATCTTTCTTAGAGCAAAAGTTTTTAATTTTGGTGAAGTGCAGTCTATCCATTTTTCTCTTATGGATCTTGCTTTTAGTGACGTGTCTAAGAACTATTCACCAGAGCCAGGCACAGTGGCTCACGCCTGTAATCCCAACACTTTGGGAGGCCAAGGCGGGTGGATTGCCTGATCTCAAAGAAGTTCCAGACCAGTGTGGCCAATGTAGTGAAACCCCATCTCTACTAAAACTGCAAAAATGAGCTGGGCGTGGTGGCACAAGCCTGTAATCCCAGCTTCTCAGGAGGCTAAGACAGGAGAATCACTTGAACCCGGGAGGCAGAGGTTGCAGTGAGCTGAGATCATGCCGCTGTATTCTAGCCTGGGTGACAGAGCAAGACTCCATCTCAAAAAAACGAAACAAACAAAAACAAAGGACCTTTCCTGACTTTTTGAAGTTCAGTCCTCAAACTTACTATCGATCCTCCACCTTTTCTATTTTTTTCCATTTTATGTATGTTGATAGTTTGCATCCCCCACTAGGTGTCACTCCATGAGGACAGGGACATCATTTAGTTCAGCGCTACATCCTTAGCCCCTAGGACATTGCTCAACCAATACTGGATGAACATTTCTCTCTGCACCTCCCTCTATCCATGAGGATCCACTCAACTGAGCTGGCCGGCTGTTCTGTTCACATCCAGGTGGCTGATGGGCAAAGGACACACCTTGAAATCAGTAAATGCCCCTTGAGCTGCTGGAGACACAGCATGGAATCCTCTAGGTTTCTAAGCTCCCACCCAAACCTCATGTTGAACTATAATTCCCAGTACTGGAGGTGGGGCCTTGTGGGAGGTGTAGGGGTCTAGGGTGGGGACAGATCCTTCAAGGCTTGGTGCTATCTTCCTGATACTGAGTGCGTTCTCTCAAAATCTGGTCATTTAAAAGTGTGTGGCACCTTATCCCCCCGCTTACTCGCTCCTGCTTTCACCATGTGACATACCTGTTCCCCCTTCACCTTCTGTCATGATTGT